CGCTCATCGAGCAGCGTGCAGACATGCAAAACGCGAATACACGGTCTCGAGGAATCTGGATGCGCTTAATGAGGCGTGTTATTTCGACTGCAGGCGCAAATTCCGCGCTTGCTTCCTATTTACGAAAACGAGCACCACCGGCACCGCGAGCTCGGATACAAATTGTCGACGCTGTCAAGCGTACCGAGACGCTTTTCCTTTCTTCCTCCCACATGAAACATCCAGCCGTCACTCGTGTTTACACGCATGTAAATCAACAGCAACTCACTACCGCTGAGACAAAGAACTATATTCCCCGAAGGGTTTCACCAAGGACAACTATATAATGACACTTTCAGCAAGTTTCTTAGCAATTTTATAGCTACTATAAACATGTGGACATATAATGGGTTGCATACATTTCATGCATCATCATTCATTTTGTTTTTGATAAATTTTTCACGGAGAATTAATTTTGAACAATGAAATGTTTGTTTTACTCATGATGAAATTTACTTTTAATGTTTCTAGATGGCAGGAGTGGCAATCAATTAAATTTCGCGCAGTTGAAGAAAACAAATAAACATTGAAATGCATGAAGAGTAGCTGAAAATAGATTAAAATGCTGAGAGCTGAAACAAATTGAAATGAAAATGCATTTCCATGTTTTCCAATGTTTATCTTCGCTTTGTCGTAATAAACTTCTCGTGGGAATATAGAGTTTTATTAAAATTTACAATCGCTAGTATACGCAGCGACTTAAATTTTTATTGCTTTATTTTTTTTGTTCTGTCCATTGTTTTAATTTCTTTTAATTTCCATTTAATTAATTTAATTACGCTCCATTCTTGTAATCGCCGTTATCTACATTGGAAGTTGGTTTTATTTGTTTGTTTTGTAAGTCGCGTTTTCTTTCTGTAATCGCAAACAATTACGGTTGATTATTCGCGCCAAGTTCGCCGCCATTTTCGATTCGATTAGAGCGTTCTTCGCGTTCTCACGCTAAGTTTTCCCCGGGGTTCTGGGCGTCCCTGGAGCGCATTTTAGATTTTCGACCCTTCGCCTCACGCGCTTCGCAAGTTTTTGGGTTGCACTTTTCGGGTTTAATTCGATTGAGCGCGCGCAAAGCGTCTTAATACTTTATTAGACGACACGACACGAAACTTGCATTTAACTAATTCCGTTAAACGTTTTCCACCAACAATTTCCTAAGCTACTTTATCCCCGAAAACAAATGAAACGAAACATTAGGCAACTTGTGATACACGCTGGTTTTCTTATTATTAAGGTTATGTCTGATGTCATGTTGTAAAGCCTTTAGATTGAATCTGCTGTCAAATAGGATCCGCCAATATTTCTTGCTCAGAAAATATTTTCGTAGATTTGTTTCGTTTAAAATCGAAGCGAAAAGCCTGCAGCCCTTTCGGCCACGTTTTCCTATTTCATCCCTTTTGTCAATAGCGCAATATCCCGTATATTCTAGTGACCAGACTCGCACGTCTTGTGAGGATGACAGCGCGAACATGTTCACATCCGCAACATGGCGAAAACAGACTTGATTTATGTTCGAAATATCTTCATCGCATGAAACACCCACATAACCTAAAATATAAATAAAATTATTTTCGGGAATTCTTGAAGTGAGAGAGGCCATTGTCAAGATTAGAGACGATAGAGACACATATGAATCCGACCTTCCGGGTAAACTGCTTGAGGGTAGTCAAGCTGAAGGATTAACCACCACCACTAAACTTGGGTCTGTAGCGATCAAAAACCGGAATTAGACACCATTGAACTACATTAAAGTAACTTAAACCTACAGAGTTGTAATTTAAAATCAAAAAAAAATTGAAACTAATTTTTTAGTTCCTAACCATGTTTTAGTGTATATTGGGTTGCCTATGTGTAGTAGTTTACTAAATATAATTTAAATTTCTCTTGCTTAATCCAATCCTGTCTTGAGCATGTACCACTCGCAAAGTTTCGGTTTGATGGGCCATCGTGTCGTTATCGCCGCGCGTGATACGTGTCATCCAGGATTCACGCTCGACGGCGGCGAAGACAGGACGCCACCACCGCCTCCACCGCCTCCGCATTCATACGTGTATAGCCCCCGATTGTCTGAAATCCAATTCGTGAGCGACGCAGCGTGCAAATTGCTTAATTGCGAGCGATTCGTAAAAATCGCCACTTAGTTTCAATCAATTGCAGACATCCGCAGACGCAGATGCTGTTTCCGCCATTCAAACAATCTAAATTATTCAAATCACACTAGACAACTAACAACGTTTGCGGAATCTAGTTACCGCACAATCTAGGCAACCCATATTTCAACCTCGAATCTTAATTTTTAATTTATACGGAATTTTGTGTGTGGATTTGATTAATTCGCACGCGGTTCTTGAGGATTTTAAATTGCAAATGTGTGCTGCGGGTGATCGCTGGTGGTTATTTACATTTCTAATTAAAGTTTCAAACGCGTTTAATTACCACCGGAAGGTGCCGGCCGGCGGTTTCAGTAGAAAATAAATTGCATTAGTTGATGAATCTTATTGCTGCCACACTGCAATTTGTTTTACATCATACGCCGCGCAATATGTGTATTCGAAAAATTTGCGTCACAAAGTCACGTTAATTAACTTGTTTAATACTTAATAAATCTTTCTATTTACGTGTTAATAATATTGCCTAACGCTATTCACGTGTTTGTAAAGTTTATATTTGAAATATTCCGCGCTGGAATTCTGGATATTTGATGTTGGAATTTTTATTGCTGCGTTTTTCGTTCATAAACTTCATATTTATTCGGAAACCGCGCTGGAAACGCACATTGAATAAATGGCCCTCTCGAATGAAACATTACGTTGCGTGTTTTGTGTTTTATATGCTTGAGAATCAACAAAAACTTCATAAAAGTCGTAATATAAGTTCAATGGTATTGCATTTGCAATATAGGCAACCAAACACTCAAACGCTTGCTTGTTAAGTATATGTGCCTCTAGGAAAAGTAAACATCAATTTATGACTGTACGAAAACTGTTTTCTTGTTGCGAATTGGTTGAGATTTGTGAAATTGCGCGCGAGGGAAGAATCGAGAGCAAACTCGGAGCATTATAATATTTCATACAATGTCGACGCGATCGGGAAAATGTGTTGTTGAATATTTTCGATAAACGGTTATTTGTTGTAGTTTTCTGCGAAATGTACGCGGTGTGTTCAAAGAAATTCACTTGGAAGTAAAATATAATAGGTCTGTAGTATTGATTTTTCTGTTATTTTCAATATTCGTTTCTTTAAATGCACATTTGGTTGCCTATATTATAATTTATGTGTATAACAAGTTGCCTACAATAACACACAACTTTTTTATTTCGTGTTAATTGTATTGTTAACATAAACCAAACAATTGACAGATGCTTTGCATCTCAGCGCATTGTATATTTGGATAAGCTTCAGAAAAATTCACACTTTTAAATAAATATCAGCTGTATTCGGCGCGGCGCGTTGAAATAAATGGCTTTGACGCAACGTGGCCGAAAAGTCGTAATAATTCATGGTGCTAATCTTTTATTAACCGCATTGCTACAACATTGTTGCCGCGGATTACACATTACGCACTCATCATACTTGAACATCTATAAATAAACATCACACAATGTTGCGCGGCTTTCATTGTTTTACAAATTTCAGCATTTGAAATTAATATTTAGGAATTGTTTTGCGATTTTAATTTCAAAATTTGTCAATTTGTATTGTGGAATTGATTAACGAATGTAATTGACAATTATATTGTGGATAGAAATTAATAAAATTAATTAGTCTGTGGAATATGTAACTATTGATATAAAACTATCTGCTATTATTAGTAGAAATTAATATTTGTTATTTATTTATTAATTTGTGTGTTTGTTTCATTGAATTTTTAATTGTATGATGATGGTAATTAAAAATTATAAAAGTTAGCTTTTTTATGTCATAACAGTTGAGAATTGAACAATAAATAACGCATTTTTCTTGAATAAACGAGTTAAAAAATTTAGTTTTTCACAAAATTAATTAGTTTTTAATAATTATTTTTGAAAAACGCGTGTGAACATAACAAACCAATTATTTTGAACGTTTATCTATACATTATCACAATTAATTTCCTGAAACCTGCAGGTTAACGTCCTAACTTGTTGAAAAAATCATTATTATGAAATATAATTTAGTAATCCACGTATATCCAAACCAAAATTATATTTTTGTATGCCAACCTGCGATTGTTATCATTAATTACATTGCCTAAATCGAAAGTCATCGTAATTAATCATAAAAAAATATTCTGCCCTTATCCAATTAATTAAATAATGCTTTATTTTTAATATACTCAAAACAAAGCAATAAAATTATTATATTTTTAGTTGTTGTTATTATTTAAAAATAGGTAAAATTCTATTTCACAGAAAAGTTATTTATAATAAAAAGTGTTATAAAAGTGTGGTATATTTTATTAAATATTAGATATTATTCGGGTTTAATATATTCTCGCACGCATTTGATTTCTGCTATTTTTATTTACTTTGCGATTTTTTGTTTGGTTTGGTTTACCCGAATAACGCCATCGCAAACAGCCTAATCAATTCTGCGGTGAGCGCCTGTGGGCGCTAATCAAATGCGGTGTTTAATCGGATTGATTACCTTCGAGCACATTGCGTTTGCACTCGCATAATTAATGGTTCAAAAACGTTGATTGATTAGGCAATTAAGAATAAAAAACAAATTCATTTCAAAAATACAATAGAAATAAGCACATATATCATACACACCTTTCCAAAAATAATTTTAGTATTACTCTAAATGCAAAAATTAGTATTTTAGTATGTTTGTTACGCTTTAACACAAAAACTACTCAATTGATAATGATAAAATTTTGCATACTTATTCCCAAGGATATTAAAAAGAACATAGAATAGTTTTTATTTAAAAAATTTCAATATTTTAGTAGAAAATGCAAAAAATTTTAAAAAATAATTACTAACCTGTAAGTACAAAACAACTTTGCACATAATAACCCCAAAGAACCATGTGAGCGTAACATCCCAGATGACAGAAGGTATCAAACAGAAGACAATCACCATAAAATCAGCGATCGCCAAATTAACGATAAAATAGTTCGTCACTGTTCGCATCGAGTGATTACGATACACCGCGACGCACACGAGAATATTACCCACCAGACCCACGGTAAACACAACAAAATGCAGACTTATCAACACCCACGTCCATGTTTTCGGAAAGAGAAACTCTTTTAAGTCATGTAGATACTCTTCGGCGGCGATGGTATCATTCACTTCAGTAAATGTTTCATTCGCGTGCGAAATTATTAAATAATCACTGTCCGTGGAGTTTATAATTTCATTCTGGCTGTCAAATGTGTTTACGCTACGGTCGAGCGATGAAGTTGCTAACTCCAGATCGAAATATTCACGTTGCAGGTCACCATCCAGGACCTCCAGGACGTGGGCGTCTGTTGTGTTTGCAAGGGATGAACCGAAGAGGAGGAATAACACCGGAAGTACTACAGATGGCGCCATCTACAACAGAAATAAAAATATTTATGTGAGTATTGAGTAGTTGTAGTTGTATATTGGGTTGCCTAACTTTATTTTATTAAAATTGAGGTTTTATTGCATGTTTTTGACATTTTTCGCGTATTTTAATGAAAATTTATGCAAGTTTGCATCAGTTATGAATATTTATCGCTTCGTTAAATTTAATTGGTGCAATTAGCGATAATGTCGGTGCTTTATGTGAGGTTCACATTACGTCTCAGACTCAGACACCTGATTTTATCACAATATAAACATGAAAAAATAAATAATTAAGAAATTAACTAAAAATTAACAAAAAACACAAAAAAATATCGCGAAAAAATATTAATAAATATTTTCGTGTTAATATTGTAGTTATAAACATTTTGTTTATTTTAATAAAAGTTTAATAAAACTGCACTCTGTTTGAAGTTTAGTTTGAAAGTTTTTTCTCTTTTCTTCTTCGCTTTGAGCGCAAGAACATAAGAAACGTCGCTCGCATCGTAATAACGTTAATATAGCACGAAGGTTGTAGTTTTTGTTTTGTTAGTTGAAACAAGCACTTTCAGCTCACAGCGAAAATCTGCGGCGCTTTCGGAAAAAAGTGAAAATTTACGGTGCAAGTTACTCCACACTTTACGATCGGCGTTGGTGTTTCGGGATAACGCGCGCCACGACGATATGTTTGACTTTTTTGACCCGAAAATCATGAGGGTGCACATTTAACAAAATAAAACACAACATGTTCGGTTAGGTTTTTCTTTGTGTTATGAGAAAAATGAAGTTAAAGTTAAAATATTGAAGAAAAAATTTCTCTTTAAAATTTCTCTTTGTGTTTTTTGTAACTTATGCTCACTTGAGCCCAATTGTAAAGAAAAATATACACGTCGAAATAAAGCAATTTGTTGCGACTTTTGTGGTTCTCCACAGCGCGCTTTTGGCTTTATGACTTGTCACATTGTGTTTGTTTTTCTTTTTGGCGTTCTTTTTCGTCGCAGTTTGCGCTTTAAATTAAAAGCCCACGCGTTTGCTCTCAGCTCAATTTAGAACAATTTGTCAACTCTGCGGGTTAAAAACTTTTCGCCCGAATGCATTTATGAAAACACAAAACAGGAAACTTCAAACTCATATAGATAGATTTATAGAAACCACGCGTACGTATGTGTCGGCGGAAAATGCGCAAAATGCATTTTATTCCCTCGAGGAAATCGTTTTATATTAATAAAGTTGCGGATCATCTCTCTGCACATACGCCACACGCCACGGAAATAATATTTTTCGATTCTTTTCTTTTACTTTTGCGTGTTTTTAGCCTTTATCTCGCGAGTTTCCTTGCGTTTGCAGAGGTATTACGTAAAGCACATTAGGATTGTAAGGGCATTTTGTCAGGTTGGCGCAAATAAACGAGAATAAACCGGAGACTTTTGTCTGGACGCTTTGTTTTAAATGTTTTGTTTTATCGTGTTCGCCAACACGCCGAATCGCTGTGTGTGTAATTTCAAAGTTTTTCAATATTCCTCGCCTTACTTTCCCGCTGTTGTTCCACAAAGCTTTCGAATTCTTGTTGATTTTTTCGTCGATTTAATTCCGAAAAAAATTAGGTAGAGAAAAAAATTGTGGCACGTGCTAAATCTAATCAAAATTTGCATTTCCCGCGCTTGATAAGAAAAGAAAGTGAAATTTTACGCGCGCGTGTGGTGAAAATTTGGTATGCTGACGGGAATTTGGCACGCGCATAAATTAACTTTGAATTGCTTACGATTTTGATGCGTTTAGCAATGGTGTCGGCGCGTGGCTAATTCGACAGAGCATATCGGTCATTCCGGAAGCGCGTATGTCCTAACCGCAAAACCCTCGATCGTTCGCCGAGTTCGCCGCGTGTTTTGGTTAATTCTCGGGGCGAGAGTGCCTGAAAAGATCGTGATGAGCGCTATTCGAATTCGAGAGGTATGTGATGACTGATATACGATACAGCATCGAATTGAAATAAACCGCGAATCGATAAGTGGCAAAATTATTCATGGCCGCGCTTCCGAGTACGAATTCAATTTTCGTTCGTTTATTTTCAACAAATTGGAAATTTTTGTGTTCCAAATTAGAATATTGGGTTACATTCAAAGGACTATATTATGATTAACAGGAACATGCTAAAATACACGTCGCAGTTCATATAAATGCGAGTTAAAATTAGTTTCGCTTTGTGTGGATTAAATTAAATGGAAATGAATATTACTTATGGAATCCCTATTAATATTATAAATGCGAAAGTCCTGATGTTTGTTACACTTTCACGCAAAAACTACTTAACCGATCATCATGAAAATTTGTACACATATTCTTAGTGGTCCCCGAATGGTTATAGGCTACTTTTTATTTAATAAAAAAAATTATTTTTAAATAAAATAAAGAAATTGTTTAGCCAATAATACCTCTGCATCTGGCTATTTGACTACTTTAACGCCATCTAGCATTCCATCAATGAAGCTCAAACCTAAGTACTATAGTACCATCACACTGTATTACCGACAGCTACGTCAACATCAAATCCAATTGACTACACTATGGAGACTGTACACTATACTTCCATAGACTATACTTTCAGCCATTTTAAACTTCCCGCCATTCTACTTCATTGTTACTTCTTCTGTGACTACAGGCGCGTACGGAAGCAACTTCATTATTTTAGATATTCGCGAGCGAAGCCGTGGGTTAAAGCTAGTAATTCTATAATTTTGTGTGTAGATGGCGCTAGTATGCACATATTGAATCCTCGCGACGCGAAATTTGTGTTTACAAAAGAACGGTTTGTTGATTGTAGTGTTTTGAGATAACTAGAGATATTTCTGTCCGGTTTTGTCGATCAGATTGGGTTCGTTTCACTTTGTTGTTTTGATTGAATCAGTTTCTACCTGCGTGTACCTCACAACGTACGCGCTGCGTTAAAATAAAACGAGTGGTTTTCTTAAATATTACTCCGTTTTCTTAATAATGAATAAATTACTCTTGTGTCAAGTCTGGATAAATTACTAGTAAACTATAAATTATAGGTACCTAAATAAATAAATAAAGTTGTGTGTTTCGAATTAAAATCCAAGATCGAAGTAAAATGATTACTCGTGTTTTCGCAAATTGCATTTCGCGTTCTTTATCTGCGAAAACAAAGCGTCTCGAAGGCGCGCCGAGATTGAGATGGATAATGGAGCAAAACGAAATAATAAAATCTAGATCCGGCTGAAACCGCATTGAATTCATTACGTCTCAGCGGCGAGCCGACAACAAACGAATCGCGCAGAAAAATGAAGCAAAAGCGCGCGGAAAGTTGATTATTCTCGTTTTGACTGAGAGCGCGGAACCAAACTCGCGGCTTGCGGACCGCAATGATGAAAAGGATTACGCTGATAAATGATGAAACATTTTTAAAACATTTTTCAACTCGTTAAACTAAATGGGTTTGTGCAAGTTTTGTCCCCGCAAGTTTTAAACTCGGTTTGCAACTTTTGTTCGGCATCATTAGGTTTCGGCGAATCGCATATTAGGAAATGAAAAGATTTTTTAAATACGTAAGTAATTTTAAATGTTAATTTATAGATGTGGTCTGTCGTCAACCGTGTTTATTCGTATAGTGGTGTATGGAGTTTGCGTGTGGAATAAATTTCGTTGCTGGCGAATGCTCAAACAAAATTGCTAAACAAGTAACCCTAGGGCAATAAGGAGTAATCTCGATCTTTCTTTGAATAAATATGTACGGATTTTATTTGCAGCAGCAGAGAAAAAAAAAACAATTTATTCTCAGTGTTTTATCTCTAAAGTTTTTTGGTTTAATGGAAAAAGAGAAGAAAATATCATTTAATATTATTGTTTTTTGTTTCATTAAATTCAAAACTAGACATGATGACAGAGTTTTTGTTGGGGTTGTTAGTTTAGTTGAAAAAATGGTATTACAACGTTTGATATTGCTTCTGACGTCAATGTTGAGTTGACAAAACAGAAAACTTGAGTTTTTTTGACATAATCTAAGAAAGCACAATTAAATCTACAAAAATATAATCGAAAATTTTGCTTTGCTCCGTATTTTTTATATTTTTGCTGTTTTTTCTTTTTTTTTGTTAATACATATTAATAATAATATTCTACACCTAGTATTATTAATAGTACATTTTTATAATTAAATATATCGGTACTACTTAACTTTATTGCTTGAAAAGAAGTTATTTTGGAATTATTTCATTTTTGTCAATTAATTATTAGTAATGTCTTCTTTATTTTTTCTATTTATTTACTTAGTTACTTAATTTGTCTAAAAGAAGTAACAAAACAATTATTTACATAAAATATTCATAAAAATTGCCCCAATGGTAGCATTTTCTTCATAATAAAAAAATATAATTTGATGCAGTTACATATTTACACCAAACATCATTAACACCTGTCAAAATCAGTAGACACGAAAATAATATAATGTTTATCGTTGTTAAATAATGGAAAAAAGACTACATGCTTTATTATTCTGCAAAATATTGATTGTAACGAGCGTAAATTAACTTTTAAATTGAATCGTTTGTTCTGATTGTTACCAATTTGATTTTATTGTGCGAAAATTTAATTTCAAGTGTACGTAAACGATTTCGCGACTCATAATTCACAATATAATGCACATAATTTGTTAGCAACTTGTCAAAAGAAATTTTCAAGTTTTCACTTTGTCATTCATAAAAACTGCAAAATAATCGAAGTTTTTTCACAAAACATTGAAAACTAATTTTATTAAATTAATAATTATTATTTTATAAAAAAAAATATTAAATAATATATATCTCTAGATAATTACGTTTAAAGTTTATTGAGTGTGGACGACAGGATGAATCACATGTTTTCCAAATCTTTCAGTCACTTTCGGAACTTTTTCCAGTCACTTCAGAGCACAACTTGTCTTCATCAATTTATTCACGAAAGGAAAAAGTTTGTTTTACAACTTTATAATTAATTTTTCTTCTTAATAACACAATACACTTTATTTTAAAATCAATACGTGTTTATGATTTTGGATAATGTCATTGTGTTGGATGCGTTTGAATGTTGAAATGCGCTTGTGTGGCCGAATATTTCGCGGGTAGTTCCGTGCCGCCGACGACCGGCAGTGAGCGCGCGACTTGGAGCAAATGCGGAGTGCGTTCGCTCTTGAACCGCCGCCGGGACGCCGCCGACGGGCGGCAGGACCAACGACGCGGCGCTTACGACACGCGCCGGTGATAATAACGCATAAAACGGACTAAAAACCAGTAAAAATAATTGATTCTAACTGCCTGAACAAAAAATATAAATAAAATATGATTTATTATAGGCATAAATTATTCCCCATAATTTATTAGGTAATTAGTTCATATATAATATAATATTATCAGTTTTAGCTATATTTTATAGATTCTGCAATAATATTTTATCGCACAAATTTTAAAAATGAATTTTTTGTTTGTTTTGAAAAAAAATAAACTTAAATTTAATTTAAAAAGACATTAAATTATTAATTAATGAAAAAAGGTGTAATTTTAATCAAGGAAAATCTCCTGTCATTTGTTTTTATCATATTTTTGACATTTGTAAGTTTTTAAAAAGTTTTCTTTCACACGATAAACATTTGCTGCGCGCCACCGGGTTTTTCTTCCGTCTGCTGCATTTTCATGATTTGATTCAGCCGACCCTCGTGCATCTTTACAGTAGCTGTCATCCGTTTAATGTTTTTCATCAATTCCATATTTGTTTCTTCAGTCATCATAATCGTGCGTTCCGATATCTCGTTGTACATTTCTGTTTGTGCATTCAAAGCGTTGATTTGTTCAGCGAGCATATGACCGCGTTCTGACTCTTGTTCAACACCTAGCTGAGTTTCTTGAAGAGCGGCTTTCATTTCTTCATAAGCCCTATTGGGTACAAATAATATGATTTTAAAATTAGTGTTATACACTGTATAGAATACTATTTTGATAGCATTAAAGTAGTTTTCTTTCTTAAGAGGTAATACAGTTTGAGCTTTTACTATTTTTGTATAGTTTTGTCAGTCACTAATAGAGGCCGCTAGTGGCCGACTACTGAAGACGCGGGTATTCTACTATATTAGTTGTACATACTCGCACCTAGATGGCGCTGTTTTATGTTTTTGAATATCACTTACCCGGTTAGTTTAGTTTCACCACCTTTCTTTCTCTTATTAGCTTCTTCATAACTTTTAGCTTGTTTCTCGCGCGCTGCGCGAACTGCCTTCAGTACAGCTTCCATCTGATCGCTTTCTTGTTTAATATCCTAATGAATAATAAAATTAACTTGATAAACATAAGTAATAATTTTAACTGTACAGTCTTACATCAACCCGTTTCTTCAATTTAACACTCTCCGTATTCAATTCTTGTTTCATTTGCGAAATAATATTAACATGTCGCCGCTGCATGCGCATCGCAATCTCTTCCTTCATGTTAGCCATCAACTGCAAAAAGATCTCTACCAAAAATGGAGGATATGTCTCTTTCAAAGTAGTTATAGCTTTCTTCGTGGGTGGTTTATTAATGCAGTATTCCCACATTGCACTGGGCAATTCGTATTTGTTTTCCTCAGCAATTCCGGAAGCTTCGAAGAACGATTGCTCCAATTCGGCACCGATGTTGTCCAAAACCTCTTCGCGCGTTTGTGTTTGTCGCTTGCGGCGATATGTGAGATCAAACAATAACAGAAGTAATTCTACCCGACGTTCTTTATCAGGCATGAGAGCATACTGTGCGTATTCATTTCTGCGTTGCAAGTCTTTAATTAATTGGTCCATGAGACCGTCCACGATAGTATTCTCTTGCGTGGTGATTTTCCCGTCTAACTCATCGCCGATGTTTTGTAGAATCACCTCGTAGAAGGTGATAACTCTTTGTCTTTCATGAGGATCCTTCCGTCGGGAGAGAATTACCTCCATTTCTGTTTGAGGTGGGACGTATTCTTTGAATTTCTCTTGCATTGCGTTATCAAAGGCCCTGTAAAATTTCTTTTAATTAATTATGAACTTTAAAGTAATGTAGGATGTTTCTTACCCTTCACCACCACCGAACCATAAAGGTTCGTCACTCATGTTCACTGCTACGTAGGCAAATGCACCTTCTCCACCAGGCATCGCCCTGGTAGCAACATAGGTCCTACCGTCAGGTGACCCATCGTTTTCATCCGCGGCTGGTGTTGTTTCATTTAACTCCTCGACCCACGCAGGAGTAATAATTTCTGTAGTCAATGCAGGGAAGTAACTGGCTGCGTCGTCAAAATTGATGTCATCGGGATTCTGTGTAAAAGGGCCTGATAGTTGCTTTTCTTGAAGGTCCAGTAGTAAATTTGATAGGAAAATGTTGCGATTGCGTTTTTGAGATATTGTGGAACATGCCTCCCCACAGAGTTTTTGCAACCATTGCTGAAGCAATATTAAAATTATAAATGGGACAATGAATTAAATTAATAAGTCTACTTGTGCTTTTGGTTTATCGCATTCTTTGAGTTTTTGCATGACGCCGCTAGTGAAACCTAGATAGAAGAGGAAATCTTCATCTAGTTTATCTTCGACACTCATTTTGGTGGTGTCAGAAGAACTTTACATGAAATTTATTAGGTCACATTTACTGACAATATCAGCAATTTGACAAATTATGTTTTATGTGACAAGTATAATTTGTTTTGTAATTTTGCTATGATTTTTATAGTTTGTCAAATCATCAATTTAAAGATTCAATTCTTCGAATCACGAAATTCAAATACTCGTATGTAGTTTCGATGAGACAAGACGTTGGTGTATAAACAACTTTTTTTGTTGTGTTTTAATAACGAAATGCAACGCGCACGTTTTACGCGCAATAACGCTGCGCGCTCGGCTTAGCTGCTGGCTTGCTGAGCGTACCGGCTCTAAAGCGACAGTGCACTTTAAGTATTTGTGTTAGTTTCGCGTGGTTCGCCACTCGCCGTGTTACCTCAAAATAACAGATCAACCGGTGGTATAGCCATTAATCACGTAATTTAAGTGTCTGTGAATTTAAATGAGATTAATGTGCCCCTCAATTTTGTATTATTTCGGGTTTGCACGCGATCTAGGGGGTTCATTAGCCTCACCGCGACGTCAAAAGATGCGGAATTAAATTCTCCGTGTGGTGGAATTTGTTTGTTGCAGGAATTCAACCTACAACTTGCGAAAATTTTCATTCAAAGGTGATTTTGTCACCTTTTACCGTGAAATTTTTGTATTATTTCGGGTTTGCACGCGAACTAGGCGACTGATTAGCTTCGCCGCGACGTCAAAAGATGCGGAATTAAATTCTCCGTCTGGTGGTATTTGTTTGTTGCAGGAATTCAACCTGCAACTTGCGAAAATTTGCATTCAAAGGTGATTTTGTCACCTTTTACCGTGAAATTTTTGTATTATTTCGGGTTTGCACGCGATCTAGGGGGTTCATTAGCCTCACCGCGACGTCAAAAGATGCGGAATTAAATTCTCCGTCTGGTGGTATTTGTTTGTTGCAGGAATTCAACCTGCAACTTGCGAAAATTTGCATTCAAAGGTGATTTTGTCACCTTTTACCGTGAAATTTTTGTATTATTTCGGGTTTGCACGCGATTTAAGCGGCTCATTAACTTCAGCACGGCATCAAAAGATGCGGAATTAAATTCTCCGTCGGGTGATATTTGTTTGCTGCAGGAATTCGACCTGCAACCTCCGAAAATTTGCATTCAAATGTGATTTTGTCACCTTTTGCCGTGAAATTTTTGTATTATTTCCAGTTTGCACGCGATCTAGGCGGCTTGATAACTTTAGCGTGGCATCAAAAGATGCGGAATTAAATTCTCCGTCTGGTGGTATTTGTTGGTTGCAGGAATTCAACCTGCAACTTGCGAAAATTTGCATTCAAAGGTGATTTTGTCACCTTTTACCGTGAAATTTTTGTATTATTTCGGGTTTGCACGCGATCTAGGTGGTTCATTAGCCTCGCCGCGGGGCCAAAAGATGCGGAATTAAATTCTACATCGAGTGGTATTTGTTTGCTGCAGGAATTCGACCTGCAACCCTCGAAAATTTGCATTCAAAAGTGATTTTGTCACCTTTTGCCGTGAAATTTTTGTATTATTTCCGGTTTGCACACGATCTAGGCGGCTCAATAATTTCAGCGTGGCGTCAAAAGACGCGGAACTAAATTCTACATCAAGTCGTATTTGTTTGCTGCAGGAATTCGACCTGCAACCCTCGAAAATTTGCATTCAAAAGTGTTTTTCACTTTTACCGTGACATTTTTGTATTATTTCGGGTTTGCACGCGATCTAGGCGGCCCATTAACTTCAGCGCGGCGTCAAAAGATGCGGAATTATATTCTCCGTCGGGTGGTATATTTTCTCTCTGTATCACTCGGTATATTACTGTTAATTACCTTCCTGGTTAAAGTGGGAAAAGTTTATTGTTGCAACGTACTGTTTTTTTATCATTGGCTTTCTTTTTGTAACACCCTGTATATTAGTTGCATGTATTAATTGCTATTTCTTAATGCGAATGTGTGTGAATATGCAGGTCGTAAGCATCTCTTCATGCATTTTCTTGTTATGATTTTATTTCTCCTCTTATTTTTCCGATTGTAATACTTTATCTTACAGTGAATATTTAAATTAGGCGCAGTGTTGTAAACACCAATTGAGCCGTTTATTTTGAAAGTGACCTAACTCCGTTTTTAAATTTTTGCCGGTTACCATGGTTACATGTACAACTTCATGTTATTTATTAGTGACGCACTTCAGATTGCTTATATTCAGAGAAAATACGGTACATTTTTTACACATAAGTTTTCCGAATTAATTGAATAACTGAGCCGTGCAGTTTGAAAGTGGCCTAACTCCATTTATAGTTACATCAAGCTATTTACTATTGATAATGTCGGAAAGCAGCGATGAAGGTAATTTCAATTAATTAGTATTTACAAGTTCACCTTATTTTTGGGACAATTGCGTTGGTTAATTAACCTGTACGTTTAATTAATATAAAACTTAAAATTTAATATTAAATTATAGAAATTATTGCACCCATGAGGAAGAACAGAAGAAGACCACTTAGTTCATATAGTGAAGAAGAAATAGTAATTAATAATTAAAAAAAAGCGAATAACAAAAAGAATTATAGAACAATATTCCTCGTCAGAGGATGAAGATTCAAATAACAATGCAGAAAAGAGTGATGCACCATATATCTAAAAAGTGCGAAAGATTAAACAGAATTCAGGAAAAAGATATTGCAGTCAAACCGGAAGTATTGTTCAAGAAAAAAATTTCGAAAACAAAGATTGTGGTTGTCGGAATGCGTGCACAAAAAATTATAATGAAGAAGAAAGAAAGAATATTTTTGAGAAGTTTAGGGGTTTGGCAGACTTTAACAAACAAAATGTATTACTTCACGAAGCTGTCTGTGAAACGAAAACGTTTTGTTTTTCAATTTGAAACATCTTAAATTATGTTGAATGGACTTGGGCATCCTCAAATTTTATAATGAATCGGGCTGTTAATTTTGAAAGTGGCCCAACTCCATTCTTGATAAGGAAACGCACGTTATTTACTTAATAATTGCCACTATTTTAACAGGAACTTTAAATTTAACATCCTTAGATACGCTTAAGCAGTATGACTCCTTAGTATCTTTTACCTATATTTTTAAATTCATTGAAACGCAAAACTTTCAATATCTCGATTTGAAGATAAATGGAGTTAGGCCACTTTCAAAATAAGCGGCTCAATTATTTAATTAACTAAGGTATACAGTAAACTTTTACGAAGGCTCAATCATATTACACCCCAAAGCCAATGAATTCTTTTCGTATGCCGAGAAGTATTGAAAGTAAAAGTAAATTTCGTTTATGTGTATTTCAACATTGTGAATTTTATGTTTCGTCTTCTCAACTACGTGTTTATCAGTACGTTTGGGTATAAACAACTTTTTTGGTTCGACTGACGCGTGATACCGCTGCATACCTGCCATGTACCCGGCTACGCGCAGCGCACACGGCAGTTGTTTCACCGCGTGGTCCGCGAGCTTGTCTCTCTAATCGCCACGCGTTTTGAGGGGTTAATTGGATTAATCGTCGTGTATTCTTTCGGCCATCGACATAATATTCGCAATGGGCATGTGTGCCTGTTTTGTTTTATGATTTATGGCGGTTAGAGTCTTCTTAAGTGAGAAATAAGTGCCCGTTAATGCCTGCGCGTGTTTTCAGTTGATAGAATATATTATAGGATAGAAAATCTCCTGATCAATAAGTTAATACGGTTTAACTTAAATTGATTATTCAGTTTGAGGGATATTAATTTTGTAGCTTACAAACACGTGGTGCAATTTTAATCAGAATTCTTCTTAGTCACGTTTCCAAAAATAACATGTTTGATTTAATTATTACTAGCACGGTTTTTAAAATTATCTGAGGATTATTAAAATGACAAAATTCATGTGGTCGACCACGCTTACTTTGCCGTCGGGCGTCGGTTCGGTCATGTTTTTGATGATCACGTAAACATTTTTAATCGAATTGCATCATTAAATTAATAATTTCTTGTTGAAATAAAATCTTGAACGGTGAATAGTTTTTTGTCTTCGCAGTCTATGTATATCTTAATGTTTACAAAGAAATAGTTATTTTTATCATCTTTAACCACTGTGTTGCTACGCGCCGTCGCTTGCCGTCTGTTGATTATAATTTTAGATGTTTTCTGCCGGATATTCTATCAATTTATGATGATGCGACTACCCGTCAGTTACCTTCAGTTGATGCTACCATCAATTAATAAATATATATTTACAATATATTATAATGTTAGTGTTTTATTTTTGTAGCACTCTATTGCTCAATTTTCCGATATTTTTGGGGCAAAAACTCTGATTTTATATTAAAATATTGTTGTTAATTTGTAAATTTTCCTCTTCATATTGTGAATAATGACTCCCTTTGTAGTTTTTGAAATAATCTTTCTGTAACACCCTGTATATTGGTTTTCCTAACAGCACGTACGTAGAAAATCACCTTTAGTTCTGAGTTTTGAGTGTTCTCTGTTTTGAACATGGAATTGTCTTTTTAGATCACCCTGTATATATGTTTTCCTTTGTGTCCGTGAAAATTTTGCTTTAGCTGATGTTTTTAGTATTTTCCCTTTGCACTTTGAATTTTCTTTCTGAAACACCTTGTATATTAATTTCCCTGATCGTCGAGTGAAAACGAGCGGCGTTTATAGTGTTGAGAGTTTTTTGTTTGCACTTAAAATTCACCTTTTGTAACACCCTGTATATTTGTTTCCATTTTCAATCACCTAGAAAATTTGCTATTTACTAATTTCATTATCCGGTAGAACTTTATGAAGTAGTACTTGCTGGCATGTGCGCGGCTATGCAGGTCGTTCAATATGGAGACATGTATTCTGTTGACTTGTAAAATCTAAACTTGTATTCTATTATTAATAAATAAATAGTAAGATATATTGACTTCTTTGATTTGTATACCCCTTCTATCATTTCAGGAACAGGTCTCTAAGAGAGTTCCCTCTCTCAGGGGATGATCCCCACTATAAAAATTGTTAAGGTATCCTGTGTGATTTGTGTGCTCCTTCTTTCATTTCAGAACTTGTAAGAATATTTTTAAGTGTCACCTCTCTTGAGGCGACTTAAAATTTAGAAATATTTGAACAAGACCTTATAAGGATTGCCCTTATAAGGAGTTCCTCTCTCTGGGGTGATCCCCACCATAAAAATTGTTGATATGCCTGATAATTTCGGGGATGAAGCGCAGAGACATCGTAGCTGTAGGTTGGGCCGGGAGCAATGGACGGATCGAAGCAGTGGGCGATCGACCAGAGCGCCTCCGACCTATGACTGTCTTATAACGACACGTGCCAAAAATTTAAAAATCTCATCCACTCCTGTTGCTCTTTCTTCCATCTCCTCCCCTTCTCTACTCTGTTCTCTTCCTTCTGTCTTCTACTCTTCTCTGCTATTCTTTTCTTCTACTTCTCCTATTTCTCTGTTCTCCACTTTCTTACTTCTCTTATATTTCGTTGCAATTCACATATGCAACCCAAATTACACCTGTTATTTTTATATTTGAGAAAAATGCCTTCTATAACTGGGATTCGATCCGTGCCTACTAGCATGCTAGCAGGTGCACGTACCCACTCGACCACCGAGTCATTTTATCATTGTTATTTGATTCTTCTATATATGATTCTACTTTATTCAACTTTTTAAAAACAACAACACAACACAAACAACAGCTATATATTGTACACGCTCGACGCACTTAAAAATTTATATGGAATATGATTCAAGACATCAATCCTGCAAACAGCAAAGGGGAAACCAGAAAGAAATATGAAGAAGTATATAATATTACAATAGGTTTTATTAGAAACATTAAAAACTACATACAAACAAAAAACAGGATAATGATATACAATTATATAATGCTCTTTTTATAACTTTTAACAAAATAACTAAAAATGATATCAATAACAGCTTCAAAATGTTGTAAATTTATTTAATCGTATTTGCAATCATCATCAACAGCGAGATACGGAATTAAATTCTGCAGCGGAGAAAATTCTTCCGAACATACTGTGAGACTGCCTCCACGTGCTATACTAAAAAAAAAACTACAATACAAGCAACAAGTACTATGGGGCATACAAACAACTTTCAATATAACTCGCGTTACGGAATTTTCTCGCAATATATTTCTATACAGGGTGATTCAGAATAAAATTCTGCATCAGGAAAAATTATTTCGAAGTTATTGTGAGACCGCGTTCGTGTGTTATAGCAAAAACTACAATTCCTAGCGCAACGAGTACTACGGCGCACACACACATCTTTCAATATAACTCGCGTTACGGAATTTTCTCGCAATATATTTCAATACAAGGAAATAAAGAATTAAATTATGCATCTGGGAAAGTTCAATCCGAACTTAGTTTAAGACCGCGTTCGCGTGTTATAATATTAAGAAAGTACAATTCCTAGCGCAACGAGTACTATTGCGTATATGCGTATACACACAACTATCATTATAACTCGCGTTACGGAATTTTCTCGCAATAAATTTCGATACAGGGAAATAAAGAATTAAATTCCGCATCTGGGAAAGTCAATCCGAACTTAGTTTAAGACCGCGTTCGCGTGTTATAATATTAAGAAAGTACAATTCCTAGCGCAACGAGTACTATTGCGTATATGCGTATACACACAACTATCATTATAACTCGCGTTACGGAATTTTCTCGCAATAAATTTCGATACAGGGAAATAAAGAATTAAAATCCGCATCTGGGAAAGTCAATCCGAACTTAGTTCAAGACCGCGTTCGCTTGTTATAATATTAAGAAAGTACAATTCCTAGCGCAACGAGTACTATTGCGTATATGCGTATACACACAACTATCATTATAACTCGCGTTACGGAATTTTCTCGCAATAAATTTCGATACAGAGAAATAAGGAATTAAATTCTTCATCTGGGAAAGTTAATTCGAACTTAGTTTAAGACCGCGTTCGCGTGTTATAATATTAAGAAAGTACAATTCCTAGCGCAACGAGTACTATTGCGTATATGCGTATACACACAACTATCATTATAACTCGCGTTACGGAATTTTCTCGCAATAAATTTCGATACAGAGAAATAAGGAATTAAATTCCGCATCTGGGAAAGTTAATCCGAACTTAGTTTAAGACCGCGTTCGCGTGTTATAATATTAAGAAAGTACAATTCCTAGCGCAACGAGTACTATTGCGTATATGCGTATACACACAACTATCATTATAACTCGCGTTACGGAATTTTCTCGCAATAAATTTCGATACAGGGAAATAAAGAATTAAATTCCGCATCTGGGAAAGTCAATCCGAACTTAGTTTAAGACCGCGTTCGCGTGTTATAATATTAAGAAAGTACAATTCCTAGCGCAACGAGTACTATTGCGTATATGCGTATACACACAACTATCATTATAACTCGCGTTACGGAATTTTCTCGCAATAAATTTCGATACAGGGAAATAAAGAATTAAATTCCGCATCTGGGAAAGTCAATCCGAACTTAGTTTAAGACCGCGTTCGCGTGTTATAATATTAAGAAAGTACAATTCCTAGCGCAACGAGTACTATTGCGTATATGCGTATACACACAACTATCATTATAACTCGCGTTACGGAATTTTCTCGCAATAAATTTCGATACAGGAAATAAAGAATTAAATTCCGCATCTGGAAAAGTCAACCCGAACTTAGTTTAAGACCGCGTTCGCGTGTTATAATATTAAGAAAGTACAATTCCTAGCGCAACGAGTACTATTGCGTATATGCGTATACACACAACTATCATTATAACTCGCGTTACGGAATTTTCTCGCAATAAATTCCGATACCGGGAAATAAAGAATTAAATTTCGCATCTGGGAAAGTCAATCCGAACTTAGTTTAAGACCGCGTTCGCGTGTTATAATATTAAGAAAGTACAATTCCTAGCGCAACGAGTACTATTGCGTATATGCGTATACACACAACTATCATTATAACTCGCGTTACGGAATTTTCTCGCAATAAATTCCGATACCGGGAAATAAAGAATTAAATTTCGCATCTGGGAAAGTCAATCCGAACTTAGTTTAAGACCGCGTTCGCGTGTTATAATATTAAGAAAGTACAATTCCTAGCGCAACGAGTACTATTGCGTATATGCGTATACACACAACTATCATTATAACTCGCGTTACGGAATTTTCTCGCAATAAATTTCGATACAGGGAAATAAAGAATTAAATTCCGCATCTGGGAAAGTCAATCCGAACTTAGTTTAAGACCGCGTTCGCGTGTTATAATATTAAGAAAGTACAATTCCTAGCGCAACGAGTACTAGTGCGTATATGCGTATACACACAACTATCATTATAACTCGCGTTACGGAATTTTCTCGCAATAAATTTCGATACAGAGAAATAAAGAATTAAAATCCGCATCGCGTGAATCCGAACTTAGTTTAAGACCGCGTTCGCGTGTTATAATATTAAGAAATACAATTTCGAGTACTATTGCGTATATGCGTATACACACAACTATCATTATAACTCGCGTTACGGAATTTTCTCGCAATAAATTTCGATACAGAGAAATAAAGAATTAAAATCCGCATCTGGCAAAGTGAATCCGAACTTAGTTTAAGACCGCGTTCGCGTGTTATAATATTAAGAAAGTACAATTCCTAGCGCAACGAGTACTATTGCGTATATGCGTATACACACAACTATCATTATAACTCGCGTTACGGAATTTTCTCGCAATAAATTTCGATACAGGGAAATAAAGAATTAAAATCCGCATCTGGGAAAGTCAATCCGAACTTAGTTCAAGACCGCGTTCGCTTGTTATAATATTAAGAAAGTACAATTCCTAGCGCAACGAGTACTATTGCGTATATGCGTATACACACAACTATCATTATAACTCGCGTTACGGAATTTTCTCGCAATAAATTTCGATACAGGGAAATAAAGAATTAAATTCCGCATCTGGGAAAGTCAATCCGAACTTAGTTTAAGACCGCGTTCGCGTGTTATAATATTAAGAAAGTACAATTCCTAGCGCAACGAGTACTATTGCGTATATGCGTATACACACAACTATCATTATAACTCGCGTTACGGAATTTTCTCGCAATAAATTTCGATACAGGAAATAAAGAATTAAATTCCGCATCTGGGAAAGTCAATCCGAACTTAGTTTAAGACCGCGTTCGCGTGTTATAATATTAAGAAAGTACAATTCCTTACGCAACGAGTACTATTGCGTATATGCGTATACACACAACTATCATTATAACTCGCCTTACGGAATTTTCTCGCAATAAACTTCGATACAGGAAAATAAAGAATTAAATTCCGCATCTGGGAAAGTCAATCCGAACTTAGTTTAAGATCGCGTTCGCGTGTTATAATATTAAGAAAGTACAATTCCTAGCGCAACGAGTACTATTGCGTATATGCGTATACACACAACTATCATTATAACTCGCGTTACGGAATTTTCTCGCAATAAATTTCGATACAGGGAAATAAAGAATTAAATTCCGCATCTGGGAAAGTCAATCCGAACTTAGTTTAAGACCGCGTTCGCGTGTTATAATATTAAGAAAGTACAATTCCTAGCGCAACGAGTACTATTGCGTATATGCGTATACACACAACTATCATTATAACTCGCGTTACGGAATTTTCTCGCAATATATTTCTATACAGGAAGATCCAGAATTAAATTCTGCATCTGGGAAAATTGTTCCGAACTTAGTGTGATACCGCGGTCGCGAATAATAATAAAAAAGTACAATTCCAAGCGCAACGAGTTTAATGTCGATTTTAGGACACTTCCGGCACGATTTTGCGGGGCGGCAAGGGCGCACCGTATAAGTAAACTCTCGCGTTACTTAAATTTGAAAGAATCAATCAAATCGCACAAACGGTTCTCGAGATACAGCCAAATTTCCACCGCGTGTTGCAAAAATTCGCAAAAATCGAGCACATTTTAAGGCGATTTTAGGGCACTTCTGGCATGGTTTTGGAGGACGGCAAAGTCGCGCCGCATAAATAAACTTTCGCATTATTTAAATTTGAAAGAATCATTCAAATCGCACAAGTGGTTCTCGAGATACAGCAAAATTTCCACTGCGTGTTTCGAAAATTCGCATAAATCGGCAAAGTTTAAGGGCGATTTTAGGGCACTTCTGGCATGATTTTGCGGGGCGGCGAGGTCACACCGTATAAACTAACTCTCGCGTTATTTGAATTTGAAAGAATCATTCAAATGGCACAAGTGGTTCTCGAGATACAGCAAAATTTCCACCGCGTGTTTCGAAAATTCGCAAAAATAGGCAAGGTTTAAGGGCGATTTTAGGGCACTTCTGGCATGATTTTGCGGGGCGGCAAGGTTGCACCGTATAAATTAACTCTCGCGTTATTTGAATTTGAAAGAATCATTCAAATCGCGCAAGTGGTTCTCAAGATACAGCAAAATTTCCGCCGCGTGTTTCAAAAATTCGCAAAAATCGGCAAAGTTTAAGGGCAATTTTAAGGCACTTCTGGCATGTTTTTGCGGGGCGGCAAGGTCGCACCGTATAAATTAACTCTCGCGTTATTTGAATTTGAAAGAATCATTCAAATCGCGCAAGTGGTTCTCAAGATACAGCAAAATTTCCGCCGCGTGTTTCGAAAATTCGCAAAAATCGGCAAAGTTTAAGGACGATTTTAGAGCACTTCTGGCATGATTTTGCGGGGCGGCAATGTCGCACCGTATAAATAAACTCTCGCGTTATTTAAATTTGAGAGAATCATTCAAATCGCACAAACGGTTCTCGAGATACAGCAAAATTTCCACCGCGTGTTTCGAAAATTCGCAAAAATCGGCAAAGTTTAAGGACGATTTTAGTGCACTTCTGGCATGATTTAGCGGGGCGGCAAGATCGCACAGTAGAAATAAACTCTTGCCTTATTTAAATTTGAAAGAATTATTCAAATCGTACAAACGGTTCTCAAAATACAGCCAAATTTCCACCGTGTGTTTCAAAAATTTGCAAAACCGACAAAGTTTAAGAGGGATTTCGCGGGTTGTCAAGGCCGGACGGTATGAATAAACGCTCGTGCTATCTAAATTTGAAAGAATCATTTAAATTGCACAAACGGTTCCCGAGATACAGCCAAAGGGAGCAGCATTGTAAATCGCAACTATTATTGCTCCATTAATAAAAAAAAGACTCTCAAAATAAATCGAGAAATTTCCGAGATAACAATTTCAGCACAAGGAAAAGGGTAAACCTTTTTCAATATCCAAATATCCAAACTTCACAAAAATCTGTTTTACCACAGTTTTAACAACAAATATAATTCAGTAAAAACTTACCGGCGCACCGTGTACTAAGAATCAAAGAGTCCAGTGGCAAGAGCTGTAACAGACATAGAATAATTAATTTTAATATTTCACATGGTGATACAATGCAATATGTGTTGTAAATTTACGGCTTGACTAACAAATCATAACACTCGTATTAACAGAAGATTATGCTAATATCCGTTTGACTCTATTGCAAGAAAGTTTAGGTTAATATTATTAGTTTAAAGCACATGGTATTAAAAAGTTGAGATAAATTACCTTCAGCTTTGATAATAATCGACACATGCGGGGTATCTCACTCTTCTTCAAATAAACACGGAGTTAAATTATTATACACGGCAACACCACGAAATGAATTACAATTTTGAAACAATACGGCGACCGGACAGCAACGTAAACCGAACGAGAATGCACTTGAGTGCAGAGTCGCAACGCCGAATGCGCTGAGAATACTAGCAGCTAAGCAGAGCGCGCAGCGTCAATGCGCGTAGAATGCGCGCGTAAAAAGTTGTTTATCTTGATAAACGCACTGATAAACACGAATACCCGAATACGAAAACAATTCTTCAACGATTCACTGAACAAGTTTGACCGAAATACAGCGGAGAGAACGAAAATACGACGAATTAAATTACGTATATTCACTGTCAACTATATGCATATAAAAATCTCTTATTGAACAAGAATTTAGAAAAATATTCATCTCTAACGTGTAACGTGTTAATTGATCTATAAGTTTATATGTTTATTTTTCAATAAAAACAGCTTAGTTAAAAGTATTTGTAGCGAAACTCATCAATTTTCGTAGTATTTTTTCGGAAAACTCAATTTTTCATGGGTTTGTCCCTTTAATATTTATTAATCCGAAGCGACTATAAGTAATCTTAAATCGTGTTGCAAGATTTTTAATTAATACAAAAATATGAATTACCCGCGATTTTTAATTATCTTATTCAATAGAAAATTGATTTGTTATTGAGCAGATTCGTTGAATTTTAAATTTACATACATTTTTTTAAAATTACATTTCTAACGTATTCACATATTTTAAATAACATTATATCGTCAGTAACTGATGATGACGAAACACGATTAACACAAATAAAATATTCAATATTAAATAATTTAATATCTGGGGAATTAAATAAAAAAAAGTTATTTTTCTGTATTGTGCGTAACAGCAAATGGTAAAGAGGAAGTGGAATGTTGTCTTTCATTTGCTCGGATAGATTTTAATGAACGACTTCATCCTGTATATACAGACATATTGTTAATAATAGTATCGTCTAGCAAGATATTACGATAACTAAATTTGAGCGTTAATAAAATATCGTAATCTGTTTCAATATTATTAAATATTAGTGACTCGTTTTCATAAAAATGATTAAATAAATACTATTTGCTGCTATCATTGGCAAGATTACCTAAAATTAGTGGCAATAATATTTCAACTGTTTGTATGTGGAATTCAACTTCCATATCCAAAGCAGAGAAAATATATGTGATAAGATAAGAACAGCGATGCAACGTTTAAAATAACTTCTACTTTCGCAAATTATATGCAGTTTGCAAAATGTGGGCGTTGTTCATACTGCTTTTAGGTTCTCAAGGCTACTACCAAGTGTTAGCGAAGACACAATTACTATTCGCAAATGTTACTGGAACTGGACGAAATGCAAGGGTGGAGGCAGAGTGTTACAATGATGATTACAATGACGCCATTGCATGGATCACACCACCACAGAACAATAATATTTTGTCAATGTCAGGTATTTTATAATTTGAATTATTTTACGCAAATATATATATATTTAAATTTGTAGATAATTTAGGTTCTATTGACTTTAATTGGGATAAGGCCGGATGGGCTTCTGATTTTGCCTATAAAGGAATGTTTGGGCCAATCATGGATTACTCATGGGAAAGTAATACTCTTTCAGTTAATACTATCTTATATTGAATTAATTTTTAATATTTAAATAGCATTCCCAATTATTAAAACACAAAGAGCCGAACCAAAAATTGAGAAATACAATTTTGAAAAGCTAGACCCAATAAAAATATTTAATCAATTCGAATTAAATTTTTCATTTTTGGGAAAATCAAATGCACAAATTTACATGTGCACCGGTGCGCAAGTACAAAAGAGTGCTTGCTTCATATTTATTTTAGGCGGTTGGGAAGGAACGGGTAGTATTTTAAGACGGTGCAAAAATGGTACATCACCTATTATCTCAAATGATAAATTGGATGGATGTGAAAATGTTGTTAAGAAAGTATTAACGTTGTAATGTTCATATGATCAAATTTATACCAAAATATTTTTAGAAAGAACATGGATCACTCTTCTCAGAAGATAATTGGAGCCATATATCAATAAGATATTCTAATCAACAATTGCAAGTGATTGTTGATGACAATTCATTAATGTTATACAATGCAGCGAATAACAGCGAATTTAATCAGTATGAAAGATTGTTTATTCACTCATTTAACGAGACCGCTTTGTGGAAATATCATAATTGTATAAAATCACAATTAGTGATTAAAATGCTTAAACTAAATGTATTATTTTAGATTTATACCATGAAGCTCGAAGTGTTAAAAATGGGTATATAGATAGCAATTGGTTTTATGTAAATTCTGGTCAACTATGCATTTCGTTCTTTGCAAACTTTGAGAAAGAAACGACTATATCACTATATGGCTATAGTGACAATGACATACCCAAGCAAATTAAAACATTCAATTATGAGGGTGATAAAAACCTGCAATGGAATTACAAGACATTGAATAGTTCAGAAGTGGAAAACAATACATACATATTGCGTATAAATGTGGATGAAGAAAATATCATAGCAATTCGAAACGTAATACATCAAGTAAATTGCGGAAGAACTAAACGTAATCAATTCCATTCATCAATATTGTCATTCGATGGTTTGCCGCTCAAAACAAAGTGTACATCCCTTCGAGAAAAAAGCGCACAACTTGCATTGAGACAAGCAAGTATTAATAGCGACACTGAGAAACAGAACTCTTTGTGTACTACTTTGTATAATAATACAGTTTGCCAACACCGAATAATATGCAATGAAGAATTCTGTTATTGCTCAATGGGTTTCCATGGAACTTATTGTGAAAGTGGTAAACAAAATGTATTCCACATCATTTCTAATACATCTAAAACAATATGTTGCAGCCTGTAATCCGGGAACTTATGGATTCAATTGTGAATCTAAATGTGGAGAGTGCAAATATTCAACTAATTGCAATTTCATAACTGGAGAATGTCAACACGGATGCAAGGATAATTATATTGGACCAAATTGCAAACAAAGAGATTTACCAGTTTTAAATGACATTGCAGGAATTCAAACTGAATGTATCTCGGATTGTGCAATAACAATTTATGATAATAATGTAAATTATGATGGTGTTCAACAGCCAAAATATTATTATACCATATTAACACATCCGAGTAGACAAACAACAGAAGGAGCAATAACAGCAATAGACATCAATGTCATTAAATTTACGAATCTATTAAAAGGCCACAAATATACTTATCAAATAGTACTTTGTGTCAATAATAACAAACGGGAATGTTATGCAAAAGACATTAAAACATTTGAATTTGAGACAAAATGTGAAGGTAACTTAATAGACTGAAATTATAAAAAAATAAAATACATCGCATTTTCAGAAATTTCACAACATCAAATTATAATTAAAAGTGTTGATAAACTCACCACTATTACAGTCACTGGTTACAATTCTGAAACTCAGTGTGACTTAAGCCAATATCATTGGTCGTTGAAGGAAACTTCCAGAAACAAAGAGATACGCTCAGGATCATTAGATGTAAATATATATTGGAATACCTTAAACCTATTCACAAATTATTCACTGCAACTGACGAGAAACAACAGAATAAGGAATAACATTTTATTTACTACGGACGAATCTAGTACGTATTTTAATGTTATACTATAAAATTTTACTTTCTATTGATTGTTGTTCTAGTTCCAAATGCTGTTAAAAATATCAAGGCAGAGTCAAAATCATCAAATACACTAGCATTAATATGGGATGAACCATTTCCAGTTGTTGGTATTATCACCAATTATCTTGTCGAATGGAAGGTAGGTTTTGAAACAATTATTGCAATTTCTTTATTTAACAAATTATAACTTTAGTTTATAGGCAATAGGGATTGTTCAATAGATACTAAATCGCAGGATATCCTATTTAGAAATGTGACAGAACCAAAAATAAAATTAAGTAATCTACAATTTTATTCAGTTTATGATATTTCAATTTATGCACTTACTAAGAAGGGAAGGAGCCAAGTTATAACTATTATCGGGCAAACTGAAGCGAAAGGTGGAATTGAACTGAATGCATACAAGTACAATTTGTATCCTGTCGGGAACGCTGTAACAATATCACTGGTTATTGACTGTAATAATTGGAATGGTCCTGTTTTTCTGTATTTAACTGCAACCTGCAAAAGCGAGTGGTGTGATGGAAAAGTGACAAATGGTTCTAAAATTATAAAATATAACGATATGAATGCCAAAGTTCAAAACCTGCATCCATACACAAATTACTCAGTTGAAATGTATTTGTGTGCCGACTCTAATAATGATCATCTTAAATTAGGATCTGTTGATATTATGACACTAGCTAGTGGTATGAATGGGATTGAATCGTTTTCTTTCTCTAAATTGTACAATGTTTTTAGTTCCGAATCCGGTGCAATTTGCGGAAGTATATAGTTCAACAGAGAATAGTTTATCGTTAAGATGGAGTGCACCGTATCCCCCAACTGGAATACTAGATACATTTATATTAAAATATAAATATTACAAACGTTGGAATGGATGGTCAATGAAACAAACTTATACAATTGAGTCATGTAAAATATGGACGAATATGTATTGTACTACCTTGCACAATCTCGATAATAGCTATGAATACCAAATATCAATTACTGCACGCAATAAGAATGTTCCAGGCGAGGGTATGCCAATTGAATTCAGTGGAGCTACACGTATTAGTGGTAATTGATATTTATACGCACTCTAATATTTGATAATAATTGTCTATGTTTTAGCACCCCAGCCGCCATTAAACCTTACAGCAATTTGGGATGAGTCGCATTTCCTTCACCTGCAATGGCAACATCCGAACAAAACAAACGGTCCATTTGTAAGATTTGATGTAAATGTTAGTGGACAACGTTTTAAACATCAAGTGTCGGAAAATTTTACATACACAGTAAAGGTAAGGCACAATTAACGCATTGAAATATTCCATATATTACAACACTATTACCATTTGCAGACTTCTTTCCAATGCCAACCTGAAAACCATCACGCAACTGTTAGTGTGCAAACAATTAACTCAAAATTTCAATCTAGCCAATTATCTAATACGTTTTCGTGCCCAGTCTTTAAAGCTGCATTTAAATCCGAACCAGAATTGAGAAACATTGACAATAACACTTTGAGTGTTTATATTCCATCAATTGAAAATGCTGAATCAAATAGCAATTTGTATATTATTCTAATAACTAATCTGTCTAGCAAAGAAAGCAATTGTAAAACAGGTACGGGATTTAAACTGGATGCAGTCATACCAATTCAAGAACATGAGAGTTGCCAGATTATCGGCCACTATGGACAAGTTCAATACAAAGAGATTGAAGAAACAGAAGCACACGTAACCTTCACCGAAGCACCAGAATATAATTTTAAAACAGAAACTTACGAATTAAACATTCTAATAGTAAACGAATTTAATGGTCAAATGTCGCATACTTTGTACCAAGTAGCAACATACGCCGCCATAAAACCGCATGACAACGATAACGGCAGATCAAATACCGCCGGCTTTAATTTCTGGTGGTTGATTTTGAGTGTTGCAGTTGTTATTATTATTACTGGAGGTTTACTTTGGAAGCGAAGATCAAAATCAACCACAAAAACTAAACACGGCGACACGGAATATTCTGAAATACCCATCATAGACAAGCCGACAACTAGAGCATCTTCACCTGCATTACCTCCACCTCTTCCAATGCGGCAAATCAAGTCAACCCCTGAAAAGAATGAAAAATGCTCCCAAGTTGTGCCTATTTCAGGAATTGATGAATATGTAAGAACAATGATTTTTGATGATAAATTGGAGAAACAACATAAAAAAGTCATGGATATATCGACAAAGGCTTTAGATTTTCATCGACCCAAAACTGCTCCTGATTCTATTGCAGCAAATTACATATCAGTAAGTAATTCGATTAATTTAACTAACATTCAATTCGACGTTTGTATTTGGTTTATAGAGTCCTCTCTGCCCGAGAGCGTATATTATGTGCTTGGCCCCAACATCTGCAAATATTTATCATTTTTGGCAAATGATCGTTAAAGAAAGAGTAGAAAACATTTTGTTATTTGCTACATCGGCTGATATTAAAAGGTATTTAGAACACTTATAAATAATTGTATATTATATACTAGCATTATTTGTGTTTTGGTTTTGCAGAAAAATATTCTACAATATTGGCCAGATTATCCCACAAACAATACAATATCATTTCAAGATATAGAAATATCCACTTAATCAGTTGAGATAATGTACACCTATAAGGTGTATAACTTGGAAGTGAAGTTGGACACTCGGGCGACACAGTTACGTATCTTACACTTTACCAATTGGTCAAAACGAGGAAAGCCTATGAATCCCATTCATCTCACATCATTTCTCCAATGTCTTCAAACAATTCCACATTCTTCTAAGCATCCTATTCTGGTGCATGACGCCGGCGGATATGCAAATTGTGCAAGCGTAATAGTTCTGGTGGATATCTGTTTGAGGGAGGCTGAGCGTGATGGTCAAGTGGACATTTTTCATCAATTACAATTGCTTCACTCTCAACGATCAAACATAATGGACAATGTTGAAGATTACTTGTTGGTGCACCTTATTCTAGTCAAGTATCTTGCCACCCCTCAATATGTATATCCTTGCAACGTATTCAATTCTATTCTCACCGGCATCGACGACGCCACTGTAACACAACAGATGAAGATGATATCAGATTCATTGTGGCAGGAGAGTGTGCTACGACCTGAAGGATCTGTCCTGTATTACAACAAAAGGGACAAGAATCGAGATCAGGATATAATTCCACATCCGTCATGTTGTGTATTTCTGCGTCCTCTTTATGAGAAAGAATCGTGTTACATCAATGCGATTTTTGTTGATGGTTACCAACAGTCGAAACAATTTATTGTCACCCAACATCCTCTTACCAACACCGTCGATGATTTTTGGCGAATGGTAGTTGATAATAATGTGAAGCTGGTTATATCTCTACAACCTGAATATGATGTAAATTGAAGAACTAAAAGTGTATTGTTTTAATATTCACTTTGTGTTTAATTGCAGGTAGAATTCTGGAACAATGGAGGCGACTTCCTAACACCAAATGGGACTTCCATTGAACATCTAGAAATTGCGGAATTACCCGATTTCCACATGCATACTTTATTTGTAAAACCCAATGGAACACCAATTAAGAAAATAGAAATAAACTTAATAGAAGTTGTGGGATGGAAAGTAGAACATGCAGTGCCGATTGATTTGCGCGTTTTGATGTCAACTCGCCTTCAGATGAATAGAACAAAATGTAAAGAATTCAATAGTATTGTAGTGATGTGCAGGTAAATTGATCACTTTAAATTGTTTAGAATAGCTTATAATAACAATAATTTTAGAAATGGTGCATCCGCATGTGGTTTGTATATTGCTGCATGTAATCTCTTGGATAGCATGGAGTCAGAACAAGTTGTCGATGTGTGTACGAGCGTGCGCAATATACGCAATTATCGATCTCAATTTGTTACTGATCAGGTAAGTGATGATTCAAATACCAATTACACATTGTATTCATACTGTTCATGGTTTGTTCTAGGCTCAGTTTCATGCTCTGTATAAACTGGCATCATTGTTCCTTGATGATTTTCGAAAATACTCTAATTTTGAGGCAGTTATTACAACAACCAAGAGGACTAAAATATGACTAAATGTTAAGCACAATAATCAAGGTCTAGATGTTTATATTACAAAAAATATAATGTAATATGTGTGTAATATTGTGTATTTACAGTTATACAACAATACAGTTTATTTTGAGTTTTTATATGTTGTAAGACATTGTCAAAATCAGTTGCAAATTTGCGTTTATATTAAATATTATAAAATGGAAATAATTATTAACATATTCAATAAAATATAGTTTATAAAAACTAAAAACCACGTTTTTATGAGAAAACTATATTAACTTACATACGAGTGCACATGCTAACTTACACTTAAGTCACCTGATTCAAGTGCACTTAGTAATTGTTTTCGTTGCATTAAAACACATAAAAATTGTGTAAAACTTTGGTAGAGTGTGCCGTGTCGGTTACAAACAGGCAAGCAAACAAACATACCTATGAAAGAATGCTCTACGAATAAAAAAGAATGGAGCTTAGACTAATTCTCTCTTGGGGCTGAAATAAAAACAACAAGATTGGATTGTAAAATAGAAAAATGAAGAACATCAAAGTGGGTGCGCAAAAGGTAATGACTTGGTCAGGAAATTAACATGTGGAGGAGATATAACGCAATGCTTAAGAAGAAAGAAAATTTAAGAAGATAAAACTTAACTACAGATCTGAAAAACAAAATTGAAGGAAATGCTGAGAAAAAAGAGCCGAGTGCAAACGTGGCGGATTGGTGAAGATCCTGGTTAGCCAGATTTGCATTGGTGGGAGGTTTATTACAGAGACCCGAATTCATAGATGATGACAACACAAAAGTAAACCAGAAAGTGATATTGTTAATGGCACTGACGAACAAAGAAGGACGGTACAAATATAATGCGCAATTTGCCAAGAGAAGAAGTATATGAGTGTCTAGATCTCTAGAAAGATTGCTGGATTTTGTATGATTTGAGTTTGCATTGCGTTTGAGTATGAGATTGCAGTTTGTTTGATTGGATGAATGCCAATTTCACACCTAATTCAACACCGAAAGTATTATTCTAGTATTATTATTATTATTGTTGTAGTATAGAGCATAAAATAAACGAGTAAAAATAAGATAAAATACTTTCATATATTTCTATTAAAAATATCTTAAGTGAATTCAAAATTTAAAATGTAAGAAGTATTGAAATTGCTTATAAATAAAATACAGTAACACAAATTTGCTGCTATTTGAAATAAATTTATGCCTAAATAATTATATATTAATTTTATAGTATTTCATAAAACACATTATCATAAAAACACCACACCCATACTAAATAAATACTATTTTGCGTTATCACATTTGAGATTAGCTGAAAGTGGTAGCAATAATGTGTCATAGGCTGATTTCGTCCGTAGAATTCAACTTCCCGTTCCGAATGAGACTTTGAGGAAACCGTGATAAGATAAGAATTTCGATGAAACGCTTTAAGTATAGTCTAGTTGCGCAAATGGTGTGCAGTTTGTAAAATGCGGGCGTTGTTCATGTTGCTTCTAGCTTCTCAAGGATACTACCAAGTGTTAGCGAAGACACAATTACTGTTTGCAAATGTTACTGGAACTGGACGAAATGCAAGGGTGGAGGCAGAGTGTTACAATGATGATTACAATGACGCCATTGCATGGATCACACCACCACAGAACAATTACATTTTGTCAATGTCAGGTATTTAATAATTTGAATTATTTGACGCAAAAAAAAAATTAAAATTTGTAGATAATTTAAGTTCTATTGACTTTAATTGGGATAAGGCCGGATGGGCTTCTGATTTTGCCTATAAAGGAATGTTTGGGCCAATCATGGATTACTCATGGGAAAGTAATACTCTTTCAGTAAATACTATTTTATATTGAATTAATTTTTAATAATTACATAGCATTCCCAATTATTAAAACACAAGGAGCCGAACTAAAAAAAACCTATTACTATTTTGAAAAACTAGACCCAATAAAAATATTTAATCAATTCGAATTAAATTTTTCATTTTTGGGAAAATCAAATGCACAAATTTACATGTGCACCGGTGCGCAAGTTCAAAAGAGTGCTTGCTTCATATTTATTTTAGGCGGTTGGGAAGGAAAGGGGAGTATTTTAAGACGGTGCAAAACTGGTACATCACCTATTATCTCAAGTGATAAATTGGATGGATGTGAAAATGTTGTTGAGAAAGTATTAACGTTGTAATGTTCATATGATCAAATTTATACCAAAATATTTTTAGAAAGAACATGGATCACTCTTCTCAGAAGATAATTGGAGCCATATATCAATAAGATATTCTAATCAACAATTGCAAGTGATTGTTGATGACAATTCATTAATGTTATTCAATGCAGTGAATAACAGCGAATTTAATCAGTATGAAAGATTGTTCATTCACTCATATAACGAGACCGCTTTATGGAAATATCATAATTGTATAAAATCACAATTAGTTATTAAAATGCTTAAACTAAATGTATTATTTTAGATTTATACCATGAAGCTCGAAGTGTTAAAAATGGGTATATAGATAGCAATTGGTTTCATGTAAATTCTGGTCAACTATGCATTTCGTTCTTTGCAAACTTTGAGAAAGAAACGACTATATCACTATATGGCTATAGTGACAATGACATACCCAAGCAAATTAAAACATTCAATTATGAGGGTGATAAAAACCTGCAATGGAATTACAAGACATTCAATAGTTCAGAAGTGGAAAACAATACATACATATTGCGTATAAATGTGGATGAAGAAAATATCATAGCAATTCGAAACGTAATACGTCAAGTAAACTGCGGAATAACTAAACGTAATCAATTCCATTCATCAATATTGTCATTCGATGGTTTGCCGCTCAAAACAAAGTGTACATCTCTTCGAGAAAAAAGCGCACAACTTGTATTGAGACAAGCAAGTAACCGTAGCGACACTGAAAAACAGAACTCTTTGTGTACTACTTTGTATAATAATACAGTTCGCCAACACCGAATAATATGCAATGAAGAATTCTGTTATTGCTCAATGGGATTCCATGGAACTTATTGTGAAAGTGGTAAACAAAATGTATTCAACATAATTTCTAATACATCTAAAACTATATGTTGCAGCCTGTAACCCGGGAACTTATGGATTCAATTGTGAATCTAAATGTGGAGAATGCAAATATTCAACTAATTGCAATTTCATAACTGGAGAATGTCAACACGGATGCAAGGATAATTATATTGGACCAAATTGCAAACAAAGAGATTTACCAGTTTTAAATGACATTGCAGGAATTCAAACTGAATGTATCTCGGATTGTACAATAACAATTTATGATAATGATATAAATTATGATGGAGTACAACAACCAACACATTACTACACACGATTAACAAATCCGGATAAACAAATAACAGAGGGAGAAGTGACATCAATTAAAAGCCATATTATTAAATTCACCAATTTATTAAAAGGCCACAAATATTCTTATCAAATAGTACTTTGTGTCAATAATAACAAACGGGAATGTTATGCAAAAGACAATAAAAGATTTGAATTTGAAACAAAATGTGAAGGTAACTTAATAGATTGAAATTATAAACAAATAAAATAATCACATTTTCAGAAATTTCACAACATCAAATTATAATTAAAAGTGTTGATAAACTCACCACTATTACAGTCACTGATTACAATTCTGAAACTCAGTGTGACTTAAGCCAATATCATTGGTCGTTGAAGGAAACATCCAGAAAGAAAGAGATACGCTCCGGATCATTAGATGTAAATATATATTGGAATGCATTAAACCTATTCACAAATTATTCACTGCAATTGACGAGAAACAACAGAATAACGAATAACATTTCATTTACTACGGACGAATCTAGTACGTATTTTAATGTTATTCTATAAAATTTTACTTTGTATTCTTTGTATTGATTTGTGTTCTAGTTCCAAATGCTGTTCAAAATATCAAGGCAGAGTCAAAATCATCAAATACACTAGCATTAATATGGGATGAACCATTTCCAGTTGTTGGTATTATCACCAATTATCTTGTCGAATGGAAGGTAGGTTTTGAAACAATTATTGCAATTTCTTTATTTAACAAATTATAACTTTAGTTTATAGGCAATAGGGATTGTTCAATAGATACTAAATCGCAGGATATCCTATTTAGAAATGTGACAGAACCAAAAATTAAATTAAGTAATCTACAATTTTATTCAGAATATTACATTTCAATTTATGCATTTACTAAAAAAGGAAGAAGTAAAGTTGCAGCTATTATCGGGCTAACTGAGAAGGATGGAATTAAACTGAAAGCATACAAGTACAATGTGTATCCTGCCAAAAACGCTGTAACAATATCACTGGTTATTGACTGTAATAATTGGAATGGTCCTGTTTCTCTGTATATAACTGCAACCTGTAAAAGCGATTGGTGTGATGGAAAAGTGATAAATGGATCTAAAGTGATAACATATAACGATATGAATGCCAAAGTTCAAAACCTTAATCCATACACAAATTACTCAGTTGCAATGTATTTGTGTGCAGACTCTAATAATGATTATCTTAAATTAGGATCTGTTGATATCATGACACTAGCTAGTGGTATGAATGGTATTGAATCGTTTTCTTTCTCTACATTGTACAATGTTTTTAGTTCCGAATCCGGTCCAATTTGCGGAAGTATATAGTTCAACAGAGAATAGTTTATCGTTAAGATGGAGTGCACCTTATCCCCCAACTGGAATACTAGATACATTTATATTAAAATATAAATATTATAAACGTTGGAATGGATGGTTAATTAAACAAACTTATACAATTGAGTCATGTAAAATCTGGACGAATATGTATTGTACTACCTTGCACAATCTTGATAATAGCTATGAATACCAAATATCAATTACTGCACGCAATAAGAATGTTCCAGACGAGGGTACGCCAATTGAATTCAGTGGACCTACACGTATTAGTGGTAATTAATATTTATACGCACTCCTATATTTTATAATAATTGTCTTTGTTTTAGCACCCCAGCCGCCATTAAACCTTCAAGCAATTTGGGATGAGTCGCATTTCCTTCACTTGCAATGGCAACATCCGAACAAAACTAACGGTCCATTTGTAAGATTTGATGTAAATGTTAGTGGACAACGTTTTAAACATCAAGTGTCGGAAAATTTTACATACACAGTAAAGGTAAGGCACAATTAACGCATTGAAATATTACATATATTACAACATTATCACCATTTGCAGACTTCTTTCCAATGCAAACCTGAAATCCATCACGCAACAGTTAGTGTGCAAACAATTAACTCAAAATTTCAATCTAGCCAATTATCTAATACGTTTTCATGCCCAGTCTTTAAGGCTACATTTAAGTCCGAACCAGAATTGAGAAACATTGACAATAACACTTTGAGTATTTATATTCCATCAATCGAAAATGCTGAATCAAATAGCAATTTGTATATTATTCTAATAACTAATCTGTCTGGTAAAGAAAGCAATTGTAAAACAAGTACGGGATTTAAACTGGATGCAGTCATACCAATTGAAGAACATGAGAGTTGTCAGATTATCGGCAACTATGGACAAGTTCAATACAAAGAGATTGAAGAAACAGAAACAAACGTTACCTTTAGCGAAGCACCAGAATATAATTTTAAAACAGAAACTTACGATTTGAACATACTAATAGTAAACGAATTTAATGGTCAAATGTCGCATGCTTTGTACCAAGTAGCAACAAACGTGGCCAAAAAGCCGGATGACAAGCAAAATACTGCCGGCTTTAATTTCTGGTGGCTTGCACTCATCTTTGCACTAATTGCCCTCTTCGCAGCCGGAGGCTTTATATGGTATAGACAACCTGTTTGGCTGACCAAATTCTTATTTTCCGCCGATACAAGCAACCACATCGACGAGACGAAACCCGACCTCATTCCATTGACGCAACAAGTAACAACAACTGCAACAACTACCACTACCACAACACCAATAACATCAAGGACAACAACACCGCTCATTAAACCACCGGTACCTGCAAAACCATCCATTAGCTTAATTCCTGTCTCAACCCTGAACGTGTACGTGAAGCAGGCATCACTAAGTGGTGAACTCGAGAATCAACACGAAAAGTACCAACGAGGAATGCAAAAGAAAGCCGATTGCGGCAAACAGAAGGAAAATTTTCCAAAAAATCGCTACAAAAACTTGATTGCATGTATGTTTAGTTCCCCCCAGAAAAACACAGAAGAATATTTTCAATGTTTATGATTTCAGACGATCATTCCAGAGTCATCTTGAAGCAAATCAATGGAAAACCTTCTTCGGATTACATCAACGCTAATTATATTAAGGTTTCTTTGATAACTTTTTCAAAAAAACAAATAATTTTAAAAAAACCATGAAATTTTAAATATTTTAGGGTCCCACCTGTGAAAAAGCATACATTGCCACTCAGGGACCAATCGATTCAACCATCTACGATTTCTGGCACATGATAATAACAGAACAAGTGGAACATATCATCATGTTAGCAAATTTAGTAGAAACAGGAAAGGTAAACATCAAAATTTTCCCAAAAAAGACTACAACACTTATTTTCAGCAAAAAGTAAGTCCCTATTGGCCAGATTTCAAAAAAATTAACAAAGTGAATGTCTTGGACGACATCACAATCACCGCCACCAGCGAGAAATTTTTCTACAATTACGTCCTGCGTACATTCAACGTGAAACGCGGCATAATTAATACAGAAGTAACCCAATTACACTTTACCAACTGGCCTGACCACGGGGTACCTTTATATCCAGCAAGTCTGGTACCATTCGTCAAAGCCATCTTCAATATTCCACATTCCGAAAAGCATCCTATTCTGGTCCATTGCAGGTAACCTAAAACACAAAATTAAAAAAAAAAAACTAAAATTTATTGATATTGAATTCTAGTGCTGGTGTGGGACGAACCGGTACAATCATCCTGATTGATATTTTACTGCGTCAGGCAATGGCGACCAACCAAGTGGACCCATTCCATGAACTGGGCAAATTGCGTGAACAACGTGCCAATCTGGTCGATAATGTCGAGCAATACAAACTGGTCCATCTCGTATTACTGGAGTATGTCAATCCGTATGAAACAACGCATTCCTGTGAAGAGATCGAAGCTATATACGCGGGTCTCACTGATAAGAAACTAAAGAATTTACTCGAGTACATCGAGGAGTCCGCGTGGCAAGAGTCCGCCATCTTTGAACAACCGCGCAGCTTCCTCAAAGCGGACCCGACGAAAACCCGGGATCCTGAAATTGTTCCCGGAATGTATGGGATTCTTTACCTGCGGCCACGCACAGAGAGTGATTCGAGGTTTATCAACGCTGTGACTGTTGATGGGTTCAACGAACCGAAAAGGTTCATATCCACGCAGCATCCACTACCGAATACCATTGAAGACTTTTGGAGGTTGGTGATTGATCAGGAGATCAAAGTCGTGGTTTCCTTACAAAACGAATACGATGTATGTTATAACCTAGAAAATATTTTCAGAAATTTAACCTCAAATTTTTTTCTTTTGTGAATTTTTTAAAAGGTGGAGTTTTGGAAAAATGGCGGTGATTTGATAACTAAAGGAGGATCTTTGATTGAGCACATAGAAGAAGTCAATCTGACAGAATTCTATATGCACTCGTTGGACGTGACATTGAAGAATGAAAAGAAGCATGATATTAAACTTATTGAGTTGGAGAACTGGGGCGTGAATGACGTGTTACCCAAAAACCTCAATTCGCTTATTTCTGTTTGGAGGCAGGTGAATGGGATCAAGTTACTGGAGTCAAATATATTGGTTATGTGCAGGTATAGTTTTTTTGTAGGTTATGTAACTATTTTTTGTAAATTCGAATGTTTCAGGAATGGAGCTAGTGCTTGTGGGTTGTATATTGCAATGACAAACCTTTTGGATCGTATGCAGGGTGAACAAGTGGTGGATGTGTGCATGTCCGTGCGTACAACACGACGCAGCCGGAAACAATTTGTTAATAACATTGTAAGACATTTTTCTCAAAATATTTTCCTAAAAATTCTGAAAACGTTTTTTTTTTGTTTTTTTTTTTTGTTTCAGGAACAATTGAGGGCACTTTATCGACTGGCTGTGCTGCATCTAAGCGAGTTTGACATCTACTCCAACTTTACGCCTATCACGCATGCGCCAAAGAGAGCTTGATGCTTAGTTACTTAATTCGTAAATTCTATTCATAAAAATTAACATGGTTACAGGTAGAGTTAGAGCTTCAAACCGTAAACCGTAAAATTCTAAAGGTTGTAATCGTAATTGTAATTGAATTCCAATTCAAACTTCATTGCGTTTTAGATTCGTAGGTCATTCTTATGCATTGTTTTGTAATGCGCGTTTTTTTATATATATATAGAATATAGTGGTGTGTGTTAATATTTACAATTATCGTGTGTTGTTGAAGGTGAGAAAGAGAGCTGTTTTATGCAACAACAATGCGCTAGCAAGCAGATGGCGCTCTCACTATGCTAACATAACCTTACTTACTAGCTGCTGCTTTACACATATATAAAATGGACAAAAGTGGTACTCTCGTAGGCGTTGTCAATGATATGTAGCTGGTCTCTAACAGTCATCTAACAGAGCGCACGCGCGGGATTTCTTTGATTCGTTTGCTAGCTTCGGATGAGAGGAGCGCTCCATTTTGTGTCGCCCGACATTTATCACAGTTCTTTTCGCGCGGGGGCTGCTTAGAGCAACACCTTGCTGTTGTCCTGAATGCGGGTGGCTAGCAATGCGGCTCCGAAGGTGAGGACCACCGTTAGGACCGCTGGGACCAGCAGAACAGTCTGTACCATTGCTGTGTACATGGGGATCGCGCAAAGTGAAGCCAAGTGGAACAAACAACGCATTACTCCATGCGCAGTACATCTACAAGTTAAAAAACAACATTTTTATATCAAACAACTAAATATCACATAAATAATTACCTTAAATGACATGGATAACCTTCAATTATCACCATGGTCAAGGTATTGATAGCGCACATAAGAAACACCTTGACCAAAGCTTCCGTGAGTAAAATAAAACTGAATCTGTACTGGAAAAAGATCCCAATTGACGAAATACTGGATAATAACAATAAAGTGACCACAATCGGTGGTCTTAAGGTGATTTCCAGTAAAAACCCAAGAATCAACAGGGATGGTAACATGGGACCTGCCCAAGCGATGGTCTCACGGTACAAATCCTCCAGGTAAATATTGTAGTCGAAATCCACAGTGCAATCAGAGATAAGTGATAGAAACGTGTTGTTGATCATCATACAGTCCACAAAATGGTGGTCGGATAAATCTGTGTCCACAAATCGCGAATCACGCACGGTTGTATTCAGAAAGTACGTGATTGAAGACTTGACGTTTGTGAACTCTGCTTCGTCGAATACACAATTGACGAATTCAACATGGCGGAGTTCCAGATTCTTAAAAGTGACGTTTTTGAAGAGGGAGTCGCGATATTCGATGTTTTCAATGGTCGCGTCAAAGACCCGATCCACGTAACTTGCATGTACGATATACTTCCGCATAGCATTGTATTCCTGATCATTCATGTCCTTGATCATCGCTGAAGAGTATGAGGATATGCCCATGTAGACAAACCCTAGTAGAAGATGTAGTAATGCAAGTAGGGCGGTTGTCCGGAAGTGAGCAGGTGATGAAATCCGCCGGAAAGCATCGCAGACTGTGTCAATCCAACTGCGGACTGCATTACGTCCTGGACTTGCGGGACGGTCACGATATGCACTGCGTCCCGGGAGTTCCAATTCGGTGAGACCATATTGTGTACGGCTTTTGTTCAATCGGTGTAAACGTTGATAGACTTCAAGTGCTTCTACTTCCCGGGATGCTTCTAGTAAATACCTAGGTGATTCTGAGGTCCAGATCAATCCAACTATGCAACTGATTGTTGGGAGGATATTAGCAATGAGGAAACGATGCCATGAACTCCAATGTTCACGGTTGTCCAGAACTACATCAGCACCCTCAGTTGGTAAGGTTAGATGCGCGATGGTTGAGGTTAGCAAAGCTCCCAAGGGCCAGAAAGAATGTAGGAGACCTGTGTATCGCGTGCGGGTTGCCCTTGGGCAGGTTTCTGCTAAGTAGCTAAAGGTCAAAGGGACGGCGCCTGCAATACCAACTCCAGAACAAAATCTGAGAATAAAAGTTTTTAGGTTAAAGTTAAAATTTCTAATTTCTAGTTTTTGATACCTTGCAGTCATAAAGGTACCATACGTGGGCATAACTGTAGCAACAGCTGAGAAAAGGGCGGCTACTATAAGGGAACTCACAAGAGCCCTTCGACGACCAACTCGGTCACCCAGAATCCCCCAGGCGATTGACCCAATGGCCAATGCCAACAATGTTATTGATACTACAATAAAACATTGGTAACCACAACATAACCTTAATTCTGAGCTATCTTACCCAACCATCCCTTGCGATGATCATCAATACACAACTGCAACTCAGCTGCGGGTAATATATACCCCAATATGGCTACCTCACTGCAATCAGCAGCAATTGCAAGACCTAAAACCATGGTTAACAGGAGTTGGGCCTTGCCCACATTGGCCTGTGATAGGGCATCTTCATGAAACCCTACGAGGGCTTCCCCAGCGACGCTGTTACACCCAGCACTACCTCCTGTTGACACTACAAATGATTTTATTTCAAAATTGTTTATATTTTAGTGTAAAATTGCTAATACTTTGTTCTGTGGGACCATTCTGGGCCGTTTCCAGTGGTGGGACCAGACACGCTGACTCCTCGCACATTTTCGTTTATCGTTGTTTACTGTTGTGCTTCGTTGATAACACACCACGCATTTGAAGCTTTCAAGGTCGTGTTGATATTTTCCTGCTTCTGTTTGCGATTGGTACGATTGAAGGGTTGCAAAGACATGTATGCTTGAATGGTGGAAAGTGGTTCGCGAATAATTCACTATGTACTCGAAATGGGGCCACGGCCCAGTTTCTTCGCGTGTGTTTCCACCGCCGCCGCCGCCGGTGTGTGCGTTCGCCAGCAAAGTGGAGCGTCGTATCGATTACTAGCGGGCTACCGTTGGTGTGCGTGACGCGAAGGGGGCGGCAACGCTTTGGAGTAAATCAATATCCGCACGGGTGGTCATGCATGCCAAAAATGTGCGATGAGGATATCCGGATGTGATTTCCTTTTTGGATATCCACAACTTAAGGAAATGATGGATTTCAGAACAGAATCTTCCGGATATCCGGTTTTGTTTCAAATCAAAATGGTTGAGATTTTGAATTTTGCGCCGTTGATTTGTTACCAAGTGGAATAAAAGAATTCCAGCGGTTTAAATTCTAACCTTTGAACGTAAATCGTGTTGCTTGCTTGATTTTACAGAAAACATATTGTTATAAGAAATATTAAAGTAATTATTCATAATAAAATGAGTGTAAAGTTGAATTTGATTGCCGCAGCATGCGAAAACATGGGAATTGGTAAAAACAATGATTTACCATGGAAATTAAAGTGAGTATACATAAAATAAACATAAAATAACCTCATAATGTACAATAACGTAAAACATCAACATTTTCAACACTTTACAAAATATTACGATGATCCAAAGCATGATGCACTTTTCTCGGCCAATCAAATCGATGGAAAACCATAACTGTCATTTCAAACCTAATCTCGACCAATCCCGAGGCGTATTTTGTGCACAATGTTAATTTTACAATTTTCAGAAAAGAAATGCAATATTTCAGTCGCATGACAACGCAAACCTCCGATCCCAACAAAAAGAACGTTGTGATCATGGGTAGAAAAACCTGGGACTCTGTCCCAGCGAAATTTAAGCCGTTCAAAGACCGTATTAACTTTATTCTAAGCAGACAAAACCTGGACTTGAAAGATTATGAAAATGTGCAGGCATTCAAAAGTTTAGATGATATCATCACCCATCTTGAAGAAACTTCTGCAAAAGAAGGATATGATAAAGTTTGGGTGATTGGTGGTAGTGATATTTATAAAGTAAGTAAATGTAAATTATTTTTTAAGTTTTTTGATGTTTATGATTGCTTTTTAGTTATCCTTGGAGAGTAGAAGTTTCCACCGTTTGTATTTAACTGAAATCAAGAAGAACTTCGATTGTGATACGTTTTTCCCTCATTTCGGAGATAATTTAAAGCTTGTTGAGTAAGTTTCCTACAAAATAAAACTTCTGTTTTTAATTATTATACTTTTAGTGATCCTGAAGTTCCTGCCGGCGTTCAGAAGGAAGGAGACATCGAATACGTCTTCAAGGTCTACGAAAACGCCGACTTCGGCCAAGATGGCGGCCGTTAGGTAAACATAAATATTCTTTTACTCAATTTCCTCTTATAAACAACAATCGGCGCGCGCTCCCGCAGCGCATTTGAAAATATTGTATACATATCATAATATAACGCACATATTCAACGAATATAACCTGATAAAATCTTCACAGTCGAATTCATATTAAATTTATACATCGTCATCACATCGCGCCCGCACGCTGCTACTTGTGTTTTGATTCTTAAGAGTTACTTCGCCCCCAAGGGTGGGCGATCAGTCGTCGCGCTAAATGCCGCCGGCGCCCGTCATCGTCTCCTGCACTGGGCTCTCGGTGGGCAGCTGATGGCGGCGCACATTCGTCGGCATCTGTCTACTTGTGAGACTAGTCGCCTGATTACTCCAATCACCTGTTTGCACCAAAGTGCGGTAGAACTTGGACGTTGTCTTGTTGAAAATAGGCAACAATTCATTCGCCTCATTAGACAACGCTTTCATATAGATTACAGCGTCGGTGCCGTCACCTTCACAGGATAAAAGTACTAAATCTCCGTGGAAGTAACGTGCATATAGGCGTGAAATAGGAAGGCCGTAGCCATAACCAGCTAGGGGAACAGTATGCGAGTCGGATTTACTCGGCTGCGGGGCTGTTGAATACATATACTTGAAGAGGTGCTCCGTTGTGCTTCGTGCTATCCCACCTCCTTTGTCAGACATCTTGAAATGATAAAATTCATGAAAAACATAACCTAAATGTTACATTTGAGGTTATATCTACCTTAAGACAAATATCTTCTTTTCCCTTGGCGATGGTGACCGTTATAGGTGGATAATGTTCAATTGAACCATGATACTCCATGACAGCACGCATCGAGTTCTTGAACAGCTCGAAAAGCATGTGGTAGAGATGTGATGGCACATAGACCATACGCACATCGGCTTCCTGTTTAAGTGCGTTATGCTGCGACTCCTGGACGATGAGTTCAGGCGAGGCGAGATAATAACGGTCGCAGAGGAAGCGCGCGTTTTCGTACGCGTCCTTGATCACACTGACGATATCACAATTCGGGTCGATGCAACCGATGTATTTGCTGCGGTTTGGTCCCGGCGCGTTTTCCAATTGTCCACCAAATAATAACGCTAAAAATCGAATCACAGTATTAAATATTTAATACTAATTAATTAATAATAACTTACTGTGTTGATTGATAAGCATACGAATCGATATACGTGACATATAGAATCTATCCAGGAAGTATTGTATGCTGTGCTCAGTATGGTGGTCAATATCGTGCGATTCTTTGAGTTCAAGCACACCCTGCGCCATTGTTTCCACGACATCTGCGTGACGATTACGGATCATCACCAGACTATCGCAAAAGTGCTCCAAAGTCTTGCTGTTGATTTCGGCCTTCTCGAATTCAATTATCTCCTCGAAACTGCGAATATACCAGTCGTTGACTGCCACTACTGATGGCATTCGGAGAAGATGTTCGGGTAACAAGGCGATTTCTTTCATTATATTAGCTAGGCGTACTGGTAATTCCTTTCGGAGGAATATGAATGATTTTTGTTCGGATGCGCTTAATCCTTGAAGAAAAATAAGAGAATATTATTCATTAGTGTTGTTTAAATCAGAATCCCTACTAATATTATAAATGCGAAAGTCCTGATGTTTGTTACACTTTCACGCAAAAACTACTTAACCGATCATCATGAAAATTTATACACATATGCTTAGTGGTCCCCGAATGGTTATAGGCTACTTTTTATTTAATAAAAAAAGTATTTTTTAAATAAAATAAAGAAATTGTTTAGCCAATAATACCTCTGCATCTGGCTATTTGACTACTTTAACGCCATCTGGCATTCCAGCAATGAAGCTCAAACCTAAGTACTATAGTACCATCACACTGTATTATCACACTGTATTACCGACAGCTACGTCAACATCAAATCCAATTGACTACACTATGGAGACTGTACACTATACTTCCATAGACTATACTTTCAGCCATTTTAAACTACCCGCCATTCTACTTCATTGTTACTTCTGCTGTGACTACAGACGCGTACGAAAGCAACTTCATTATTTTAGATATTCGCGAGCGAAGCCGCAGGTTAAAGCTAGTAATAAATAATTTAATGTTAGGATTGTACATGGAGCGACATCTGTTGATCATTTTTATAAGCTGCTCGTAAAAAAATATTCTAGCTCATAATTGCTAGAAATTAAAATATTTTTGGTTGTTACCCAAAGGAAATCAATATAAACCAACTAAATTGTACCTATTTTGTCGTTTTTATAGGGTATTTATGGTTGCTTATAAAATATCATCGAGTTTTAGTCGAAAAAAGTGATTAAGGTCAATCGCGTGACATGAAGAGCGTACTTATATCAATTATTGACAAGGTACTGCATTATTGACTCGGCTAATTTTATCCACGCGGATAATGACTGATAATTCGATGGTCTACTTTGAGCAAACACACGCTTGTCACTTGTTTGTGTTTCTGTACGAGTGCTAAGCATTAAATTCAAATATATTGGCAAACGCGATGCTCCAATACATACGAGTACAGTACGCAAATTCGGCGAAATTGTCAAATTTGCCATCATTCACAACAAGGCTGAATTAAAATTCACCATGTCAAGGTCTCACTCCACTCAACTCAACTCAAAACATAACTTAACTCATTTTTTCTAAAATTTCAAAAGAATTCATATAATTTCTTTATTAAAGAAATTAAATCTAATTTGTTTTGTTATGGGTTTTAATTTCATAATTACACTGTAACTATTCAAAAACAAATTAAAACCGTCTGAATTCTGCATTTTTCCCCGAATGACCGTGAAATGAACCAGTTGAAAGTCACGTGTGTGAATAATCACACAATATGCCAGTTTTACTGTGTACTGTAGCTGTGAGCCCGTCGGCCGTAACCTGTGTTTAACAACAAATACGTAACTGCACGACACGTTTCGCGTCTGCTGGTTGAAATGTTGAAAACAACTCGTCTGTGTGTGTATCATGTGTGTGTTGTGTTTGTCTCGCGTGTGCGTTAATGATTTAAGTCATGACCGTCGCTGGAAGTGCTTGGACTTTGCACCCGTGACTCGCGCGATGCCGTCAATGGCGGCCCCGCGAAATATTCTATCATGTCGCATAAGCAGCCGGTTCAACTGGCAACGGCTCAGCGGAGGAACTTTTTACATGCAAACTTTCCGTAAGTATTTTTAAAATATGTATTAAATTAAGGAATGCTCGTCGGGGTTTTTATTATTGAGTAATTGCCCAGACTGGCTGTAAAAACAAGTATGAAATTAAGCGTTGTAAATAAAAATAAAAACAGAATATGAACGAAATGGAATGGAATGGTTTGGTGTGGAGTTGAATGATGACTGTAAAATGTTAGAGTGTAGTGTTAGTGACCGGTTGAAAATATTATGGTTTAAAGTCTGAACACTTAAAAACGTTGTATTTGTTTTTATGTTTTTTATGTTTTTGTATGGCTGGTAACTAATTTCTAAAAGTGTACATTTATCTAATTTAGTTTAAAATTGAAATTTGCACACGCCTTGAGTGGGCATGTTGTTATCTTATTTTAGTTATCAAATTTAGGTCAAATAATTGGGAATTTCATTGCCAAATTTTATTTTTTTCCGATAAAAATAAATATTCTCAATATTTAATTATAAATATGATGTTTTCTTGGTGGTTTATTACAAAAATTGACTCATAAATAGTTTTATGTCTTTAGAATTTAGATTGTCCTAGGTTTATAGGAAAATTGTTTTTTTTTTGTTGTGAGATGTCATAAAACTAGTACAATGCGTAAAACATTAATTTTTTAGGTCATTGAACCGACTTAGCCTTGGTGCTGCAGGTTGCAATCATCTCGAGTCATTACAATTATGCACAATGAATTAATTTTTAAAGTGTATTTCTTAATTTGTGGTAAATTTGCGTCGTTGGCAGGCAAAATGCAAAAACAAGTGCATTGCACACAAAACAGATGTAATGGAATAGGCATGATTAGATTATTGCAAGTGCAAACCTCTAAAAATAATTATTGCAGTTGTTTTTTATTAACTGCGAAGTTTGTGATTATTTTTAATAACAAAAATTTATGAAAATCAAAAATCCGTCAAGATATTTCAAACACCAACTCAAGACTGACGTCACTTCCCCAATCAGCAGCAAATCTGATATGGGGACAAATGTCAACTAAGGAAAACTCGATTGTATACTGTTTACATTGAATCTTGATTCTTATTTTCACGGATTAGGTCTAGAGACAGTCACGTTTTTCGTTTTGTTTGCCGAACATTGACGTCAGAAGAAATACGAAGTGTTTTAGGGTGAATTTAAAAAATGACAAACTAAAGTTTAATATTATAACAGCTAAACCAACAATTTCTGTAAAAATTGTCATCATGATAACGCGGTATTTAGAAGATGAATCAGAATCAACCTACTCCAGACACCAAACACCAGTTCCGTGCTAGGTGCATTTGCCTTATTCTGTTTACTCCGAGATAAGAGTTTCTCTATTCTAAGCAACAATTTTTTACTATCGGAAACATAGGTACACTTCAAATGCATAATTTGTATTAATATGTTTCAAAATCAGTAAAAAATACAGTAATACATTACATATTAAGAGTAGAAAACAATAAATCCCTACTAATATTATAAATGCGAAAGTCCTGATGTTTGTTACACTTTCACGCAAAAACTACTTAACCGATCATCATGAAAATTTGTACACATATTCTTAGTGGTCCCCGAATGGTTATAGGCTACTTTTTATTTAATAAAAATTTTTTTTAAATAAAATAAAGAAATTGTTTAGCCAATAATACCTCTGCATCTGGCTATTTGACTACTTTAACGCCATCTAGCATTCCAGCAATGAAGCTCAAACCTAAGTACTATAGTACCATCACACTGTATTACCGACAGCTACGTCAACATCAAATCCAATTGACTACACTATGGAGACTGTACACTATACTTCCATAGACTATACTTTCAGCCATTTTAAACTTCCCGCCATTCTACTTCATTGTTACTTCTTCTGTGACTACAGACGCGTACGGAAGCAACTTCATTATTTTAGATATTCGCGAGCGAAGCCGCGGGTTAAAGCTAGTAACATATAAAGAACGAAATACTCACGTAGCTAAACGTAATTCATTGTTTTCCACTCTAGACATGTAATATACTAGTTTTTACTACTACCGCGTTTAAAAACTACATTTTGCATACATAAAAAGGTCTACATGTCCCTAACGACAATTGACTTTTGCATTTTTTGCATTTTGTACCACATTTTCCACCCGATAGAAACGCACGCTCTAATATCCATTGATATTCATGACATGCGAATTTCAAATGCATAGCGCCTGTGCCGTGTCCTTGATGCGTAAAAACAAACAAGCATGACAAATGTATAGTAATGCAATGCACTGAATGCGTCTCGTGCTGGCGGAGATCAAACACAATCCGCGCCCAAAGTCCAAAGTCTGAAAGGGCTTCCCGATTAAAACGCGCATTCCACGCCCACCTATACGCCCCCTTCAGTCGGCCATAGTCAATTTTCACATCGGACGTATGTCTAGGTATATTTATAGTAACTTTGGCGGCCAGACTTACATCATACGCTCGGAGTGCAAAAGGGAATTAATTAATTAATCAAAATAAATGAGAATAAAATAAAATTTTGTTTAAAAAATGGTTTTTAGGTTAAAATATCATGAAAAATGATGAAAAGTTTATGCTATTTGATGATTAACATGTTGATTAACATTGTAGTGTGAATTAAATGTTGCTCAGTGTTTCGAGTACATCCGGTATGTACTCGTATGTGGTAACAATTGAAACAAGTTAGATTGCATCACATAGTTTCACACATAATTTTTTATAACCCACGACTGATAAGACATAAAAATAAAATAAAAAAATACGTCATATGAGGAGATGAGACACGCCCCCTAAAATAATACCCAAATAATAATTCATTAACAGTGAATTTTCATTTTACTGCATCGCGGATGAATAACCAAAAGGTCAAGTTCGGATGAATCCGGAAAAGCGAAATCGCAATCGATATCGCCCGCATGTCTAGCGTGACGTCCATATTTGAAACCGAAAAAATCATCGCAGCTTTGCGCGTTTTTCACGAAAATAGCCGCGGCGAAAAAAGCGCGCGCACGTTGTATTGCAACACGTGAACTTCGGACGCAGGCGACTCTCATTTAATGGGAAATTGCGCCTTTTCACGGTCGCGCGCTCAACGCCAAGTAAATAAACCATGCGGAATTGGGCCATTTATCTAAAAATTTTCAGTGAATTATAACTAAAAATAGCATACTTGGTTGCCTACCCTAATATGCTCACGTAAGGGAAACTTCCACTCGTCACAATTTCAAAAGTGAACATGTTATTTACAACCGATATTCACCAGCTGTTAAATAACATTATTACATCTACTTATCACTCGCGTCATACACGCGAAGAAAAAAAATAACACATAAAAGCATTGATACGAAGTGATTCGAGCGAAAACAAGTCCAAACGCGCAAAATATAAATAGGATTGGCCTAGATCCGCGTCATTTTTGACGAATTACCAAATAAAATTAATTAAAACAATTTGTTTAAACAATTAACAATAAAATTCATACTAAATAATAGTAATTCTGGTGTTTTTGTGATTTTTATTCTTTGGATGATGTTTTCTGGTGTGATTTTGCATCATTTCTCCAAAAGTGCAACCAGCACTTACCGAAATCGATAAACTTCTTGATGGACAGCGGCGACGGATTGAATTGCGAGTAGAAGTCGAGCATCTTGGCGAAGCTGCCGAGCCCTTTCGGTGTCAGCTTCATCTCGATGCGGCTGTGTGGTAACGCAAAACAAGTGAACCCTTTCAGATAGCGGCGATTACTTAACGAATGCCGCGCGCGCGACCAGAGTGTCCGTCCGTGGTGCGTGTCTGTGTTGTTTTGCAATGCGGTTTTCTAGTTACGCTCATCGACGCCCGCTTACGAACGCAATCATCGCCTAACTAACGTGACCTTGCCTTGCGCTATCAATTTATAACCTGCCCGAACGCTGCGAGTAGGATTGCGACCAATGAGCGTAACTTGTTTCGAATAAAGCTTGGTGAACACGTTTTGGTTGTAAAACAGTGTTTTTTATATTATTTATGTAGTAAAGATAATAAAAATGTTATATTTACGGTTTTTAGTTGATTATTGCTGTGTTTTGTTTTAAAATGTTTAATTTGTTTAGTTGGATGTCATTTTGTTTAGGGGAATCTGGGGATATTTGTGATGACAACCTGTTTTGTATCACTAGGTTAATTTTGTTTCATTTGAAATTGTTTCTGGAAAAATTAAGAATTTGAATTACTTTGATTGTGGAAATGACAATATGTTTTAATAATAATATTGTGTGTTTATATTAGGTGAATATTTCAATATTTTACTTTAAAATAATAAGTTTCTTCAACTAAATGACATTTTACTTAGGGGAATCTAGGGATTTTTGTATTGACAACTTGATTTTCTGTCACTAGTTGAATTTTGTTTCATTTGTAGCTGTTTGTGGAACAACGAGCATCATAATCATAACCACTGCGATTCTAGAAATAACAATCAATTATTACATATTTTATCACTAAAAGAAACATCATCAACACAATGTCTTACCAATTGTACAGAAACACAACACTTGGCCACACATTACAAGAGTCTCTGGATGAATTAATTCAAGTATGTATTACATTTTCCCAATCAACAATCTAAGCATGAAATTTATTATCATTTATCTATTTTTCAGTATGGACAAATTACCCCGCAGCTTGCCTGTAAGGTCCTCTTACAGTTTGATAAATCCATCAATCAAACACTGGCGACCCGTGTCAAGTCTCGTGTGACATTCAAAGCCAATAAATTAAACACTTATCGCTTCTGTGACAATGTGTGGACTTTCATGCTGGATGAGGTTGAATTCCGTGAGGTGCAGGAGATCATTCAGATTGACAAAGTGAAAATCGTGGCCTGTGATGGAAAGAGTGCAAATGCAGATTAAGTCCAGCTGCTTGTTCAAATTTCATTCTCAGCTCACACATGATTGCTCATCATTGTTCAGTTCATTAGTAAAACAAAACTTGTGATATACATGATATAGTTGAGTTAAGTATGACAGGGGGTTTAAACTAATAGATTTAATTTATGAACTGGCTTGGACTATGTACATTTGTGGGATTTTGGGGGCAAATGCTATTCATAATGTACAATTTTTGTGTTTTATTTCACTTTGATGGCAGGGATGTTGAAAAAGTTTAATAAAATGATGAAAAAGTTTTTGGTTTGTAAGTAAATTCTTATGTTAGGTTGGTATTGTGTTTAGTATGGAAATTATAATGTTTTAAAGTGAGATAATAAAGATTTGACATTAAATAAAGAGAAAACTGCATTTTTATCTTATTTTTGAATAATTTTCCACTAACCCATTGTATCCTCATAAAAGTTAGTAAAATGGAGAAGCGTTATCATTTTAATTAAGATATCAACAAAATTTTTACCAATCTTTCACATTTTCTAACATTTTTCCAAAAGATTGATGAAAAATACGCTTTTAAAAGCTGTTTGTGTCCATGGTTTTATTATTCAGATAAAAATGTTTTTAAGTATTTTAAATTCCGATGAAACTTGTGAAATCCTGCGAAGATCTCTAAAAATATATTAACCTCCTCGCACATTCTGTGATCCTGATACAAACTTGCTCCGAAACTTGTGTCGAAAGGTTTCTTGCACATTTTAATATCAATCTAATTTTGTGAATACTGTCTAAATTATCAGTCTGATAACAAAATTTTACTAAGATAAACTGTTCAAAATAACGTTTTCTTCAATATTCTATAATAAAAAAGTTAATTTTCAAATTTTTATTTTTTGCATAAGAAATGATGGAGAAAATGTAAAATTCAGTTTATCGCAGTTATCTCACAAAGTAAAAATGTTAAAGAAAAACGGTTTTCAGTATCGTGTACAGGGTATAATTTTACATTATGTAGCACTTTAAAAAGTTCAGTTTTCTACACTTATGTAATAATTGAAAATGGTCAATAACTCGAAAACTAATTACGTTATCGAAATGAAACAAAGATTAATGGATTCCTTGCATCATTATACATCTAGTTGGAAAGTTTGGTGAAAATCTGAGTTGTGGTTTAATTTGGCCGGTTTCAATTTTCACCAGTTATTTTGGAAATATTGGTGATATCGAAAAACTGACTGGATATCTTTCATCCCCTTGGAAAACTGTGATGATTGGCGTTTTCCATTTTTCTCTAGCGTAAAAAATAATTTTTGAGCCTCAAAAGAGTCAAGTGTAACCACTTAAGTATTTTCGAGCAGTTTTTGGTCAACTTTTGAAAATGGAAAAACTAAATCTGCCATTTTATAGATTCCTATCCCAATCTGAACAAACTGAAGAAAGTTCTTCTCTAACTTTATTACTTTCCGAGAAAATCGTGTCGGAAAATTTGAAAATCACGACTTATATTTGAAAATTTTTCAATGTTATCCTATCTAGAATTTGATGCTAATCATCATAGTGTTTTCGGTTTTTGTTTATCTCAATTAGTTTCTGAGATAATTGTAATTTAAGTCTCGCTGCGAGTACACATTTCACTTAAAGTCATCTACTGAGAAAACCCTTGGCGTTATTAAATTAAAAGTTCTATAAATTGGGTAATTAAGAGCTGCTCTACACAATGAATTTATTTGTTTTAATAAATATTTGAAATACTAATTAAAATGTCAGGCGCCTCCGCCAAAAGTTGAAATAATTAATAAAATTACCTAGGGAATTAAAAAATCTACTTTTTTATCGCGTTTTGCCAAATAAAATAAAAGAATAGGCAAAAATAATTGCCTTTTCCACTTCAAAATCATTTCTTTCATTTTTTATATAAATTTGGACGTTTTACAAGCCATATTAAAAAGAATTCTTGAAAGATCAAGAATATAAAGCCTTTTTTGTTCTACTCCTTTTAGTTGTCGTGATAATTAATATTTAATCTTTTAAACTTTTCCAATGATGGAGGCGCCAAATGTCAGGCACCTCCGCCAAATTTTCTAGAATTAAAAAATGTTTGTTGTTTACAAACCCTTTTAAAAGGAAACACGGAATTTAGGGCTTTTCTTAGAGTTTTCTCAAAAATTTAAAATATAGTACTGAGAAAAATGATACGGCTTAGCTTAATGTTTTCAAATTAACAATCAAATACATTTCAATTTGGAAGTGGAAGAACCTGCATTGTATACAAGTTAACCTCAGTAACATCTTTAAGATGACTTAGTACTAGGCATGAATATTTAATTTTAAGACAAAAAACGCACAAAACTATTTAATTCATTAATATAAACCAGTAACAGTAATTATCCTTTATATTTAAGTGTTAAAAAATGTGAAAATTCAAAGTGCCAACTTATATTTCTGAAGAATTTACTAAAAATCACCTAAATTATACTCAGTATGACTCTATCCAGAGTAGAAGTCTTCTTGAACTTTGCAACATGGACAGGGGCAGTTCTCTACTCACTTTATAACTTTTACTTAGCATGTGACAGTAAGTTAATGTGTATTTCTTACAAATAAACAAACATTAACTAATATTCTTTATTATCCACAGTTTTTAATCACCAAGAAGATAGCTACAATGACTTCTCACCAGGTTGGACATTCCTCCATCGAAGAAAAGACTCAGCTGACATCGAATGGCAAACAATTCTATATCTCCTCACACAAATAACATCATGGTGTCTTATGCATGCATTCCTCAGTGAAATAATATCTAAAACTAAATTTTATAACTATAAACAAACTCAGATCTTCCAAATAACATTCACATTGATTTATTTAATTGTACATATGCCAATAGTATTACTACTAATGATAATTCTCCAACCAGTTGTGTTCAGACTGTTCTACACATTACAAAACACTGTTTTAATGTGGATTTGTTGGTTGTCATGTCTCACAATCATCACAATGCTTAAATTTGTTGATTTAAGTGAGTATCTCGATGGATATAATGAGATGGATGTGTATTTGACTATCACCTGTTTATTCTGGATGAATTTAAAGTGCTTCAGTTATTTTATGGACAAATTTAAACAAAACAAAGAAGAAACATTAACAAAAGATGGTTTATCTTCTAAAAGTGTTGATAATTTAGAGTATTTTGCATATTGTTTGTACTTACCTACACTTTTTGGTGGACCATTTGTATGTTTCGATGATTATGTTCATTGTGCACAAGATGGCCACTTAAAACATTCATTTTTAACTAAATTAACCAAACTAGGGAAGAATTTAGTGAGAATTGGATTCTGGGTGGTTTTCACTGAATTTGCCCTGCATTTTATTTATGTTAATCCAATGATTTATCAAATTGAGGTGAGTTTTATTGTTTTTACTTACTTTTTACTGAAAAGTTAATTTTTTCGTTGCAGCATGTTAAAACTTTCAACTCCTGGACGTTTTACGGCTATGGTTACGCAATGGGACAATATTTCCACCTGAAATACGTCGTATTATACGGTTTTAGTCTATCATTCGCAGAATTCGACGGAATTCCAGTCCCCAACAGACCAAAATGCATCGGAAGGATTCATGTCTATTCAGATATGTGGAAACACTTCGATCGTGGCTTCTACATTTTCCTCGTACGGTAAGTTAATCAATCAAAACTATTCTTTATTGGTAAACCAATAAAAAAATAAAAAAATCAACTTTGTGTCTTGTTCTCTGTACATGTTTAGATATATCTACATTCCATTAATGGGCGACCAAAGAACACTACGCCGGCAGATACTCGCAAGCATAGTGTGCTTCCTCTTCGTCTACGCATGGCACGGCATAGCCACCTTCATCCTCATCTGGACCATAATCAATCTCATCACAATCATCATCGAAAAATGCTTTAAACTGTTCATTGACTCGCAAATCGGCGCAAACATCATGCATGAATTGAATTTAAGTGATCAATGGAGGCAAAGACTGCATGGTATTATTGCTGCACCATTATTAGCTATATCAGCAATGTCAAATTCATATTTTTTCGCTGGTAGGGAAGTCGGAGATGCTTTCTTTGCGCAGTTCTTTGCAAGTCAACTCAGCGCAAAGCTAACATTCTTTTTCCTGCTGTACTTTTGCTGTCAGGTGTCAATTGAAACCAAACAATGGGAACAAAAGAAGTCAACAGCAGGAAAACAGCGATAACGAATAAAAAATTGGATAATTAGAAGTAATACTATGTACAGTACCGGGTCATTGATGATTTTGTAAGAAAATGCCGCAGAAAATGATTGTTTTCATGTGGAATGATTAATGAATAAAATAATACCGAATATAACCTAGGGATAAATCTCCGGGTGTTTCAAGGTCGTCGATTCTTCCGCCGCAGTTCTAGTTTCTTCAAGGCTTCGAGTCGATTACGCTCGATTAATTCCTGTTGCTTTTTTTGTTCTAGTCTGGCAAGTGCTTGTTTCCGCTTGTATTCTATTTCTTCTGGTGAGCATTTTATCGGCGATGTATCAGCTAAAAATATAAATATTTCAAAATTATTCGTTTTAATTAATAAATTTTGTTTATAATTACAATCACTTAAAACAGTCGCCCTTGGAGCATGTTTAGCTCTGAGTTTTGCAAGCGCAGCCAATCTTTTCTTCTCAATTTCCTCTCTTAGAATTTCTTCATTAGATTTTTTAACATAAGTATGCCCGAAACTAAGACTTTTTGTTTTAAACTTCAAAGGACTCTCTTTTTTAACATTTGATGTTGATGTTGATGTAGATGCTGATCCAGCAGCACTGGTTTTTAACGGCGATGTAGGTAACTCAGGAAACATGTCCAGCGTGTCATCAAACTCCTCCAAAGCCAAATTAAATGAATTATGAGTCTTTTGTTGTTGTAATTTTCCTTTAAAACTAAAATTACTCCTATTTGGTGTTCGATTAGGCGAATCTAACAACGTATTCGAACTGTAAGATTTTGTAAGTGTTCTAGGTGATTCTGTTTTAGTTGTTTCTGTTTTTACAGGTGTTTGTAGGACTGTAACTGCTAATGGTTTGCATATATCACTCAATTCATTGTGTTTCAGCTTCTCTTCAACTTGTTGGCTTACCATCAGCAGTTCTTGTTCTAATGAATCATCAAACAGATCATCTGTGGGTTGAGGCACATGGTTATTGTTAAGACTACAATTAAAATCTAATTCTGCATCATCTAGTTCTACAATATCTTCTCGGAATGCCATCAATTCATCTCTGATTTCATCAAAGGTTCGATGTGAGTTTGTGGTTGGTGCATGTTTTTTTCAATGGCAATGGAGATGATTTCTGATGGTTTATGATTCTTTTAGGTCGGCGATTTGTACGTGGTTTGGACTGGGGTGAGTTCCAGTCCCATAGGACATCCACTTTGTCAAGAGATTCTTGGGTGCAGGTGAGATACACTGGACTGTAGTCTTTGTCAATACTTAAATTTGGTTTCATAGGAGTTGTAGTTAAGTCAGTTGAGCTGCCTTCTAAAAATGGTGAAGAAAGTGTTAATACTTTATTTATTATTAAATATATTGTGTTGGATTAGTATAATTAAATAATAAAATGATGTTAAACTCTGAAGTCGAGTGAATTAATTTGTATACATTGTAAAATTCTTACCATTTTTGATTTTCAACCGGTTTCTTAGACTTTGGGCCATCTTTGTACACTACTATCACATAAATTAAATTCACTGGATGAGTAATTATTTATCTATTTGAATTAAACAACAAATTAGAAAATCAACACAATAAATATTTGCTTTTCAGGTGGCAAAACAGTAAAACATATTGAGGGTTATGACAGACTTTTGGTGTATAAAAAGTTGCCTACGTTAAATATGCATTTTTAAGAAATACAAACATAAAATTACGTTTTTTGTAGTAAAAACGTTATTATCTGTTATTAATAACACAAGAAGGTTGAATATAATGACATATTGCATTCATAATTCTTGTTCATTGTCGTACCAGCCAAGAACAAACAACATAAAATACTAATTACTTCATACAGGTAGTTACGAAAATAAATGTAATAAATAAATAGTAAAAATAAACTTAAACAAAGCAAACAACTCATTGATCCTTAAACTGATAATTTTTTATCATATTAAACCCATTGTTGTTATATAAATTGCACAAAATCAACTAGATATATTTAGTAAACTTGAAATTGAATTTTCGTGCGGTGTTTGAGTAACTCGTGCGTGAAATTTAATTTTCTAGAAATAAAATTCAAATTGGAATCATAGCCATTATAGTTATTAAATTGTTAAATCAATATCCTAAACGTTTCTGATGAAACTCCACACAAAGAGCGACAGTAACTAACATATCAACACAAGCGGAAGTTGGTGGGGAAGTTGATGAACAAGAATTTCCTCACACATTTCCCTCATTCGAAATGTCGGCACGTGAGAACGTAAACGCGAATGTGAACAGCGTGAGTATTTAACTAACACCCGATTTTAATATTAAACGCATGCATTTTTAAGTTGATTGACGTAACTAAACGATTCGAAAACACACGGAGTAGATTATTATCGATTGCATTTAACGAGAAATAGGAAGCACGCGCACGAAACTCACCGAACGAAATAAAACAATCAATAATCCATGATATTGCGAGCAAATAAATCGAAATAAAGTAGATTTTAGAGGTTTAAGATAATGTGGGGCAAAAACAAGTTGTGTTTTCTTTGAAAATATAATAGATGTGTTGTGATAAAGTTATTAATATGAGTGGGTGATTGAAATGTGCGATAACGAAACAGATGTATGATAATCTAAAATACGAGGTGATAATATTTGTGTTTGATTTTTTACGTTGGAGATTATTAAACAAAACAAATAATAGAATATTAGGTTATTTTTTTGAAGGTTATGGAGTAGAATATTAGGTTAGGTTAGTACAAACTAGAATTTCACGTAAAAATTAAGAAAAACTAATTTAAAGAAGTTAAAACATAGAGATTTCATGACCCAACTGCTAGTTTCTTTTATTATAATCATTTTTTGTTGAAATTCTGTTGTAATTCACATTGAAAATGCCATAAAATATTAGATTAGATTGTTTTAGGTTACTTAGACGCAAAATTATGTGAAGCTAAGTTGATTTAATTAGCATTTGGCGTGAAAATTAAGAAAAACTAGCTCAAAGGAGTTAAAAGTTCGCGTTTTTTCTTCAACGCGGTAAAAAGTTAGTTTTTTAAGGTTATATAGTGAAATAATGTATTAGGTTAGATTTTTAAGGTTATGTAGAAGCAAAATTAGCTAAGGTTATGTTCCTACAATTAGAATTTCGCGTGAAAACTAAGAAAAACTAGTTCAAAGAAACTATAACACTGAAATAATATAATATTACATGGCACATTTTGTGTCCTCAATCGGTACACCTTTTTTCTAATCATTAATTATTCTAATTCTATAGTTTTTTCTGTTGTAGTTCTGTTGTAGTTCACGTTAGGTGGCTTCATTGGCCACGCAAATAGCATGCAGGTAATAACGCTAAAGTCACTGTCAGAAAATCGATATCCTTGGAACCTTTACCTGCCTTCACCATTGAAAAGCTTTGCATATTCAGTTCAGTACCTGATATTTGTTTACAGTCAACCATAGACACCGAAGAGATCGGTTGTTAGTTATTTCATTCGGTTTCATTCGACATTCGGTCGATGTGAATACATCATCACACTTTTTTCTTTTCTGCTTTAATTAAATTATTAATTTTCGGGTGTACCTAATGAATATTTGAAGTTTGACGCGTGAATTTCTGAATAATATAAGTTGGCAATCTGTTCGGTGAAGCGGTACAATTGGAATTGCGATCGTTAAAAGCTGTAGGAAGCAAAATAGAACTTTTATTACACAAGCATAAAACATGTTTATGTAATACATGTATGCACTTGTAGTTTAGTCATCTAATGTCACCTGAAATATTGTGTTCAGCGTGTTTGGAGAAATATAAAAAGAGCATAAAGTGAAATATGTACACGTCGGACAACAAAGAAGTTACTGTAAGTTTATATTCGTTTTCTTTGCATTTATGTATGCTATTTGCACACAGAACTGCACGATTAGTAAAACTGAACTATTTTTTTAATTATTTTATGTGTTTACGCACCGCTTATTTGAAAAATTTTGGTATTATTACTTTTAGAAATAATATAAAAATACGTATAAAAAGAAAAGTTTAAAAAAATAGATTTTTGAATGTTTTATTGAAGAATTAAATCAATAAAAAATATTACGCGAGAGAAATCGCAAGTAAAAGCTAGAAATATTATATTTTACTATAAAACTCGTAAAAATTCAAATTTTAAGCCCAAAAAACCCGAAGAACTTTCCTTTTAATTTAAATTTACCTAATACGTCATTATTTAATATTTTAAAGACATTTCTCATTGATTTACTAAAACCCAAAACCCTAAAACTTGTTTCTGATTTAATTTGCGTACAATTAGTATGATTTTATGACTCACTCACAAAATCTAATGCGTCTAACGCGTCTAACGCTCCAAATAGATAACTACGCAACTGTACAACGTGCGAGAATTGATAAAAAAATACAATACAAAAACAAATTTATGCGGAAACACATAATTCTACTCAAATATACCTCAAAGTATAAAAATTATTCGCAATTTTATTGTTTGAACTACTTAGTGTCAAATTACGAAAAAAATCAAAACTTTGATTATAAAAACAATAAAAATTAACAATTACACCACGTTAACACTTATTTCAACAATTCACAATTGTTTAAACACAACGTGTGATTAATTGAACATAATTCTATGTTGTAACAATAATTACCATCGTAAAAACGAGTTCATTACTTTTATAAACAAATACGTATCTAGTAATCTTTCAAATCACGGAAATTGGTTCATGCGCTTCGTCAAGGTGCGTCCAAGCGCATTGTTGCATAAAATGCACACCTGCAAACAAAATGCGTATTTGTTGTGTAATTTCCGCCATATTTGTTACAATTGCCATAAATAGACACAAAAAAAACTCAATAATTGAATGTCTGTGACTTGTGAATGTGTCTTTTGTCTGGCAATTCGCGGAACTTCCGTTAAGTGAGTGATTAAGGTTATGGTAGGAGAAGCCATTTTCATTTGTCAACTGTACACCTCATGTACGAGTACTGTTCATGTCCTGCCAGACTTTCAGTACGAGGTGAACGCGCGTCGCGAACAAAGTGAACAAAGAAACCAAGTACATTTACCTAAAAAATTCAAATATTTATCGCTCACTGACGTTATTATCACCAAATTCTGTTTATCGCCACAATATATATTATCGTCGAGATTAAAATCGATTAAAATCAGTTTTCAGTCTAGTCAAGTATAAAATGCACGGGAGCATATGTTAGATCACGCAGTGATCATTCCCCAACGTAGTTTTTAACAAGTTTTATCGTGTTTTTCGTTGTTTTTTGGTTACAAAATGAGTGCTAATAACGGTGTGAGAACCGACGGAAGTGCGTTTTCCGCCATTGTTGTAAGATGACTTTGAAATTTGACGGATGTGTAACTTACTTGTGATTTTTGTGGATTATAGAAAAGCCTCGACGCCAATAAGTATGCGACGAAGAAAACCATCGCTCAAGGTTTGCTGGACGTCGCTCTGCTCACGGCGAATGCATCCCAGTTGAAATACATCCTGCAAGTTGGCGAGAAGCATGAATTCTACACGTTGATGCTTACGCTGATCATCGTCTCCATCGTTCTACAGGTATAAACTTTTTAGGGGTTATGCTTGCATGTATTTTGGGTTGCCTACCTTTTATTTGCATATTTATAAATATAAATTAATATTTTATTCGCTGCACGATACACTACAGGTCCTCGTCGGTCTGCTATCACTCAGTTTAAACCTGCTGCGTGATTGTCGCCTGCATCTGGAAGATTTTCACGCGTCTGCTGTGTGTCTCAACTACTTCACGATGTTCTGCGCATTCGCCATAACTGTTTTGAACCTTCTTATATCATGTTTTGATCCGACAATTGCAAAATACGCTGTTTTTGAACCACCGTCTATCGAAGGCGGACTCTGAGCACTTTTTTCCGCACAATTTACACACTGAAACACGCACGTTGTATGAAAATATTCAGGGGTTATGTTTGGTTTTGTAGCTGCTGGTTGCCATCTTGTTTGTTATCATCGGCGGACTGAACCTGAACAAACACTCGGACCAAACTGCAGCGGTTGTTCTCAACGATATAATATTAATATTCGTTTTTTCTATATCACTGGTGAATATTATAATATCCGGTTTTGGTATGGAGTATTCCAATCAACCACTGCGGCTGCTCAGTGAAGATGAACGCTTGAATCGTGTCACGTGATGTGATAGGCAACCCAAACGTCGACACTTGTTGCACAATCGACACGCATGCGTTATTTTTGATTTTGCGGTTGAAATAAGTTTAAAAAATGGCGTTGAATGGCGTTGCAGGTGAGCGCAGCCTTCCTGTCAATGACAACGCAGACACTGCAGCATTCCGACGACGAACAGCGCCAGTTTATCGGCAGTGTACTGAACCAAGTCGCGTTGGGATTCGTCACCGGAGCGCTGTTCTGCGACGTGATCAAAATGAATTTCGGTCTAGATCCGGCACTCGCCTTCAACGCCACCGCAACACCCACACCGCAAAAGTCAAACTATTAAAACTATTATTTTATGGCATTTTCTACGCATTTCGTGTGTTTACATTTATTTGCTCAATGTTGATCATATTTTTATTGATTTATATCTTCATTTCTTTGTTTTAATTCGATTTATTTTTTGTTTTATTTTGTGGCACTTGCACAATCACAAAATGGCACCTGCAGCTCATCCAAGGCATTGTGTGCGTGTTCGTCGGCACCGGCGTCGATTTATACGAGCAACAAGATGCCAAGAAGGCGAATCTAGCGAACAACATCATTCTCAGTCTGAATTTGGTACTCATGGTGGTGAATATCATCATCAGCACATTCGAAATGAAAGAAGACTTCAGCGACACCGGTGAAACGACGACAGCTGCAACTAAACTCTTACCAACTACATGATTATACTTTAAAACTAAGAATTTAACTTGTTTAGTTTATATTTAGCGTTAATATTAATGTAAAATGTATTTATCGATAGTTTTTACAAGCGCTTTGACTCATTCATAAACATAACCTTAAGTAAAATTAATATAAAACCATCAAATCCTGTTTTTTAGGTTATGTGAATACATTAACCTCACTTTAACTCAAATTTATACCGTTTGAAGATATTTTGATACCGTCTTTCTTTCGCCATCATCTCTAAATACTCCTTTCTACTCGCTGATGACCTCAAAGTTAGAATCATGTTAACTTTTTGAACGATTGATTCAGCCGTAGCATGATCCGTTTCAAAATCGTAATGTTTAAAAATCATCGGTGTGTTAACCGACGATGAAGGCGTTTCTTTATCAAAACTAAAACCTGGATTATATATGATCCTAAATACAGACTTACTACTTTTTGTGTCTGTGATCTCACACGATGCTATTGACTCCATTGGATGACTGACAGGTCGATGTCGATTGAAAATAAACTTTGCGGATTTTTGACGCACCGGATCAATTTCGATCTTGTCCGCGACTATTCCCAGTTGAATTTCTACCTTTGCACGTACCCGATTAATCACGTGGACTTTGTATGTCTTGTAAAGCGGTGCCTCCATTGCTGTCTTGTGGTTTTCGAGGATTTCCAGTTCGATTTGTTGACGGTTTGCATCTTGAGCTATAAAAAACAAAATAAATCAAAATAAAACATTTATGGTTGCATAACTAGTGATTTTACCGTTTGTTGTTGAGCTCTGTGGTTTACTCAATGAATTATTAGCTGTTTCTTCTGTAGGACTAGCGAGATTTTTATCCAAATCACTTTTTGTTTCCTCAACAAGTCCAAGACAAGTAAAACCAAACTTTACAACGCATTCTTTCCTATCTAAAGCTCCTAAATCTCGTTCTATCTCGCCATCTTCTTCCATTATGTATAAACCATAGTTTTCACTTGGTTTAAGTTGGAAATCACCATGAACTGTGCTGCATTTAAAGCAAATCAATCCAATTAACTCATGGATTTTTGCTGTGGCAATGCAGACAATCGTCATTGGATAATTCCTCTGCTCCTCTGGAAGCATGGTGAGGAATATACGATACCTCCTTACAGGTATGCCAACTTGTGCATTCCCATCGAATTTAGCATACTCTATGTATGGATTCTTTGGTACATTCGGATAGTTTACAATTTGTTCAGATAAAAGTGATTTTACATTAGTCTCAATAGGTGTTAACACTTCTTTTTTCACCAGTGATAAATCATTGGGTAAATTACTCTCCCATTTGATGTGTTTTGTCTTGGCAGCTCTCTTTTTCGCTTGATCCATTCTTTCTAGTCGCACAGCAGTGTCAGATCTGATGCGAACAGGTAAATCTAAATCAGGAGGTATTTCTATTGAGTCGTTCTGATTGAAATCTTCATCATCTTGACTGTCTTCACTATCTGGGTAAATATTGAGTTGATCTACTAGGTTTTTAGGGAGATTTTGGCCTTCCATTACAATTTCACACATGCCTGTGATAATAAACAAGTTTTAATAGAGTTTTCTTCAAGAAAAACGTATTAAACGTACCGGTATCATCTGTAGAAATGAAGGAGTTTCTTATGTGTGATAGCAACCAGTGTTTATCATTGTAAAACGCCATGATTTTCAATGTTTTATAACAAATTCCACTCTGATGCAAGCAGTTGTAACCTCAAACTTTGTTTTTGTTACCGCCCCACCAAAGAATAAAGATTTTAACATTTAAAAACAAAATAATTAAAGAAATTAATGTTTTTAAGGCTTAGAATGAAATATTCTCATATTCTGTAATTCTATTTATTGTTTTACTACTTATTGACTTTTGATATTAACATTATCTTGTAATTTATTGAACATTATTCTTATTACATTTATTTTCATTATTTGGATGATGTATACATTTAGTGAAATGACAAACAAGTCATTCAATGATCTTCTCTCTGATAATCTACCTAAAATCTAGACAATTCAATCAAATAAACAATAAATAACAATAACTTGCAACCAAACTGGTAAAAATGTCTAAAATATCAACAATATCAATAATATCCTAACAAAATTGATGCTGGAAGACCGCATTTACTAATATTTACAATTTATATCAATATAACAATATTTAATATATGTATTATTGCGCTAATATGCACGTCATTAGGCTAAAACATTTACTTCTCACAATTAACAGAGTTAAGTTTGATTTTCATTAATTTCTTTATATTTATACAAATTTTGATATATGGATCAGTAAATCAAGTGTAAATATGTTGTATTATTTCCAAATTTGATTTGGTCAGTCACTAAACTTACAAAAAATAGTTGAATATTGCTAGAGCCGCGTTTTTCGTTACTTTTCACTATAAATAAACTAATCGCGTGATATTTATGTAAATATCTATGTATTGTCATTGTTAAATTGTTAAATTAGTTACTTTGCATCAAAAAAGCAGCATTTGAATGCTATTATGTATATTTATAGCCGCTTAAACTTTCAAAATGGCGTTTTTGATCAGAAAATGGCCGCCTACGCATTAATTCGATAAGAAAACTTCTTATTTATTAATTTTAGTGAGTTGTGTATCGTCGTCCATTTTCTAATCATCAGCGTGGCCATTTTGTCATCGTCACGTGACTTGTGCGACAAAAAATGTCCGTTTTTTTTACAATTTCAATAAAAACGAACCGATAACACTATCATTGTATATCTAAACCTCTATAACACGCAAAACCAATCACAAACATCGATATATTCTATGATATTAGTATGTATATTATATAGCAATTGTTTTGGAAGACTTGTTTACAGTTTAACAACGTTTTGGAAGACATTACTTATCCCTTAAATGTAATTCAACACCTACACACTGGTTCAAAATCGATAATACTTGCATCAATGCCAAATACGCGGATTATTGTCGTGTTTGCTTGTCAAAATAACGGTAACGATCGTTACGTGCAGAAAATGGAAGACATTTCAATGATTTGACGCAATCATTGTGTGCTTTTTGTTTTTTTCTTTGTTCCAAGGCATTGGTTTGTTTTAGTTAAATATTTTGTATCATTTTGGAAGACTTCGTTCGTATTTCTTGCTAAAATTGACGAATTAAAACGGTAAACCGATGGAGAATGCTTTCACCAAAGCAATACCAGCGTCATACATGCCGATAACACCGAACAAGACACCGAGGCTGATGATAAAGTAATCGAACGCAATGGCGCGCGTATCCATCGTCTGTCGTTTGAGTTTCAAGTGGAAGTAACACGGCCAGATGAAGCTTAACATTGTACCGGTGAAACTACCGATGAAACCCATGAGGATTGAGAAATGCGGGATGAAACACGCCATTAGAATAGTGAACACCACGATACCAACCCGCCATGCTAAACCCCAGACTTTTAGCTCACCATCAAGCGCCCAGATTGTAGGAAATGGCGTTTTTGGTTTACCGCGGAAAAATGCACGCTCCAACAACTCACACGCTGCATAATACGGTAGTGGATAACTTAGGAGAGCTTTTATAACCAAACAAAGGTTTACCAATCCTTTGAAACCCGCCGAGTGGAGATTATTAGTGATTACCTGTTGGGTGTCGTTCTGGAATGTCAGGAAACAGACATAACCAAACACGGCTTTGAAGATGGCGGCCCACACATGCGACCAGTCCAACATCCATTGGAATTTCGATGGATCAATCATGTTACCCTCCAATGTGGGCAGGAAGATCTGTGATGTGTAGGAGAACACAATCACGCCGAGACTTATGGGGAAGTTTTCAAAGTCAATCGTCCATTTGACTTTACTCCATCCCCAATCACCGATTTCCAATAAGCAGTAACCAAGGATGATTGCATTGATGAGGATGTGTGACATTGTGCACCAGAAGGACAACAGACTCACACTTTGAAGAGATTTCAGAAATCCTAAAATATAAATCATATCCCCATTAATATTATAAATGCGAAAGTCCCGATGTTTGTTACACTTTCACGCAAAAACTACTTAACCGATCATCATGAAAATTTGTACACATATTCTTAGTGGTCCCCGAATGGTTATAGACTACTTTTTATTTAATAAAAAAAATTATTTTTGAAATAAAATAAAGAAATTGTTTAGCCAATAATACCTCTGCATCTGGCTATTTGACTACTTTAACGCCATCTAGCATTCCAGCAATGAAGCTCAAACCTAAGTACTATAGTACCATCACACTGTATTACCGACAGCTACGTCAACATCAAATCCAATTGACTACACTATGGAGACTGTACACTATACTTCCATAGACTATACTTTCAGCCATTTTAAACTTCCCGCCATTCTACTTCATTGTTACTTCTTCTGTGACTACAGACGCGTACGGAATCAACTTCATTATTTTAGATATTCGCGAGCGAAGCCGCGGGTTAAAGCTAGTAAAACAATAAAAATGAAGTAAAATTGATTTTTAGGTTACCTAGAGGTATTAACAGGATACCAATCAACATCATCCAGGATCTTGTATCTATAGCGCCATCTGGGAAGCTCCCAATCATCAAATCACCACAAACCACCACGTAGAGGATACAAGTCATCAATAGTTCAATAATTTGTGCGATGTTGACTATTTTAGCGCCATATTTCTTCCCAAAACACTCTTTTGCAATGGCTACGTACGAATCACGTACACGGATCTGTGTTCCAGTGGTCACATCAAACTCATACAGACATTCAACTAGGATTTTGCCTGTGTAACAACAAATGTATGCAATTCCCACCATTGCAGCCACTGCCCAGTAACCTCCTCTGAGGACAGCGAATGGTAAAGAAACAATAAACATTCCCTAAAACAATAAAAATCAATATGTGTTTAATAATGTTTAAATACGAGTATTAATTACCTGGATTGCATTGGTGACATTCCAAGCAGCTTGATACTCATTGATCTTGATATCACTCTTCCCTTCAACGAAATCATCCGAAATGGACGACATGTGCGACACTTGCCGTGGTATCCCACTTTGATAATTGAAAGAAGACTCCTCTTGCCCTTGTTGTCCTGCGTGTTGTTGCTGTTGTTGGAAGTCCTCCCCGGATAAAGACTGTTTAAATGGGTTGGTACAATGCATGCTCTGCATCTCATGGTGTTCCATGGATCCCTGATTGGGTATCTCGCTGTTTAATTGAGCAAAATGGAAGTTCTCGCCGGGTTGACCCTCGGGGCCATGTTCTCCACCTCCGCCGCTGCCGGTTGGTACATGCTGGCGGATATTCTGCCATGCGGCGTTCATCGCGTTGCCCAGCGGTGGTAAACCGAAATTACCGAATTTCGACATCGCGTTGAATGAAATTTGAGTGAAATCACAGAAAAATGAATCCTTGCGTAATTGTCGCGTGTGCGGGAAGGTATCGCCGATGAAAATCGATACGGTGGGAGTCTGTACGTCGCACTCGGTGGATACAGATCGGAAATAATTCGTTATAACATGTTGAAACCGCGGTTTTGATGCTGTGGAAGTACGAGTGTTTTGTGTGCGATGTGGAAGCGAAACGTGCGTGATGCTTGAAATTAGTTTATGTGGGTGAGATTTAACAAATGAAATTTAACACACTGAGATGGTGGAGTCCATCTCGCGGAGGAGATGAATCTGTTCACAGAGGTCCTGTCGATCCTGAGGGCGAGAAATTGCACATGCGCAAGGAATCTCCTGCTGCGCATTTCGGAAAAGGAAGAAATATTTGAATAAAAACAAGTTTTGCTTTAAATATTTGCCAAATTGTGTTAAATACATGTCAATTTAGTTTTACTCATCTATATATATAAAATTTGCGTGTCACAGTGTTTGTTTCCATACTCCTCCGAAACGGCTTTACCGATTTTTACCAAATTTTATATGCGTATTCAGTAGGTCTGAGAATCGGCTAACATCTATTTTTCATACCCCTAAGTGATAAGGGTTGTTCACCCTTAACTTTTTTTTAAATTTTTGGACAAATTCTTTTGTTTTTTTTTTTTATAATGTGGAATTAAAAAATACATACAACCCTAAATTTTTAGCTTCTTATCACCAACCCCTATTTCTTTATAGCCATTTTCGTAATTTAATCATTTTTCATCCCGCTCAAAGAAAATTTTTATATGCGTATTCAGTTGGTCTGAGAATCGGTAACTTCATATCTCTAAGTGATAAGGGTTGTTCACCCTTAATTTTTTTTAAATTTTGGTCGAAATTTTTTGTTTTTATTTTTTTAATGTGGCATTAAAATATACATACAACCCTAAATTTTTGGTTTCTTATCACCAACCCCTATTTTTTATAATAAGTAAGTTACTTTTTGTCTACACTAAAATTTATCTAGAAACTTGAAATAATTTATATGGCAAAACAACGTTTGCCCGGTTAACTAGTAAAAATATAAATTTATTGATTTATTTCTTTGGAAAATCACTAAAAATTCGTGCTAGGACGATTAAAATCCTATTATTATTCATTAATTAACAACAAATCAAATATTAATGAAATTTGATTGGAAAATTTGATAAAATCATCTAAATTAATGAAATTACGCCAACAGAAAGTGAAAACAGTGCGGTAAAAGTAAAATGGCGGATAACCCTTTTGTGCAAATCAAGTAAAACCACAAAATCTGCCTAAAGGACTGCGACTGGACTACTGGATGACTCAGGCACGACTGAACACTGCACCCGCTGTGCGCTCGCCTTTTATACCTGCGGACTACCCGCAAATAGTGGTGGGGGAAGGTGCGTAGTCATTACGCGCGTAAACTGTACGCAGTCATTGATCCCTACGCGTTCCCCACCACTTTTGCGGGTCGCCCGCAGGTATAAAAGGCAAGCGCACACGTTCAGTCGTCCCAGAGTCGTCCAGCAGTCCAGTCGCAGTTCTCTCTTCACTCTTCCTTTGATTTCCACGTTATAAAACAAATAAAACACTTAAATTACATCCAACTACTTATAAGGTGGTATATAATTCTCTCCCATCATTGGACAATCATCCACAAGTACAGAATCCTGTAAAATAATAAAATTTTACTTAAATTTTGCATAAAATGTAAGAAATTCTAACAAAACTTACAATTTTCTCGCATCTATCACAACATTCACACCTACTGAAGTCCCTCGGAACAAAAACAGCATCCTCTGCGCAATTTACACCACGTAAATCTTCACATTTATAATTATCTTTATAACAATTCGGTGTACATTCAGATGCAACATGATACTGATAATCCCCAAGCAGTAATAATAAAAACGCAACAGTTTTGAACATATCTTTATTTTGGCCGCTTCCACACCAAACCGAAAATGATGATAAATCATTCATTGTTATTGTCTTATATCTCTTAATACGTTGTTGTTGTTTTTTCATATATATGTGTGTGTATGTGTGTTTTAACAAAATATTTACCACGCCGCCATCTTCCAGACGACATTTGCTAACTATGGCTGCAATCGTTTAGCAATTGAACTCATAAAACATTTATTCAAAAATGCACAGTACATTTTCTTCTTTACTGCCCCGATAACTTCACTAATAGCTATATATGCTTAACACTAGATTAAGATTTTACATCGTTTGAGATTGTTTGCTATCCAGTGGGTGTTGTGTGAATGTGAAATCAATAAAAATTACTTGACACTTTGACTACGAGCATACTGCTTACACAACTAACAGTTGCAGCATGTAGACGATGTAAATATTGATGATAATTGTAAAAATATATCTCATTTTCTGAATAACACATGACCAAAACGTCCAATTTGTCGACAAAAAAACCGCCCGGCAACACTGTGGCTGATAGACCAGTGTTGCATGTCGCATGTGTGACGTCACACAGCAGATATAACCTCTTCAGCCTTGAAATAGGAATAATGTAAATGTTGAATACAAATTTCATTAAATGCGTTCAGGAATCATAAACAGCGCCCCCTGTTAGAATCTTAGAGCCTTATTATGTACTTAATGTATGACAAATTGGTTTCCACGAAGAAAAACATGTTTATAAAAGATACCTTGTTTGTTTTTTAGATATTTTCTCTCAAGTATCGAGCAGAATCTACAGCCTGATTAGTTATCAGGCTCAGCATGATTCTCGCTCTCGTTGAGTTCGCAATACTTGACGGTTTTAACGTTGGCAGCGTCCGTGGTCCCATTTAGCTCATGGCTGGCAATATCCGGCACGCCTTCGGAGGTGCTCTGCCGTGACGTGGTGCGACTCCTGCGTCCGTTCAGAACTTCCGCGTATTTCGGCACGAATGTCGTCCACTCATTCGAGTTGATATCCAAATACTCAATGGTATTCAGGAAGCTTTTGCCTGAAAACCCACCGACAGCGTATAGACGCTTGCCAACAACGACAACCTCAACATTCGCGCGCGGCGTCGTCATCGACGGGCCGACAATCCACGTCTCCGTCCGTGTATCGTATACTTCTGTAGAGTTCAACGAGTGGGTGCCGTCCGAGCCGCCAACGACATAGAGCATATCATTAAACACAGCCACGCCACAGCCGCGTCGCGCTGTTATAATTGGCTTGGACATCGTCCAGACGTCTTCTTCCGGGTTGTAGACTTCGACAGAACTGAGACAATTCCACGAATCGCATCCGCCAATGGCGTAGAGTAAACCTCGATATGAAGTTACACCTGTTTGATATCTGCCTATATTTAAGGGGGCAATGGACATCCATCCTTTGGCTTCCGGGTTGAAAACATCGCATTGTTTGATGCCGACTTGTCCATTCCACCCGCCGATGCAGTAAACCAGCCCGTCGAGGTCACACACGCCGGGATTACTACGCGCTAAGGGTAATTTTGGTAAATCCACCCATTTACCAACAGGAATATCCAACATTTCGACTGTGTCTAACTCTGTAGTGCCATTACTACCTCCAATCGCGTAGATTTTACCGTCTAAGACAGCTACTTGGAACCTTCCACGACTTTCTTTCATCTGCGGAAGAGTTTTCCACGTGTTGGTGTCTGGATTGTATTGTTCCGCAGTGCGTAGACATTCAATGCGATCATAACCTCCACAGACGATTAGAGTGTTGTGTAGATTACCGCAACCCACCGCACATCGGGGTTTGACATGTTTGCAAGCGCACAGTATAAGTCTGGTTTGTCTTCGCTCGCTGGACGGCTTACATCTGGGGTGCTTGACATGGGAGATGGTGTAGAAGGCGTGTTTAACCTATAAAAACGTAATTTTTGTAATAAATAAATTTTGAGGTTAAAATAGGTTAACCATGATGTTTACCTCAGTTGGATGGATAAAATGGTCAACTTTCCAGCCAGAGTGACTAAAGCTAAGAATGTATGCTCGCCGACTTTTGACGAAGCGATCAAATTCCAATCAGGTTCCACTTCGGCAACCAGTTGATCCTCGCCGATTTCTCTGGAATAGATTAAAACACGCGGTTTGCTTGGTTGTATAGACTTCTTCTTGGGTTTTGAGTTGCTCTGCACGTTCTTCAGTGACATCTTTTTGTAGTCTTGAACAATATCCGTGTCACAGACATCGCCTAACAGGAAAATATAATTAAATTGAATGAATAACAATTACAAGTGTTGAGTGAGTTGTTTTTTACCTGTTGGCAAGCTAGCGCAATCCTGCAGGAAGTTATCAATGCCAAGATAGAGCATGTGTGTACGCTCGTTTAACGTGTTGATGTTGAGCGTTTCATCGTTCAATTGTCGATGGATCCAGTCCAAAACCAAGCGACATAGTGACGCGTGATTTACCAGGTCCATTTCCTGGCGCGATTGATTTAGGATCTCGATTTTCGTGCACAACAAGTTGAACATTGACGAGGATTGACTGATTTTATCAAACTAGACATAAATTTATGTTAATTAAGAAGTTATTTTCGATTTTGCATAAACGACAATCGAAAAATTGTTATTTTGAGGTTTAATTAACAAAATTTTCATATTTTTTTGTAGAAACAAACATTTTAGAGCATTAAAATGTTTTTAACATTTCGAAAAATTAAGTTTTTCAATGTTTTTGTCATAAAAACAAAGAATAAACTTGATTAATACCCAAAAATCTGAAAAAAATGCAATTTTTGCGTCTACAACTGTCAAAAACGCGCTGTCAAAGCAAAAGAAAAGAAAAATCTCCATTTTAAACCTAAGAATTCAACAGTTTTCCAATTGTCGCTCTTGTTTCTAATTTAAACCCTTTGTAAAATGATTCAATACATACTTCCTTGGCAATGAAAGCATCCACTTGCTGTACAAACTCCTTATTGCGTGCGATGCCTGACAATGACCTGATTTCGATACAATTATCAACGGACAAGTATTTAATCAGGTGCTGGGCGCACCGCCTGGCGACACGATCGATTTTCAGATGACATGCGGCCAGATAAACAGCTTTCACCTTCAGAAACCAAACCACACATGACGCAACAAGGCCACAAAAATTAAACCTCAATCAAAATCAAAATCAACACTAAGCAAGCTTACCAAATCAACAGGTATTTCACAAGTGGCCGTATACGCATACTCAATGAGCAGCTTAAGTGCCTTCTTATCAAAGCCGCCATTCAACTTGTAGGTAATCACATTCTCCACATGCTTCTGATCGATTTCCGTGGAGAACAACTCGAAAAAGTATGGCGACACGCTGGCGAGGATGGCGCGATGTGCGTGAATCTCTGCATTACCGACCTATATTTTCATCACAAAAATTACAAAGCGTTATTATCTACCTCCGACTTGATTAAATCAAAAAGCAAAAATATTTTGCAGACAAAAATTTACCATCGCCTAACGAAACTGATTTTATACATGTTCTGTAAACACAGACAATATCATCACAAAAAAAAACTTAATAAAAATTAGAATATGAGAGAGAATTTCGTGTGGTAGCGTTACCTAAATGCCGATATTTGCGTTTTACACGTCTGCAATAATACCAAAGTACACATGTCTCACACTGAATCGGTGATACAAAAAATGAAAAGTTTGTTTTAAGCTAGTTTTAAGAAGGTTACTCAAGGACTACTCACTAATGCGTCAAACTCTTTTTTGCTGAACAGTAGTGACACGTATCTGAGTGTATCTGACGGTAAACAGTTAAAATTTTACATCGCATTTCAATCAAACATTCTCTTGGTTTACTCGCAAAATGATTCAGAGAACGCGCTCGGGGCTGAGGTTTGAAACGTAACAGAAGTAAGCATGATTGACTGAAACTTGTAAAATCGAATTGTCACACGGTCAGGTTCACATACGTGCAGTATAACGTCACAAAAATGCCGGTTCTTGCGCATCATGTTGAGGGCGTTCAGCGTGTCCGAGTGCAGGCTGTCGTCCTTAAAGCACAGCGGCAGCAGGAGCACTTCGTCATCTTCTTCGATCTCCAGGTCGTCCATGTCGGGCGGCGCGCACGGTTCTTGCTCAGGATGATGATGGTGATGATGATATGTTCCTGCAATACCAACGTCATCACTTTAATTTGATTAAAACAGCTCAACTAAATGCAATTAGGTTCAAAATACAGCGCTAGCAACATTTAGCGTTGTGTTAATCAGAAAAACAAGCACAGTAAACAATCAACAAGTTATATTTTAGCGCTGGCAGTGCGCTAAATTTACCTTGTGTGGATGTTTGTTGATAGTTTGCTAATTTTGCGATATTATGTTAAGCATTTTGAGTTGATCGTCACGAGGTGGTTGTGTTTTGAAGTGGTGAGAGGTGCGATCGTCTTCGGCGCATCGCAATCGTGATATTCAATGCGTAGGTGAGATTGAACTGCGACGCAGAATGGGGAATATGTTGTGTTTGGATGTGTGTGCGGGGGTTTCAGGGTGAACCTGAGCGGTGCGGCGCGCAATCAATACGTCGTGCAAGATGTGAGTGCTAGATGGCTTTAGTCGGAGGAAGTTTTACTGATACGCATTTTAATCAACTGTAACTGGTACAAGAGGTAGAGGTACGAGTTGTACCAGTCAAATTTCGATTATCGAAGAGTTATTTTTGTGGGTTTTGACGTAATAAACGCGTTTTTGATGGGTGAATTCGCAAAAATTGATTTTTTGCAGAAATATTGGAATCAATCAACGATATTTTTTGTTTTTACTGAAGAAAAGATGAAATATTGAGGTCTAAATCAAAAAATCTAGTAAAAAATGCTTTTTTGAGTAAAAAAATTAGGTTTTTTCGTAGTAAAATTGAAATATCTATGAAAATAGTAATTGTACAATATTGTTGTCAATATTGTATGTTTGCCAAGTAAATTCCTTATTTTATGAGTCTAACAACTTAAAAAAATGTCTAATATTTTGAAAATTAAAGCCAAAAAAACGTTTTTTACAACAAAAAACCTTAAAAATTTGCTTTTTTAATAAAATTCCTTCGTTTTTTAACAGTAAAATTAAAATATCTGCAAAAATATTAATTTCCCACCATTAACAAAAATACTAAAACCTTTCTAAATAAATTCCTCACTTTATGAGTCTAACAACTTTAAAAAATGTCTAATATTTTGAAAATTAAAGCCAAAAAACAGTTTTTTACAACAAAAAACCTTAAAAATTTGCTTTTTTCATAAAATTCCTTCGTTTTTTAACAGTAAAATTAAAATATCTACGAAAATATTAATTTCCCACCATTAATAACAATACTAAAACCTTTCTAAATAAATTCCTCATTTTATGAGTCTAACAACTTTAAAAAATGTCTAATATTTTGAAAATTAAAGCCAAAAAACAGTTTTTAACAACAAAAAACCTTAAAAATTTGTTTTTTTCATAAAATTCCTTCGTTTTTTAACAGTAAAATTAAAATATCTACAAAAATATTAATTTCCCACCATTAACAACAATACTATAACTTTTCTAAATAAATTCCTCACTTTATGAGTCTAAAAACATTAAAAAATGTCTAATATTTTGAAAATTAAAGCCAAAAAACTGTTTTTAACAACAAAAAACCTTAAAAATTGCCTTTTTTAATCAAATATCCACGTTTTTAAACAGTAAAATTAAAATATCTACGAAAATATTAATTTCCCACCATGGACAACAACACTAAAACCTTCCTAAATAAATTCCTTATTTTATCTGCTAAATAACCTCAAAAAATTTCAAAAATCTTCAAAATTAAACCCAAAAAATAGTTTTTTCAACCATAAAAAACTCCTAATATTTTATATATGAGTACTTACTAATTAATCACTCACTGTTTTTATTCTACTATTAATATTGCTATTGGTAGCACTATGAAAACACTAAACGTTATCTTTATCAACTGTTACGTTGTTGTAATTCCGCATATATTACAGATAAACTATCATTACCTTTACCAACTTCGCACATATCACACACCAACAAGTAGACATAGACATAGTTACTCCATTGTAATAATAGTTATCATGTTTATAATATCGCCATTATAAACACGATAAAAATAAATATTTCTTACCATTAGTCATTGGTGGCGACTCCATGATTGGCACGATCAACCGTTGAAATATTCCAGTAGCAGCTACACTGTATTAACAAAACATAAATATAAATAAACTTCTCATTTACAATTGATTATTTATATACATACCAAGATATTTGATTTGATTTGATTAGTTCTAGGTATTATATACGAGTACATGTAAACTAATACGTAATAAATAAAAAATGGCGAAATAAGCATGAAATTTATTTGAAAAGCGTCGAATATGCACAAATTGCCTACGTTAAGTGCCATCACGATAATACTCTGTCTGGTTGCGACTGGTTTATTGAAGCAAATAATAAAAATAACAAATGAACTCGATTAATGCGTTAATGCGTTTCAACTTGAAGTTAAAGATACGAGTGTAATATACAAGTCATCCCATGAGTGCCTCAACCCACACAACGCGTCTAATAAATGTAAAATGTGCGAATTTATATAGTATTTGACGCGTTTTTAAATAAATCGAATCATTTTCCGAATTGTTTTATTGTAAGTATTGCAACAATGGCCGATTTCGATTGTAATATAAGTGTAATAATGGAAACTCACCACGGTTGAAGATTAGTTGTTGATTTGTGGGTTCACGCTTGCGATTCAAGACCGAAAACACGTTGAGGGGTCACAAGACGCATGCTTTCGCTCGCCATATTTTCATGTGGCACGCGCAACGAGTTGTGAGCACGGCGAGCGTGAGCATGAATCCAGATCCAACGCGAACGGCGTAGAAGCACGAGGCGCACCAGAGACGCACGTTGCGCGCAAAACGTGTTCGTGCATGAGCCCCAGCTGTAAACAAAAGTTCGTATTCGGTGCGATGCGGGAGCTGTAAATGCAGGCGACGACAAAAGAAACTCAGGTTGCGGTGTTAGTAATACAAAACAACCGATAGATGGCGCACATAGTACCATAATAGAATAATATTTATTGATATTGTTTTACAATTTTAACAAATATAGAACTGTCAGTGTCCTTTGAAGTCATGAGCCTCCAGGACATGCATAAAGAGTTGTTTTTGTGTGTTTTGGGTTGCATATTATTACAAAACAAGAAAAACAACAATTTTAGCCTTACAATCGCGTTTATAAGACAAAAATTATTGTTTTCTTTGGTAAAACACACATTATACGTATTAATAACATCGTACATCAGTTTTGTAAACTTTAACACACAAAAGATAAAACATGACAATGTGATTTGCACCGGTAGTTTTAACCTTGAGTGTTAGTATTACAAATAAACCGATAGATGGCGCATAGAGTACCATAATACAATATTTATTTTTTATCATTTTACAATGTTTTTCTAAGATGTTTAACTTTTAGGAGCGGGATTGCTTGGTGCAGACGAAGCCAACCAATCGATAACTCTACAATCGTTCCACACGTACTGTCCTTTCAAGTCATGTGCCTCTAAACTAAGATAAAGAGTTGCTTTCGCACCTTCATCAATGGTCAACGGGCCTTTGTGATTGGTCATATCAGTATCAACAAAACCAGGATGAACTGAATTCACTGATATGTCTCTGTTGGGTGATTCGTTGTTGAATTCACGTTGTTGAACGCGTGTTAAAGCAGATACACCTACTTTTGACACAACGTAACTACTACTACCCCAACCGTTTTGTTCATTTTTGCCGGTTTTAGCATCACTGCAATGTAATTTTAAAGATATTTCTAAAATGACGGATGGTACACTTACCTTATGTATTGATTCATCAACTCAGACAATTCACCGACTGTCAGTGTAGGTTTAGACAATTTATCTCTTAAATCTTGTCCGGGAATTCGTGATAAATGTCCGGCTGAACTTGACACATGCAAAACACGCGCATCTTGTCTTAACAATGGAAACAAAGCATTACAAACGCGTAAAGTACCGAAATAATTCGTGCCGACGGTTTTCTCAGCTTGTACAGCCACTGGTTCAGTAGACGCATTCTAAAAATTGATATTATATTAATAATTAGAGAAAAAATTGAGAAAAACTTACAGAAAATGCAATTCCTGCATTGTTAACCAACAAATCAATTCCCCCATATTTATCTTGCAAGTATCCTTTGAATTTGTTCACACTTTCATCACTGTCAATGTCTAATTGATGAAAGTTTGGATTATAGCCTAAATCTTTAAGTTCTTTGACTGCATTTTGTCCTCTCGCATCACTCCTGGCTGTGAGGTAGACAATGCCATTGAATTTCTTGCACAAACCTTTGACTATTGCAAAACCTATGCCTTTGTTGGATCCAGTCACCTGTACATGATTAGTAATAAATTATATTGTGATATTTATGATTGTAATAAAACTTACAACTGCAATTTTAGTTGTCGATGCCATAGTGAACTATTATGAATTAAATTCTATGGTTAATTTAGTGGTATATATATACATTGACATAAATGTTATGTTAGAATTTAGTACAACCACATGGAATAATATTTATTGCTGATAAAACTGTTTGTCTTATCTGTTGTTAATCTAAAAACCTGTTTTTATAAAGTGCGGTTACATGTTATTTTTATTTAGTGTATAATTGGTTGCATATATTACAAGTGCATAAAAACAAAAAGTTATAATTGAATTAATAATTAATAATTTCAATTACATCTTGGAAACTAAACTTAACGAAAGTTTCTCTAATTGTATAATTGAATAATTGCTACATCAATTAATTCATACATTCATTCGAATGCAGTTTAATTAATAATTTAAATTCCTTCATTGATATAAAACTGAATTCCTGAAATTCTTAAACAAATTAAATTCTAATTCGCTGATTTTATCATCATGGAAGTTGAAAATAATATATACTTACAAATTCTCAACGAATTAACTCATGTTAAGTTATTCCCTGGTCGTCATACAAAAGCAACCATTCCTCTTGCATTATTTTTTAATTTAATCAGAGCTTATCAGTTTTATTGTGCGTTCAGATTGTTTATGTATGGAATGCAATTCGGTGAAGTAACAATTGTTGCTGATGCGTGTGCATCTATCGCATCGCATTGCCATGTAATAACTTATATTAATCTAAATATTTAACCTAACAAGTAATAATTTGTCATTTGGGTTGCATATATTTTTAAGGAACAAAAAGGATTGTTTTCTTTATGAAAACACGAACTCTACGCATTGTTAACAGCGTGCAATACTTCTGGAAATCAGCACACACTGAAAAAATAGACAAAGCTCTCATAAAATACATAACTATCTATCGTGGTGTGATTTACAACGGAATTGTTTTTGTAATATGGGTGCCTATAATAATACTCCGCAGATATCCTTTCCAAGCATTGTATCCTGAGCTTAAATATTCGTACGAGATTTTTGGCATGATGCAACTCACGCAATACTCTTACGATACTTTGGTGCTAACAGCAAGTGATTGTTTCTTTCTGGGTTCTGCGTTTTTGCTTTACGGACAATTTCATGCTTTAAATCATAAATTATCCAACATAGGTGGCGCTACTGCAGCACAAATGCATAAGGACATCAGAAGTTGCATACAACATCATAAACTATTATTACAGTTTGTTTAATGTTTAAAAAATTGCTAAAACTGTATAATTTGTTAATATATTTTTAGATTGACGTATGATTTGGCCAGTTTGTATAAATTTGGTTTGGCTGTTCAAGTAATGACAACAACAATTGCGATTTGTACAGAGATGTTTGTCTGGGACGAAAGGCACATTAAAATCAACAAATAAATTATATATTAATTAATACATAACCTATTTTTTAGGAATCTACCTTCAAAAATTCAATCTTCAATTTATTTAGTTTTCTTGCTGATTCAGCTGTCTTTTTATTGTTTTTCAATTGAAATGTTAACAAATGAAGTAATATTTTACTCATAATAGCTTAAACTAGAGGTTATAAGTTGTTTTTTAGGCTATGGAAACGTCAAACGCCATTTTCCACTCTCAATGGTACACTGATTTCAAATTTGCGAAGACATACGTCCAAGCAATTATTCGCAGATCACAAAAACCTATTATATTCACTGCAGGAGGTGTAATTGTTATAAACAAAGCAACATTTACATCGGTAATATATTTTTTGATATTATTTAAGGATAAAATTAGAATTTAACACTTTTTTGATTTGTTTCAGATCCTGAAAAGTACTTTTTCACTCTATACGTTTTTAAACGATGTTAGAGATGATAAATAATGGCAGTTACAAATTATAACCTCACTTAAATAGTTAGTAGCGACATCTATTGGATAAATTAGATAAATTGTGGTTTTATTTCACTTGAAGCAAATATATTTATGGTTTAATATCATTTGGCATTGTATCTGATAGCCAATCAACACGTTTACAATTATACCAAATAAAATCACCTCTATAATCATGTTCATCGTTTAATGCTAGGAACAACGCGCTCTTTGCGCCATCTTCCGGTGATTGAATTCCTCTTCCTTGTGTCATATCAGTGTTAACATAACCTGGATGCACAGAATTTATTCTTATACAACGTTGTGCACTTTCTTCGTTGAATAACTTCTGCTGAGCTACTGTAAAAGCACAAATAGCTACTTTAGATAAAACATAACCCATATTCTTCCATTGGTAGGTTGTATAATTTTCTTCTAAACTATAAAACAAAACAAAAATTAAATAAATAAAATATTATCTTGATAAATATTATAAATATTAAATATTACTTGATATAATCAGTTAAAATATGTTCCAATTCTTCAATTGTGATATTCTTAGTAAATTTATTACGTAAATCCGGGTCTGGAATAACAGAAACATGACCAGCAGCACTGGAAACGTTGATAATCTGCGCGTGTTTGTTTAACAAAGGAAATAATACATTACAAACACGTTTCGTGCCGTAGTAATTTGTTTCTAAAGTGTTGATTACTATATTTTTATGAGATTCAGTTGATTTACTCTGAAATATAATATTTTTTACTTAAAATTCTTTAAAATTAATTATTTTGAATTAGAATTAGAATTTTATTCTTACACTATATTTTATGGCAGCGTTGTTAATCAACAGGTCAATGCCACCATGTTTAATTTCAATGTCACGCGCGAGTTGATTAACACTGTCGATGTCATTGATATCTAACTGATGATAACAAGCATTGAGTCCTAAGTTATGGAGTAGTTCAATGGCATGCTGTCCGTTGGATTCATCTCTTGAGGTTAGATAAACTATTCCCGGGTAATTGTTTTGTAGTAAACCTTTTACAATTGCGAAACCTATGCCTTTATTGCTGCCAGTCACCTTGACACATTTCATTTTAGTAAAATTTATTAAATTATTTTTATTAATATTTAACAGTGTACTTACCACTGCTACTTTTTTAAATAATTTGTTGCACATGGTAAATTCACAGAGTTAAATACGTGTATGAACTTGTAGAGACTTGTAGAGATGTTGTAGAAGTGAATTATTGAGAGAATGAATATGAATATGAGTATGAGCTGGGTTTTAAAATACGAGTAAATACTGGCTGTCGCCTAGTGTTTAGGTTTTGTAAACAAATCTCAAACAAATGTACATATGTAGTAGTAATATAAAGAAACTCGTTGTTTTGTGCGAAACTGCAGTAGGGGAATGAGCAGGTGATGTTGAACTTGTTAGACGGAACGTATGATGTCGTCAGAAGCAAATTTGTATCAGTTTTCAACTGAAATTTGATTAATCATTTGAGTGAAACACTTGTTTTAAAGGAAAATCGCTATAACTTGTTTATGGCTCATAAGCAGCTACCATTTTTGTAGATTTTATAGTAATATTTTATAAAGAATGGGTGGATACATGAAAATTTAGAAAAATAATGAAAAAGATTTGAATTTTACGGAGAATTCGGAGAATTTTAAATTTTTCAAAATTTACCTTTACCTTTTCTTATAGAGAATGTTCCGTAGATTAAAAATCTTCAATCCGTTCCTTCCTATCACTTTTAGTTTACGAGATATTCGCAATCAAAATATCGAAGAAAATCAGAAAACTAGATGTCGCTACGATGTCCGTATTTCTATTAAATTCGAATCCGATTCTTTGCAGTACTTTTTATGTGTTTACAATAAAGTTGTTTGTTTTTGTAGTAAGTGACCTCGCACATCAGATTTTTGTTGGTATCAGTATTAAAAACGAATAAAACGATACATACAGCAGGTAGACGAATATTCTGCACACTGCACAATAAACATTTTTGTTAAAATGAGAAAACCAACGACGTAATGAATCAAATCTGCTAAAATTGTCTTTATCCATTCATAAAACCCTTAAAATTTAACTCTCTAAATATGTACAAGTTTATTTATGAAACAGATAAAGATTAAAGACAAAAAATTCCAAGAAAACATGTCACATTCACACATATTTCACCAAATCCCTACTAATATTATAAATGCGAAAGTCCTGATGTTTGTTACACTTTCACGCAAAAACTACTTAACCGATCATCATGAAAATATGTACACATATTCTCAGTGGTCCCCGAATGGTTATAGGCTACTTTTTATTTAATAAAACAATTATTTTTTAAATAAAATAAAGAAATTGTTTAGCCAATAATACCTCTGCATCTGGCTATTTGACTACTTTAACGCCATCTAGCATTCCAGCAATGAAGCTCAAACCTAAGTACTATAGTACCATCACACTGTATTATCACACTGTATTACCGACAGCTACGTCAACATCAAATCCAATTGACTACACTATGGAGACTGTATAATATACTTCCATAGACTATACTTTCAGCCATTTTAAACTTCCCGACATTCTACTTCATTGTTACTTCTTCTGTGACTACAGACGCATATGGAAGCAACTTCATTATTTTAGATATTTGCGAGCGAAGCCGCGGGTTAAAGCTAATACAAAATAAACTCAAGTTGACATCAGTAAAACACAACATAAACTCTATCATATATAATTTATCAATAATCATGAAAGTTCTAGGTTTTTATTTGGAAGTTTACATAAGTACTTACACTTGGAGCTGGACGTTCAATTAACGTTAAATAATAAATAATTTTCATAAGTAGTAATTAGTCGTACAAGATAATAACAAGTATCGTGTTATGTTAATAATTAAAAAATGGCCTTAGAGGAAATTGCGCTTTAACTACACATACACATAATTAATGATAATTTGCTCGATTTGCTAGAATATTAAGAATTAACTCAAAACACGCGCACACACTTCACATCCCATCCTTCCACATATTGTTTGTACGCACACATCAACACATACACAACACACAACACCAGAGTGTCGTAAGTCTTTACAGCGGCACTTTCATGTCCTTGGACTTGATGCATTTACCCTTGTAGCAGATTTCTGTCTCATGAGAAATCTCAGTTGAAGTTGAGGTCTTCAGAATACCTTTATTCCAAGTCTCCAGACTCATAGGAGTGATGTAGGTCATTGAGGTCAAAGGTGTGGTTGTTTCTACTTCAGGGACAGGTCTTTCAGTTGTTGTGGTGGTGGTAGTAGTGGTGGGGGTAGTGGGAGGAGGTTGGGTTTCAGGTTCACTTGTCTCCGGAGCAAAGGTTGATTCAGGGACGATGGTTTTACCAACTGTGGTTGTATCCACTTCATCAACATCTTCTTCTACTTGAATTTTGGTCTTTTCTTCAGGGATTCCAAACATATTATACAGGGAATCAAAGAATCCTCCTTCTGTAGTGGTTGTAACTGGTGTGGGAGTTGTCACTTCATTTTCGGGAAGTGTTGTCATCGGTAAAGTTGTGTATTCCACTTGGATGGGTTGGATCTTTGCAGGTTGTTCTTTCTCTTCAGAACTGAATAAATTTTTATTACTAGCAGCGTTCTGGGATTCAGCACCTTCAAGGACATCTGTTGGTCGTCTTACTAGTTTCCAAACACCTCGTCTTCTTTTCTGGGTGGTTGTTTCAGGGATAACTGTTGTTACACTCTCATCAAAATCTTCTTCCACTGCTATTATAGTAGGAGATGATTTTTCTGTTTGGTCTGGGTTGTTGTAGTCATCATATTCATTATTCATTTCTTCTACAATTCTGTCTACTTCTATGTTGGTTCTCATTTTTTGTTGTTCTTCCTGAATAACATGGTTTACTTCAGGTGCGGTGGCAATGGAAGGTAAAGCAAGTGGGATATCTTCACTTCCTTTCACTTCAGAGGGATAAAGTTAGGCATTTGGTAGTTTTCAACAAGATGACCATCTTTTACACCATCATCTTTACTGTTGTCCTTTGCAACATACGTAGGTCTATAAATAGACTGGAAACCCTCCTGATCATCTTGCGGGTCTACTGTAATCTGAAACGATGGTCTTGCAGTTGTATGGAAATTCTTAAACTGTGCGGGGTAGTTTCCACCTTCGACATCTTCATCCTCTGAAGATTCTGAAGCTGGACGTTTAGGTTTCTGGGGCATTCTGTAATGGGTCTTCCCGCGGGTTCTTCCCCTTTGTGTTACACTTTTGGTTTCATCATTATTAGTATTACCCCTACGGTTATCTTCACTTGCAGGTGCTGGAGTTACTCTGGTCCTGATTGGGAGACGTACACGTGGTCTCACACGTGGTTTCTCCTCCTCAACTGCTTCCTTTTGAGTGGTTTGATAGAAACGTTCTGTGGAAATACTAGGCTGACTAGCTTCGAAGTACTGAGCAGTGGTTTGATACTTGGGACGGATTTCACCAACGAATTGAACGTTCTCCGTGCTGGAGTGGTAACGTACCTGTGGTTGCACATCCTCCTCTCTGAGATGGGGTTTCAGGGTACTGCTCACATAAGTTGAAGAATACAAGGGTCTTGATGCTTCTGTAGGAGTAGGGGTTGAGGAAACCTCTGCAGGTTTCTTGAAACTAGGATCCCTGAAGAACCCATAAAACTCATCACTGCTACTATCTTTATTACTATCAGTTTCGTATTTCCTCGAGGTTTCAACCTGGGGTATAGCTGTTGTTGTGGGTCTTCTACCTCTATTCCTGGAACTAGTGTTTTCTGTATTCTCTTCTTCCAGATTCTTAATCGGAAGCTGATTAATCTGATGAATGACCACAGGTTCAGTAGCTGGTTTAGTAACCTTCCTGTTATTGATCAATACCAACTCCTGATCAGCAGGTACATTATACACAGGTCTGTAGTTAATGTATTCTGCACTCACTCTCTGAGTAACCTGTGGTTCAATAATCTGAACAGAAGGTACATGATTGCTTTGAATATGTGATGGGGTCACCTCTTGTTCATAAGCGGAACTAACCCTATCTGTTGTTTCGGGTACAGGGCGTCCTCGTGTACGGAATCTGGAACGTGCAGTTACGATTTTCTTGGTTGGGTCAGTGGTGCTTCTGACTAGAGTATTTTCAGTCGTTTGCTCAGATTCGTCTTGGTAACGAGTTCTACTTGGGAGTGGTCTACGACCTCTGGTGACAGGGGCTCTACGTGTGCTGGAAACCGGAGTGCTTGGGGTTGTGGTTGAGAATCTACTACCACGGACACGTCCACGTGTTACAACCTTCCTGGGAGTTGTTGTTTCAACATGGGGTAAATGGGTTGAAGGGTAATGAGATGATGGAGCTTGGGTTGTAGAGGAAATTGGGTCATGACTGCTAACTTCATATCGTTCCACCTCACCTGTCTTAGGGGAAGTAGGGATTAGACCAGGTTGTAGTAATTGACGTACAGATTGATCTTCAAGGTTATTGATCAAATTGGGTAATTGACCATGTGGTTGAGGAGACTGCCCAATGTTATAATTCTCAACATTGGCATTCTGGGTCTTCACCTGTTCATGTTGTTCTTCATATTCTTCAGGTTGGAATTGATAGATTTGTTGACCAGGACCAGTTACAAAGTTCCCACTGGTTTCATGAGTTAACACCTTGGAATCCAAAGCTTCTTGGTTCAATTGATGTTGGTTGATTCTGGGTTTAGGAGTGCTCACGTGATACACAGGTTGTTGGTATTCAGGTTGGATCTCCTCGCTTTGTTTGTATTTATAAATAATTGGTCTGTGAGGTTGTACCTCTTCTTCATATTCAGGAGCAACAGGTGTGTAATGCAAGGGACTAGGTGTTGTTGACCTTCCAATAGAAAACTTCTCCTGAATAGAATATTTAGGTTTTTCTGTTGTGGGTCTCACTTTGGGACGGGATTCTATTACAGTTTCCTTTAAATATTGATCTTCTGTAACAGCAGGAGCTGGGGTTGTTGTGGGACGGCTTCTGGAATGAGTGGTTCTTGTAGGGGCATCGTAAGATTCCCTGACATGAGTTTGACTTTGTGTTGGTCTTGTACGTATCCTTGTTGGGGCTTTGGTAATCTCCTCTTGGTATTGTTCCACTGCAGGAGCAGGTGTTGTCCTTGATCTGGTTGATGAATGACCATGGGTTGATCCAGTGGAGTATTGGTTTTCATCTTCTTGACTTTGAGTATACTCCTGACTCACTTGACTCAATTGTGGTCTAGTCACTTCATGTAAATACTGTTCATTCTGATTAGATACAACTGAAGAAGGACGAATATATTCTTCATGCCTAACAGGGACAGAGGAAGGTTTATGTTGTTGTTGTAGAATCTCATCAATAAATTGATCCTCTGTCAATTGTGGTTGAGGAGTAGAGCTGAACCTCACCGTTGAATGTCTCGTAGGAGTTGTTTGTGGTCTGCTAAAAGACTCAAGCTGATACTTTTCAGGGACATGTTGTATGTCTTGTTCCTGTTGTACATGTTGTCCACGCTGTGCGGTTTCTTGGAACCTGTGACTTGTTTCAGGAAGACGTAAATTTTCATTATACTGAGGAATGAATGAATTTATCTGATCAATCTCATGTTGTTTAATCACATGTTCCTCAGGTATGGGTTTACTATACCTAGGTGTAGAAGACACCACAGGAGTAGGCCTCTGTTGATATTCAAATTGTTGTTGATCTTGTAAACTAAACTGTTGATAAACCTCAGGTTGAGGTTGTGGTTGAACCTGAGATTGCGGAATCTGTTGTGGTTGTTGAATAGCAGGTTTCCTAGTCTCCTTCTCCTTAATAACAACAGAACCCACATGAGGAGAAGGAAGTGGTATCTTAGAATACCCGCAGGTGCTTTGTAACTCAAGGGAGCAACGAAGAATGGGTATTGATCAATTTTACGTTCCACTCGATTACTATCCAAACTGGATAAATATGGAAGTTCAAACTTGGTGTAACCTCTAGGTGCTTCCAAGGTTGAAGGTCCCACAAAGATCTTAGGAGAATTGGGTCCTATACTATCTTGTACATCAATAGAACTAGCATCTTTCAATAGAGCTAATACTTCATTGACATCTGAAGAAGAAGAACCACCCATGTAAACAGCTAAAGGAGGTTGATGAGCTTTCCTCTTCTTGGAAGCAGGTTTCTTTGTTGTTGTACTAGGTTCTGTTGCAACTTCAACAGGTAAAACATACTCCTGTTCAGGTTGTGGTTGTTGCTGGAACTGAAGTTGTAGTTTATGAGCTTCAAGAGCCTGTTTAGCAAAATCACTCTGAATATTCTGAAGTTGTTGTTGTTTATGAGGAACAACAGGTCTGTAATTGATAAACTGTGGAGGTATATCCGCAATAGGAGCTTGTTGGTAAGCATGTAACCTTGGATGATCCTGTTGTGGTCTATTATTAACCTGTTGTGCAGCTAGGGTCTCCAAAGGCACATACAACAACTGAACATTATCCCTTTCTTCATTTTTACCAGGGATCTCCACAGGTTGAACAGGTTTCGGTCTTTTTTCAAACCTGGAAGACGTGGCATTCAACCTTATCGGTGGCAAATCAGGAATTTCAAAATTCTGTGAAAAATACTGTTGTTGTGGCAGGGCCTGTGGTCTTTGATTCAGAAACTCCTCCGGAATGGTATGATAATCATTCGGTTGGTAATACTGCACGAATTGTGCTTGCTGCGGTGTCTGCTGAGGAATATAAAACTCTTTCTGTGGTTTCGGTGGACGTCCTTGAAGACGCCCCGCTTGGCTGGACTCAAATTTATACGGGTGCTGATGTGGAGGTGGTTGCTTCACACGCACCGGAAGATTCTGCGGCGTTAATTCCACCGGACGTTTTTGGTACGTTGTGGTTTCGCGTAAATACTGCTGGAAGTTGTTGTTCTTCGGCGGCTTGGTTTCTTCGGGAAAGAAACTGTTCGCCGGCGGGTCTGCTAAATTTAGCACTCGGCCGGTCGCTTTCTTTTCGACGTCGATGACAGGTTGCGATTGAGCGCGCTTAGGCGCGATCGGAATCCAATCGTTTTCATCATACGTTTTTGAATCAGCTTCCTGACAGCGCACAGAGCTGATGGCCAACAATGCCGCGGAGAACAGGAGGAAGTCTTTCCGCAGAATCTGCAAATTAATTAAAAAAATTATTATTTATTATTATATTGTAAATAATTGGAGCAAAAAATAAACTTTCTCTTATTTGATTTATCTCCTTGAAAATTAAACAAAAATTTAAAATTTTGTATTTTCTTTGTTTTAAACAGCATATCTCATCTTTTGTAGTGTAATATGTTGGTAACTTGCTTGAAACTCTCAAGTTATTTCGTTTTTATTACGCAATGCGATGATAATCGCTGCGTTTAACCTTTCCGACCTCCCATGCAAGTACAAACTGGAATACACTCATGGCATGCGTAAATAAAATAATAATAGAGAAAGTGTTCCACCTCCTGGCTCCAGCATCACGTAGGTATCTACATAATTTACTCTTTACCTTGAATCGTTCGTAAAAAGTTGATTTTGAAGGCCAGGTTCAACAAAAACGGTCAAAATAAAAAGTTGACGCCCTGCAGAATCATTTTTCTATCTATTAAATTAAGATTCATGGGTTTCCGTGGGTGTAATTTGAACTTTTCTGACCTTGCTTGATGTGTGTGACACAGTGCCCCCAAGGAAACAGAAATCCTATGCTAATTGCATTCTACTTTTAAATTTTTTCAACATTTTAACACAAAAATCTAAAAAAAAAGTTTTTAACTTGACAGCAATGAACTAATTATATCAATCGAACAGGATCTAGGCTTTCTGAACTCTTACGTATCACTCTGATTGAGATTGATTAACATTTCTTATATAAACCGTGCAAAAACATCCGTTAAGCTCTGATAAAGATTCAAACGTTCTATATTTTCGTGCTCATCATGCGCAAATAAAAAAATAAAATTAATCTCTTGGCATGTCAATGAATGGCTAATTAACATCGATTAATATAAACATCCTCAACACCTGGATGAAGAACAACTAGAAGAACTAGTTAATCAATTAATTAAAAAATTAAAATAAATTTTCATTCATTTGCAAGTATCACATTCCTTCCTCGGTAATACTCACAAATCATATAAGAGTATTGTATTGATAGATCCAGTTTTATATCTTTGGCGTTTTACTCCATCGACGGAAGAAAGTTAAATTAATTGCCCAATGCGTATGTTATTCTATGCTGTTTGGAGTAATGATAACAATTAAACAGGCGCAACGGGCGCGACGCGCCGAACGGAACCAAGGCGAAACCCGGCTCGTTTACCGGAGAAAGAAAAAAAGAAAGTTCCTCTTAATATAGTGGCATTAAAAGCATTAAAAAGCGGCTAATACTGTATCGGGAATGAAGCAACATGAAGCGTATGTGTGTGTAGTTTATGTGTATGTGAATGTCTTCCATAGTTCGGTGACTTTTGACGTGTGGTGCACGTGATACTCGCGCACGAAACGGAGTAAACACTCTGTCTACCTGCGTTTTGTTCTATTTTAATGGATTTTTTATTTAATATCTATAATATCATGCTGGTTGGAAGCTTCTTTCAACACCGCATAGCGATGAGTGGTTTAGTGAAGTTCAAGTTCAAACTTTCCAATTGGAATTTATTCTTTTTTATTTTTTTTTTGTAAAAATGCCTAAAAATGGTTTGAAATTAAATATTTTTGCTGAAATTGTTGGTTTATTAGATGAATTATTACATTTTAGTATGTAATTTGCATTAAGGCACTTTGTATTGTTTGTAGCGTCAATATTAAGTTAATAAATTTAAAAAATTGAGGTTTTTTAACTTTAAAATTGAAAAAATTCATTTTTTGAGTTTTCTTCCAGTAAAATCTTTTTCCATTGAAAAATTGATGTCAGTGTTGAGTTGCAGTTGAAGTGTTTTATTTATTTTAGCAATTTTTAATTTTTACAGTCTTTTTTTAATTAAAATAATCGTTAGTTTCGCGCTTAATAACAAAATAAATTAGTTTTCACCATTTTATGATTCTTTTTCTATGATTTAAATATCATACACCTTGCACAAACAAAATTTTTATCTATTTTTTATACTATTAATAAATAATTTTACTATTCTTCATTTTTTTACTAATTTTTTTAAAACTTTTTTCTTAAATTTTTGATTACAAAACAACTTGTGTAATTTTTTCGTCCAAACTTTCCCAAAACATCAACTATAACATCATTTCACAAACAAATTCCATTTAAACAAACATTAGTCACAATTGTGACTGTAACACGTCCTTAACCAGTTAAATTTGTTAAACTTTCTGTTACATTTCACCGTCGATTTGCACTTTGTAGTGAACTCCGGTTGTTATTCTTAGCAAACAGAAATACGAGTACAAAGCAAGGCCATACAAGTGTGTTGATTGTCTCGGCAATTTCCCACGAGCAGAGTTGAATCATTAGTTGTTATGGAATTAAGCAGTTAAACAATTAGTTCAGCGATTACTGTACAGTGTATTTTTGCGTACTTTTTTTTTATTATGCAACACTAAGTAAACTAAAGCAAAGTGGAATTAATGCAACTGTAAATGTAAAAAGTTGCTTTCGTAAGATAATTATCTGCAGATTAATGCAAAAAATCTCAGAAATGTAACGGAGTTTATTAAAATGTTACTCATAACGGTGAGGTACAACAAATTAGCAAATTTTCTTTTACTTAACAATTTGCAATATTAACTAAGACAGCAATATATCAAGATGTGAAAGTTTATGAAGAGCAATAATTTCATGCTTCATTTAGTATTTTATTCGTTTTAATTCAATTCTGTCATAGAAAATATTAAGACGTAAATATAAACATTAAGTTTATTATTGATTCAAAAGAAAATGTTATGAAATGTTTCACGGAGTGAAAGTGGAAATAATTTTTTTCTTCAACTTTTAAAGTTGAAAATTCTAAATATGTTAATCGTGTTAATGGTTATAATGCTCGAAATGATTCCAAGCGCGATGATCTGTTTTGTTTCGAGTATTCAAGCATTCGAGCGATGTTTTAATTTGCATTAATTGCCGCTAATCGGATCCGCTGCGCAGAACACTTTCAAAACTATTAGACTACTTCAACTTCCTCTTCACGCCTTACATCTCACATAACCTCACTTGTAAACTAACCTAAAAATTCTTTTTCACAATTTTTATTATTAAAATGTTAAAATTTAGTCATTAATCATTCATTTATTAGTCATACAGAATATTTGCTTGTCGCAATAGTTAACGAGTGTTTAAACAACAATAGAAATAGATATAGCCACATAATGCATATTCATATGCATTGTTTTTCGAGTACAAATACAAAGTTAAGAAAACATCGTGTGCGGCGTGTCGATATTAGTCGCACTTACTCACATTCCAATGCGCATTCAATTGCGAAGAAAACGCGAGATTTCATCGCGTGGATAATTTTTAATTCCACACAGGAGACAATACGAGGTGTGTCACTCTAGGCGTGATTGTCTACGAAAAGCGCACGAATTGCGTCAAACTCTCTTAATGTGAATGTCGTGCGTGGTTTAATAATAAGCGTCATTTACATATCAATAAGTTTCATAATAATAAATTTAAAATTATTTATAATTACAGAAAAGAAATAAATATTAATTTTTCTCTTATTTCAGAATAAAATTTGACCTTGAAAGCTGAAGAATTGTTTGAATTAAACTCAAGAAAAGTTTTTTATTGATTTTTTTATTAAAATTTTTATTGTATTGAATGTAATGATCACTGACTGGTGGAATAATAACAATAATTGGAGAGGCCTTCACAAGAATGCAATTCTGCACGGATCATATTGTCATTAGAAAGTATATTAATAATAATTCTGGTAGCGACCGCATGTTGTTTGATTTTCCTGCGTTTCTTGCATTTAGCAGGCAATATTTGCGTTTAATGAATTTAATAATATGTAATTATTCACGTACAAACTGCAATCAATTGTATAACATCTTCATATAAAAAATAAATTTATTACTTCATTGCCTAAACGCGAATTGAATGTTTAAAACGTTTTTTTAAGTCATTTATTGGCAAATTTTGTCCTAGTTTACTTATACTTAAACTTTGAGCTAATTGCGCGATGTCATGTCAGAGAAAAAGAAAACAAGTTGATTCACGCATACAAATGACGCTGTTATTTAACAACAAATGCACGAAATCATTACTTAGTATTCTCTTTACTTTTTTGTTAAATTCCAAGCCCCAGACCGGAGTTTACCTACTTTTATTCTTGACATGCGAAACAAAATGCCAAAAGTTCAGCTTATATACAACTTGTTTATTCAATAATAATTAATAATTATTACTTACCATATTAATATGAATTGTGTCTAACTAATTATTCCTTCTGACAAGTGAATGTCCCCGGCTCAGAAGAGAGTTGCGTTGCGCAGAGTGCAGGGCAAGAATCCGCAATTAAAGTTCAAAGATTTCAAAACACACTTTCAAACAGTCACTGATACATGGCGCACTGAAAAACTCCTAGCGAGGTGAATGCTGCGCACGGCTGAGACGACTTCTTGGACGGCGAGAATGAACTGCTAGGAGGCCATGTCCGCTCCTCGGCGACGCTGGCTGCTGAATGAGCACCGAGCGGCGTAGACTTGACAAAGGAAAGTCTTGGTGCGGCCGGCGATTGCCTTCCTTAAATTGCGCCAAAAGGTGCAAGCGAGATGCTTGCCAGCTGGAGAGCGGGAGGAATATTAAGCTAAGACGTGAAGAATTTACTTGAATATACCTAGGTTCTATGTTTTCTAGTTTTGGGTTTAGTCAAAAGGTACAAATTAAATATTATGAGTGCAACAGGTGTTTGAGGTGTTTTAGGGATGGGTTTATAAGGGTTTGAACTTATTTTATTGTAGCTTAAGGTATTTTTATTGTTTAAAATTTTAATTTTGTTGTAAAACTCTAGTAAAATGTACGGAAATTAATATTTTAACATTTTTTGAAGAATTTGTTTGTTTTCTTGGTTAAATATTTATTTTTTTTTGGAAATTTTGATTTTGACGTCATTTTTGAGTTTTTCAGTTTAATTAATCTTCTACATATCTAATTATTTTCTATATTTTGTAGTTAATATTTATTTATCAACATTTTTTTAAATTTTCTCTTAATAAAAATATCGAAAAACGTAATCCCAACTAACACTATAAATGCGAAAGTCCTGATGTTTGTTACACTTTCAAGGAAAAAATACTTAACCGATCATCATGAAAATTTGTACACATATTCTTAGTGGTCCCCGAATGGTTATAGGCTACTTTTTATTTAATAAAAAAAATTATTTTTAAAATAAAATAAAGAAATAGTTTAGCCAATAATACCTCTGCATCTGGCTATTTGACTACTTTAACGCCATCTAGCATTCCAGCAATGAAGCTCAAACCTAAGTACTATAGTACCATCACACTGTATTATCACACGGTATTACCGACAGCTACGTCAACATCAAATCCAATTGACTACACTATGGAGACTGTACACTATACTTCCATAGAAGAGTACTTTCAGACATTCTACTTCATTGTTACTTCTTCTGTGACTACAAACGCGTTCGGAAGCAACTTCATTATTTTAGATATTCGCGAGCGAAGCCGCGGGTTAAATTTTATTGCAATTCTTACTTAAATTTAAATTTTTATGTCTAAACTAAGAATAAATTAATTTATTATAATTACTATGGCACTATTTAACGTCATACGAGCACGTTAACTTTCTGTGACCAAGAAAGTTTTAAGTTCTTGTAAATTAATTTTTAAAAATCGAACATTTGGTAAGCGTGTATGAGTATTGCATGCAGGTAAACACCTGTGCGGAATATGCGAGAAAAAATTAATAAACATATTAAAGATGCCATATTGCATATCAAAGCTTTAAATTTACCTTAAAAATACGTACACTTCGTACATGGTTACAAAAAAAAAAGGAAAAATAAAAAGAAATTTAATTCAAGATTGATTATTAACTGCTATTGACGTGCAAGTTCAGCAGGAAAGCGAACAGTGGAAGTAGTTTAATCAGGAATGTCTGATTTTTATTGTTAATTAAATTTACTCGTTAAATATAAGGTAATTGGTGATTAAAAAGCAAAATATTTGGAGATACCGGGGATCGAACCCGGGGCCTTTCACATGCAAAGCGAACGCTCTACCACTGAGCTATATCCCCTGTGTGTGCTTACCTGATAACAAATAATTGTGCAACACCTGAGTGTTACCTGATACTACCTGTGTATACAATGTGTTTGAGATTAGATATACTCGTACTAACATAATATAATACAAATGTAAAGTGAATGTTATTTTTTAAATTTAGTGAATACTTGATAACTGTTGTGTTATCGACGGTGTTATTTACATACAGGTAATACAGGTAATACGTATTTACAACTACGTGTTTTTCACCTTACCCGTGCAGCAGGTGCGATGGTGGTGTAATGGTCAGCATAGTTGCCTTCCAAGCAGTTGATCCGGGTTCGATTCCCGGCCATCGCAATTGTTTTTGATTTCCTTACATTTCTTCCAATAAAATTTTATAAATTTTTCTTAAAATAATAAATTTACTATTTTTTCTTAATAAAAATGGTATTACACACTAATGTTTACAATTTTTCTTAGTTTTCACGTTTACAATTATATTTTTTGATGTAAATTATGCAAAATTATCAATTTTTTCTTTTTCCAATTTTTTTTTTCAATAAAACGTAACAAATGTTATTAAAATCATATTTTTACAACATTTTATACCTAAAAACTGCATTACACACTAATATTCACCAATTTTGTTAATTTTTATGCTTAAAATTGCAATTTTTGGAGCAAATTTTGTTAAATAACCAAAATTCTCAAAACATTTGCGATGGCCGGGAATCGAACCCGGATCAACTGCTTGGAAGGCAACTATGCTGACCATTACACCACCATCGCACATATTTATTAAAAAATAACAAAATAGGACGAGTAGGGACCTCACAATCAACTAATACATCTATTAAAACAAAAAATAAAAATTTTACACAATTTTACACTACTTAACAACTTATAACACTACTTTGGCCTTGACTGAGTTATTTTATTTTATCCATACACAATTTTCAATTTACATAAATATCGTTCCAAGCAAATCCGCCTATAATTTTCAAATTGAATACTTATTTCATATCTCATGATTCCTAATGCAAATACACGCATTACAATATCGAAAAGTTGTCATAAAGTAGATCCGACCGAAGAAAGTTATGTCTCTCCGCTAGAAAGTTTACTAAACAAGCTCGACACTCGAAAAAACTTATTTGCAAATATAATTTAATTTAAATTTACTCAAATTACATTGAAATAATGAAATAAAATTACGCACAACTGCCAACGTGCAGTATTTTACTCTTTACACGACGAGTGCACAACGAAAGAAATTTAGATGTGAATAGCGTATATGACATGAAATATAAACTCGTAAAATTATTATTAACCGCACATTGTGGCTGTTTTATAATTTTAAATTATGATTCTACAACGATCATAATTTAACCGCATTTTCGGAGTTGGAGTTGAAGTTGGAGAAACAGTTTTTATAGAGCGTGCAATTTAATGAAATTAGTGAAAACTTTTACCGCCTCAAAATAAGAAGAAGTAAATTAATAAAATAAAAAAATTAAATTGTTCGTACGTGCACTCATAATACACCACTAAACAAATGAGATATTTGTTGTATGATACTCGTAATTTACGTGTAAATGCGTATGAGATGTACACGTGAACGTATTACGCAAACACATATTCGTATTGAATGTCCCACAAGAACCGCAGAAGAGGAAGAACAACAGTTAGGATGAAAATGAAACTGAGAATGACTTTTGGTTTCGATCATGCATGATGTCCGACTGTCCATTGATCCACATTGTAATGAATACATGCAGTGATATAATATAGTCAGTTATTTTAATGAGGTGCTTTCATGGAGGAGAAGAAAATAAATAAACAATCGTTATTTGTGTTGTGTTCAAATATAAAACGCATATAAATTTTATTTCAGCAAATAATATTGGTATTTTGAATATGTTTAGAATATGTTTATGATGTAATATTTGATGTAATATGATATTTATGCGTGTTTATTTATATTTTAGGGTTGCATATGTGCGTTGGTGGTGTAATGGTCAGCATAGTTGCCTTCCAAGCAGTTGATCCGGGTTCGATTCCCGGCCATCGCAAATGTTTTGAGAATTTTGGTTATTTTACTAAATTTGCTCCAAAAATTGCAATTTTAAGCATAAAAATTAACAAAATTGGTGAATATATATGTAGCCATAAGTTTATATACCATATTGCAATATGTATATATATTTTTTATGTATTTGATTTGTTATGTAAATAAAGAGTTTGTTAATCTAAAAAAAAAATCTAAAATTCCAAGCAGTTGATCCGGGTTCGATTCCCGGCCATCGCAGCTTCTTTTGATTTTCTTGTTTTATAAACAACTTAACTTTAATTTATTTGAATTCCTAATAAGATTTTATATTTTTTGTGATTTTTGTATGTTAAATTTTACAAATTATTTTTTGAACATACTGTATATCATTGTAGTAATTATTTTAACGTAAAAATATGCGTTTTCACAGGGGATATAGCTCAGTGGTAGAGCGTTCGCTTTGCATGTGAAAGGCCCTGGGTTCGATCCCCAGTATCTCCAAATTTTGGTTTTGTAATGCCTGAAATTAATATTTTACTCATCTTTTCTTCTTCCTCACAAAGTATAACTCCTAGTATCATTGGTACTGCATTAAAACTTACTGGAACCTTTTCTGTTGCCGTCAGCGAATAATTTTGAAAATAATTCTTTGTACATATTGTATATACAGGTACCCAGTAATCAAGCATGTTTTTCCTGGTTTCCACAGGGGATATAGCTCAGTGGTAGAGCGTTCGCTTTGCATGTGAAAGGCCCCGGGTTCGATCCCCGGTATCTCCAAATGTTTTGCCCTTTAAGACTTACTTGCACCTATATCACTTCCGGTTTTATTTTATAATCAATTATCTGCTGATTTATTTATTTATTTATTTATTGATTTATGATTACACAATTTATACTTATTGGTATTTATATCAAGTGTTATCCTATGACCAACTGATTGATTCGTTCCTCTTAGCTTCACGATTGAATAACCATTTTGATGCAACAGCGATGTTTGTGTTTCACGTCGAATTGCAAATTATAGCATTCCCTTCACTCGCCAACACTCCACGGCGCAGAACTAACTGACAGAATGACCAGCTGAGAAGCTAAGTGAAAACTCCAGAGTGACCAATCACCATTGCTGACAATTTTATGCGCTTCTGTTTTTGCGATGCGCCGAAACTAGCTCAGATTGCACATTTCATTTCATTACAATAATTACATCTTCAAGAAATTGTTCTAAATATTGTAAAGAGAATAAAAATTCATATTATACTTTAATAAAACATATTATTAACGAGTTATAGCATTATCTTAGGTATTTGTATGTTTGTTTCTCCTTAACGCAAAAACTATTGAACCAATTTTGATAAAACTTTACAATTTTATAGTTTGTTTAATAAATTAAGAGATAGACTACTTTTTGTTGCATAAATGTAGCTAGAAGTGTGAAAAATTAGGGTTGAAAGTTAATATAGACGGTAAATGCAAATTTAACCTATATACTTCGAATGGAAATGGCCCAAACAAACATTTTAAGCATTTTTCATTGTTTTAAATAAAAATCAACAAAATTTTACATAATAAGCCAAAACAACATGAAAATAATTAATTAAACTACTTTTTATTAAATTTTAAAAATCAATATAAATATAGCTCAATGATTTACGATAAGATAAATTACTAGAAGCAGCTTTCTCACATTCCCAACATTTATCCTAATATTAGATGACTGCTACACTAAACATACAAATATATTACATAAAAAATCTTAATCTGTCACTGATTCAATCGTCATTACGTGATTAATCGGATGAACATACAAATATTCATGCAAATCCCAATCAGCATAGCAAAGATGCCTGCGCCTCATTATGAAAGCTCAAGAGAATTTAAGTGGTTTACATTTGCCCTGATTTTCGGATGTTTTTTCGATGCCATTAACATCGCCGTTATTGGATAATGCGCGATTCGTCGATTTATGCGATTTGCTACAATTACGTATAAATCGAAGCAAAACAGCCATTATGCAGTCACAGTGCGCTGATCTCCTTTCCGCTGCGGCTTCGCAATTTCTATAAAATGTAACACACACATACACCGACACGAAAACAGCAAGCTTGCAGCTACAACTCGCACACAGCAACTAATTGTGAACGCTAGTGCCGCTAGTTATCCGCGTCAGTTTTACCTGCGAGCTGAAGTAGGTGGATTCAATTACGCAATTGCGCAAAAATGCATCTGCGATACGATCGATATTAAAATATGCGATAATTAATCTAAAGCATAACGGTTTTAGCTTATATAATCAACTTATAGTCATTATTTAATTACAGGCTCATCCGGGTTAAGAACTGTGAGCAACTTACTTAGTTTATGTTAAATTTTCTGTGTAACAACGAAATATATTTTTATTTCAAGAAATTATGAACTAGAATATTTTTTTAAAGACATGACATGTAACTGCAAAAGCAGTTACAAGAAAATCATTTAAACATAACACAAGTGAATACAATTGAGCGACGCGGAATTCATATTTAGACTTCAGGAAATATTTACCGGCATTTTTACAAGAGTAATTGAGTTTATAAGCAGCGCAACAAAGATTAAACAGATGCCAATCCGTGTAAAATCTTAATATTTAGTTATATTTTTGCTTCTCGGTGAAATATCACTTTTGAAACCTTGCTATAAAGAGGCTACACTGCATTTTGCAGTAATTCTGGTAGTAAAACTTGTTAAAAGTGTTTTTACCTACGAGAAATCAATGAAAAAAATAAATTTGCATTATTTCTTCAGGAGTAACAGTAAGTTTTGTAAAAAAGTGAAATTTAGAAAAGAAAACATTATTTTTTGCGTATTTTATGCATTTACTAGTCATAATTCATTTAAAACCTACTAGAAATGCGAAAATTCATTAAAAATAGATAAAATTACAAAAATACATAAATATTTAGTTATAGACACATTAAACCAATGTCTAATCACGATTTAAACAAGTAATAACGTCTAAAAACGCAAAAATCTTAATATTTTGCAAAATTTTAAACAAAATCAATCATTATCAGTTTCTTACCGCAAAAATATTGAAATATTATGTTAAAATTTAAATTTTTTGTTTTTCGATTAAACATCACCTCTATACAACCTGCTAAAACGTAATAAAATACTCCGTGGACTTTGATTCGAAGTCAAGAGTATCCGCCCGGTCTGAAACTAGATGATACACTTGAAAGAGAAAGTGTGCACTCTCGCATCCGACGATTTTCCTTCTGCGTGCGCCTCCGCCTTTGAATTCACACATCCACTTGTTCTGGTTTCTGCATACCGATGCGGAGCCACCATCGCCCATCGCCGCTACCATTACCATGATTAGAATGTACCAGGAACTCTGTGAGACTAATGCGTTGCGTTGACGATGATTTACAAAGTGAACAAATTCGTTTTTGTGCGTAAATTACGCCGTTGTGTGTTTTATGAACAACAACAAATGACGTACGGCGGCGAAAAGAAATTCATCGAGAAAGAAATTGCCAATTGGCAATTGCCATCATCGTGAAAGTCGTATCGACGCTGTAATTGCCAGTGATGTTATATTATTTGTTTTGTTTATGTGTGTTTAGTTTATATATTTAATATTGAAAAGGAATCTTGTTGTTGGTAAAATGTGTGCATTGTTCCACTTTACGTAATTGCTGAGGATGCGATGCGACTGATGCGACGCATTATCATTACGTATTGGAATTTATGGGAATTAATGTCAAGTACAGCGTGGAAAAATGCAAAAAACGAGCGCGTAATTGGAAATCGAATTATAACTTTTCCTAACACAAACACAAATACAAACAAAAGTGATATTGGCATACTTTTGTGAATTGATTTCTCATTTTTGCAATTTTGCGTTTTATTTCAAATTAAATTGAGAATTCATACGGAAATTGAATGATTCCAACCTTGACTTTCACATTTAATCATTTTAACAATAATTTTTTGTTTTGGAATTATCTGCACACGAAAATACTCTTCAAGGACGTTTTCTTAATTTCGATCTTCTAATTTACTCTTAAACATCAAGCTTCTTCCAGAGATGACAAGATTTGTACTGCTTTTTCGTTCTAGGATAAGTGTTCGACGATTAGCTGTGCATTTCATGCCTTTTTTACATTTTCCGCATTCTATAATATAAAAAAATAATGTTTTGTAAGTTTTTCGTTTGAATTCTTACCACCACAATGAATATCAAAGTATTCCCATTGTTTAATATTCATTTTAGGGAATGTATCGACCGCGTTTCCCATTTTGATGATTATCTAAGAAATATGTTTGTGTTACGAATAATTTCTGCAGCTAATGTCACTTTAATCGATCGTCAATCAAAATGTGTCATGGTAACCTATTTGAGTTAACAATACTCAACTTATGAGTATAATAATCATATTAAAAGTATTATATTCTTCAATGTTAAATGTATTTTAATTCTTCAGAAATTTGAACAATTTAATACAATTTTTCTACTTCCATCTTCAAAGCACCACTTTTTCTATGGTTTTAAGACACAATAAGTGGTAATTTAATCACGGATGGTCAAGGCGGTGATTAAAGTACTTTAGTAACGGGATTCAGCTTGCGCCTGCGCGTATGTGATTTTTAGTACGTGCGCGAACTCCCATGTATTTATAATCTTACATTTCCCAGTAGTGTGCAAACAAATTTCAAAATGTTAATATAAAAAGGTTCATAACACAAGCATCACGTCGATGAACGTGATTAAAATACCACTTAGCGCACTTGTTATTAAATATTCTATTAATACATAGACAGCAATTTATTAAAATCAAGATAGGTACATTTGATGTAATTAGACAATGTGCTTCACGTTACTTTATCAATTCGATGATTTGTGGCACCGAATTGAGTTTACATTTACAATAACATTTCTTTGGTTGCAGGCGAGGTCTTCGCAAGCCTCGAAATAGCAATTTTGTGCCTGGAATCGAGTGCGATAACACATGAGGCGGCTTTTTGCAAGAATCCATGTAAATGTGCCATTGGCTCACTTGAGTGCTAGTAGTCTTCGTGATGATCTCAGAGGGCACATGTATATTACATGTACAGTTTAGTTTCGATCCATTGTGACCCATTAATTAGAATTTTCTTGATTCGAAATTTTACGAAATAATTTTGACTTTTGAAGTAAATTAGATTAAATAATGTGTCAATTTTGACATAATCCTACAGGTACCTGACATTAGCGCCATCTAGAATCGAAACTATAAGTATTATTTAATTACAACACTAACTTTCATCTCCTATTTACTACTCTTTAAATAATAATTTTTAATATTTTATTAATTATTCTTTTATTCCAGGCTCAGATAAATACAAAAATTTATAAATCATCAAAATCTGTCCATTCGTTCCTGAGTTATAAATGTTGTAACTAACACAATTTGTTTTATATATAAAACTAGCTGTTGCCCGCGACTTCGTTTCGGCAGTGTTTAATACAAATGTAATTCGTTTTTACTCTCTTGTTCTAGACATACTCGTAGTAAGAGTCAATTCTATCAATAAGATTAGCAATTTTAATTTAAAGAAATTAATTATATAAAGTTTTGTCAATAATGCACTTCAGCGCGCCATCTCGAATTCAACTATTTAACTATAACTATGATTGAATCTCAATGTCAAATTTTATTCTATAGAAAAGAGCTGTTTTGAGGATTTTCCCGGCAATTATTCGAATTTTTCTCACCTTTTTGAACCTTCCCTAGACCTCCACGAATAATTCAAGACCAAGATAAGATAAATCCGTTCAGCCGTTCTCGAGTTTTAGCGAGACTAACGAACAGCAATTCATTTATATATATATATATATAGATTAAGTGATTTTCTGCATGATGACTGTATGTTTATAATCTGATTGTATTCTTAACATTTAAAAATTCAAATCTACTACGTTCTTGAGTACAAATAACAACATCAAAATCTAATCTAGTGCATTCTCGCGCGCGTGCAATTACCGGTTGGCGCGAGTCAAGGAAAGCAACTTTTATTGTTAACAAATAATTTCGAGCTTACGAAATCGGAAACTGCTAAACACACACACAAACACAAACACATTTATTGTCTATCAGATTGCAAGAAACAAAAACCCACCCACTCAACTCTATAATATTAAATATTTTAATATCAAAATTTGACAATGACCTCATCAAAACGTTACCTTTAACCATAATCTCATATGATACATTTTGGGTGGCGTACGTGATGATTTATGACGAGATAATTTCAAAGCGGCGACGGTGAAACAGATCCGAGAGATCAAAGTGGCTCGGCGTTTACAAATTTTAAGCGATCGCAAAGTGCCAGCGCCAAGGAGAGTGAACGTTTTCAGCCGGACGATCCGGAGAAACCGTTCTGTTCTGATTTTGTACTTTCACTGTTTCACTGTTTCTACCAGCGGATACCACATGAGGCAACGCATATTATTAATGACACTCTGCACGCGTCGATGAAGGTCATTTCCAATCAACTTTGTTTTAACATTTCAAGACATTAACGGATAGAAACTGACTTTGCGAGTTGTAGCCGTAGATAAATATTAACACATGCAAAAATCAACATGGCGGAAGGTAATCATGAACTTGATCATGAATAAGAGTCAAGTTCAATAAATTATTGGAATATTTATTAATTTATTGGTTTTTAACAAAAAAGAAAATAAAATAAATAAAAATTAAAGATATACATACATAAATGGAATCCTAACCATGACCAGAAACTACGTAAATCAACTTCAACTAACTGGAACGCTTTGAAAAAGTTTTGCGGCGCTTGGTGCAATATCAAATGCGGTTGAGTTTACCATACTACCCACAAGTGAAAACAATCTTGATGTGTCCTCATCTGTGTCTGCATGTGCATTCAATTTCAATAACACTAAACACAACTTTCAAGATAACTACTAACTACTACAACCTGACTAATATTGTAATTTTGTATGTTTGTGTCGCTACTACGTTAAAACCACTCAAGCAATTTTGATAAATTTTGGTTTGATGATATTCTGGACCTTGGAGAATAACTTAGGCTACATTTTGTTGCTAAAATATAACTTGAAGGGTGTGAAAAATAGTTTTGAAGTTTTTACAACGAAAAAGATAAATGACGCTGACACATGCGGATAAAAATGCTATTGAAGATGATCGCCGGTATTTATGTATAGAATATTGCACATCTATATATAAAAAATGAATTGCTGTTCGTTAGTCTCGCTAAAACTCGAGAACGACTGAACGGATTTATCTTATCTTGGTCATGAATTATTCGTGGAGGTCTAGGGAAGGTTTAAAAGGTGAGAAAAATTCGAATAATTGCCGGGAAAATCCTCAAAACAGCTCTTTTCAATAGAATAAAATTTGACATTGAGATTCAATCATAGTTATAGTTAAATAGTTGAATTCGAGATAGCGCGCTGCAGTGCATTATTGACAAAACTTTATATGCATAATTTCTTTAAATTAAAATTGCTAATCTTATTGATATAATTGACTCTTACTACGAGTATGTCTAGAACAAGAGAGTAAAAACGAATTACATTTTTATTAAGCACTGCCAGAACGAAGTCGCGGGCAACAGCTAGTATATAATAAAGAAAACCATGCTTCTTCCAGGATCAAGTATTTGTAGCCTTTTCACGTGGGTAAAATGCACAAAATCCGCAAATCTGGAAGTTTTTATGTTTTTGTAAAATTATTTCATTTGAAATGATTCTGCGCACATTTCCGAATGAATTCCTCTTCATATTGTTAATTTAATGATTCGCGTTGAATGAATTAAGTGAGAGGCCAGTCGGTGGGCACTCACTTATAGTGTTATAGCAGTTGTACGCTGTAAGCTGTAAGGCGTAGTAGAGAGTACGAAGTGTGTCAACGAACACAAAATTTTAACTTTCCCCGATGCGATGCGGCCGATGCGAGCGAGATGAAGCTCACCTGCTTCGGAAGTTCGGAATTCAGTGTTTTTCGAACCACACCCTGCGATTCGCTCAGGTTCATGTCGTTTTTTCGTAGTCACCGGATCATTTCGATCGCCTCCGGCGTCGAGCGCCGAGATGATTTCTTCGCGTGACGGTGTTGTTGACTAAAATCGCTCGCGAACAGGTTCAAAATATTAGATAGTTCTAGTCTGATACTTTTCAATTTAAATTTCAATAACAACGTAGGTAGATTAATTAAATTTAAGATGTTTTTTTGAGAGTGATAATCAAAACACTGGAAAAGTGTTGATTTTTCTTAAAATTTTACTAAATATTAAGATTTTTGTCTTTTTTCTTGATTTTTTCTATGAAGTTTTATATTTCTGGAAGGATTTAAATGAATTTTAACAAGAAAATGCATAAAATACTTTTAAAAATATTTTTTTCTTTACTAAATTTCTGTTTTTGTACAAAATCTACAGAATTTTATGAAGAAATGATGCAAATTTGATTTTTTTATTGATTTCTCGTAAGTAAAAACTCTTTTAACAAGTTTTACTGCCAGAATTACTGAAAAATGCAATGTAGACTCTTTATAGCAAGGTTTAAAAAGATGACAGTTCATCGAGGAACAAAAATAATATATGGATTGGCATCTGTTTAATCTTTATAAGGTGATTATAAACTCAATAACTTTTGTAAAAATGCCAGTAAATATTTCCTGAAGTCTAAATATGAATTCCGCGTCGCTCAGTTGTATTCACTTCTGTTATGTTTAAATGATTTTGTAGTAACTGCTTGTGCACCCCAACAAATTAGCTGAAAATCGTGCTTAAGTTATAAAAATTTGCATTGCAATTTGTAGGGATGTTGGGATCATAATTACAACAATATTTCAAATGTTACCATGGATGTCATGTCTTTGAAAAAATATTCCAGCTCATAATTGCTTGGAATTAAAATATTTTTCATTGTTAGACAAATGAATTAATATAAACTCTTCAAATTGTACAAATTTCGTCGTTTTAAAGAGTTTGTTATTGTTAAAATCGGCATTTTATATTGTAAGGTGACCCATGGCTGCAATATCACAACTATCACAACCTGTTTTGTCAATTGCAACAGTTAAAAACACTATGAGAATATACCTGCGTTCAGTGCAATAAAGTAATTCGCTGTGCGTGTTTGTATTTTGATTGTGTATTAAATTAATTGTTTTCCACTGCTGTTACAATGTAATGTAAGTACTATTTTCGATATTTGATTATTTTCATTAGATGGTGACGTGCTGTATTGCTTTTATGTTAACTTTTGTATCATTACATAGAGGAACAAAAAAAAATAACAAAATATTGAGATTTAACGTGGATTTGCATCTGTTTAATCTTTGTAAGCTGGCTTTGTAAACTCAATTACTCTTGTAAAAATGCCGGTAAATATTTCCTGTGGTCTAAATATGAATTCCGCGTCGCTCAGTTGTATTCACTTGTGTTATGTTTAAATGATTTTGTAGTAACTGCTTGTGCACCCCAACAAATTTTACCTTAATAATCAAGTAAATAACATATAAACATCAAAAACAAGCAAAAATATAACATAGTTAAATTGAAAATCTAGGATGAAATTTTAATTCATACGAAAAAATGAGCAAATGGGAGTCAGTTATACAATCATCCACGTACGGTGCCCTGAACACGAGTCACTTCTACCGCTGCTTTTGTACGGTGCCCTGAATGGGAGTCACTTTCACCGCCACCCTGCTGCGGTACACCGAATGAGACTCAACTATACAATTGCAATTAATTGCAATATAACTAAATTGAACATTTTTTATTTTATTAGAACATTGTTTAAAACATTAAATATAATGCATAAAATCCGCATTCCCAATAATAAAAAACCAAACGAAATGGAAAATAGCATTCCACATTCGTGCAATGCGCAAAGTGAAAATTCGTAATTACGTTCGGCATGCGCTCCAAATAATATCTATGCAATTATCACAAATCAGCAATCAGTTCACTGGGCTACGAGTGCCCACAAACAAACTATAGGAAATACATACCCATCCACACAACTATGAATAACGTCCCGATGCGTAACATGCCTATTCATCGAATAATAAATTTTTTTTCTTTTCATTAAAAAAAACGAAACGTTTACAAATCGTCTATTAGCGTAAACATCGCAACTCAATCCTCAATTCGCATAAATTTGCCGAAATAATCATCATTAGAACAATTCACTTCGCTTGCCTGCGCGTGTGCCTCTCCTACATTGATTGACTATTACATTGTTTGCGTTGTTGTTATTATTAACAAAATATCTAGACCACGACAGCAAATGTTTTGTGCTTTTTGCAATTAGTAGACGCGCGCTAGACGACCAGACAACGCTTGAAAATATATGGAACGATAAGTTTCAGTCAGTCGGAGAACACTGCCGGTGACCTAGTGTTAAACGGCAATAAGGACAAATCGAAAGTATCAGCCACCAGCCAACTCGATTTCTCGATTGCAACTCTTCAAAACGCTAAAAAGAGATTTTTTTCTAATTACTGATTCGTCATATCCACGTAGTCGAACACAAATAATGACGACTTTTACGCGGCAGGAATTGGTTTCCGGTCAATTTGATTCAATTCGTAGTTATGCCTGCAACAAAAGTCAAGATTTCTTCAACATTATGATATAATATTTTGATTTGTGTGCATCAAGTGAACAGAAAGACGTTCAATAACTGAATGCTTACTGATCGATGACAATGAATTATTGAATAAGCGCGTTCGGCGTTCACTTTATGCGGAGCAGAAGGCTTGACAAATCGTAATCACTGATAAATTAAGGAAGTGAAAAACTTTGCGAACGTTACACTTCTATGCTTTTTCCTGGTGCACATGTAATACTGTTATAGTTTATTATAACATATGGTTTTGTTGAGTTTATTGTGATCAAAGTTTATTGACGTTCTAATTATGATCTTTTCTTAAGTGAAAATTAATTATTATTGCGTTGTTTTTTATTTTTAGTCGTGAAGAGGAAAAAAAAACGTAATTTTATTTAAAAAAACGTTAAAATCGGGTAAAAAATAGAATCAAAATTTAAGATTACTTAAGGGTATTCATAAATAAACAAAAGGAGTTATGTTAAACACAGAGAATAAGTTAATAGCTTTTGATTAAGCTAAGAATCATTGCAATCGGCCTTTAAAAACCCAAGAAAAAAGTAAAAAAAGTTTCATATTGCGACAAAAATATATAACTGCAACCCAATATACATCTATACATCATCTGCTTTAACCTAACCAATTTTAAACGAAAAACATTTAAAAAAAAGCAAAGAAAAACAAAGTTTTCGTATATTTTTAAAGAAAATATTCATTTTATTGTATTTCTTGATATAAATAAACAAAATTTTTACATATAATACGATTCTATGACTTATTATAAACAAAATATGATTTTTACCAAGTAAAATAAGCAATAAATATGTATTAATTTCGAATTTGACGTACAATTTCCCATTTGCTCTATTTGTGATTGAGAATAATGCAGGCCTAAACAAAGTTTTATAACGCTCTGAATAATTCCTTATTTTAATTGTAAATATTAAACTAACATCGCTACATATATCCGCAAACACCTTTTGCCACGACGAGCATAACGCACGCAATTCTCATTAGTTTACTACATTTTACTTACTACTTTAATTACTAATTGGAATCCATTACAATACATTTCGGCCTTTTACGTTGGCAGATTAATAATCTATTTATTTAATAATATAATTAATTAATTTCCGCCTATAATACCTGTTATTATTGGGAATTAGTTTATAAAAGTGTGTTTTGATGATTAATTAATTCTCATCTTCGAGTAATACTTACCAATATGTTAATCTTAAATTCGAAACTGTTTTAATATATGTATTCGGTTTTTATATCCGGTTTCACTGCTTTTTATCTGCAATGTGAAGCGTAAACGACTTTATTTATTTATTTCTGTAGCAGAAAATATTATTCGCGTTGTGGATATTAGCTTTGTTTGTTAGCGATATTAACAGAAACGGGCTGGTTCGAAAGTAGTTTGTTCTAGTTTGTCGTTAAACTAAAACTATACACAGTTTAACGACACAGCGCCCAACGACAAGTTGCTATTATTATTATTTAAGTGCATTTTAGTGCTGCGCGAATTGCAAATGTATAATGCAGCGAAAAAGTGTTAATATATGCACAAACACGGAGCGAAATATATCGTAAATAGTAAATTATAGTAAATAGTAAATGACGTTGAATGGGTTATTATGTAGCTTTATAGTTTGGAAGAGATTGGTTCATGTAATAACCTGGGTTGTATCAAGTTGAATGTTGTAAGAAGTTTTATAGTTTCTTTGGGAAATCAACGGCTAAAAGTCTTCCAAAATTTGAGATTTTTAGCACTTTTAATCACATTTTTAGCCTATTTACCCCACGATATTTAATTATTTTATACTCTAATCTAATAGAGAATTTTCCAAAGTTTCATAAGATTATAGAGAATAGTCCATAGATTAAGACGCTGCGATCAGAACTTAAATATCTCTTTTAGTTTACGAGATATTCGCGATTGAAGAAAATGGCCAAAAATTGAAAAATGTCACTTTTTAGCACTTTTAGTCGCGTTTTTCGATCTTTTACTGTTGGAAATATAATTATTATATATTTTTATCTGATAGAGAATTTTCCAATCTGTCATAATCAGCAATTCGTTGGTCGCTATCGCTTTTAGTTTAAGAGATATTCATTAACAAAAATCGTCGAAAAAAGTATCAAGCACCCCCCCTTGGCAATTTTTTTCTTAAGAATGAAAATTTCATCTCTCCGATTTCCCTTTTAACTAGCCTATCTAATAGAGAATAATGCGTAGATTAAGACGCTGCGATCAGATCTTAAATATCTCTTTTAGTTTACGAGATATTCGCGATTGAATAAAATGGGCAAAATTTGAAAAATGTCACTTTTGAGCACTTTTAGTCGCGTTTTTCGACCTTTTACTACTGGAAATATAATTGTTTTATATTTTTATCTGATAGAGAATCTTCCAATCTTTCATAATCAGTAATTCGTTGGTTGCTATCTCTTTTAGTTTAAGAGATATTAATTTTTGAAAATCGTCGAAAAAAAGTATCAAGCACCCCCCCTTGGCAATTTTTTCTTAAGAACGAAAATTTCATGTCTCCGATTTTAGTTTTAACTATCCTATCTTTTAGAGAATACTTCGTAGATTAAGACGCTGCAATCAGATCTTAAATATCTCTTTTAGTTTACGAGATATTCGCGATTGAAGAAAATGGGCAAAAATTGAAAAATGTCACTTTTCAGTACTTTTAGTAGCGTTTTTAGACCTTTTACTGTTGGAAATATAATTATTTTGTATTTTTATCTGATAGAGAATCTTCCAATCTTTCATAATCAACAATTCGTTGGTTGCTATCGCTTTTAGTTTAAGAGATATTAATTATCAAAAATCGTCGAAAAAAAGTATCAAGCACCCCCCCTTGGCAATTTTTTCTTAAGAATGAAAATTTCATCTCTCCGATTTCCGTTTTAACTATCCTATCTTATAGAGAATAGTCCGTAGATTAAGACGCTGCGATCAGATCTTAAATATCTCTTTTAGTTAACGAGATATTCGCAATTGTAAAAAACGTCAGGTTTTCACTTTAAAAATACAAATATGAAACACAATTACAATTTATTGACTTATCATTTGCATATTACACATATGATACAAAGTAAACATACATTTTGCACAGCATGAAACAAAACGTAAATTAGAGTAATAAATAAGGCGGAATGTTCCTGCAGAAATGCAAATAAAATCTAGAAATGGCATGCTATTCCTCATCCTGTCCAATCATCACATCATCATAGCTTCTGTTATATCTTTGGCTTAATTTCCCCTTCATCCATTCCACAACTCTGAGCTTATAAATGAAATAAACACCTACTATCACAATTGCAATGAGTATCAGTATAGATAAAGTCCATGCCAGTGTGTGGCTTTCATCAACTACATCTGATGGCCCTGAAGTTGGCTCACAAATGTTGCCTCTGCGAGTGAATCCTTCCAGACACTCACACACACCTGTCTCCTGTGACTCAGTCATCATACAACTTTCATTTTCTGGGCAGGGCTCATCTAGTACTGTGATACTACATTTTTGACCTGAAATAACACCAGAATGTTAAATTATTGCACAAAGTGGTGAGATTTATAGAATTACCTGATCCACCAGCAACTTTGCTGATGCAGAATCCAATAAGTAATAGTAGCTTTTGTAATGGCTTTTCACTGATCATTGTGCCTCTGCATATCGCATTTTCGATCGGCTTTAGCACGGAATTATCTATCAGCGTCACTGATAATCACGTCTAACGCATGACAAACAAAACGCTAAACGCGATTGGCGTGCTGCACTGAATATTCTTGTACGCATTAATTCAATGTCAGAACATTGACGTCCTGAAACTTATCGTAACTTAAATAACTCCCTTCATCGCAAGCTTCCGGCTCATTACACTCTTTATTCAATTTACGTTCATCATAGTAAACAATTACGTTCGTGTTGTTCTCGTTCAATTTTATGCGTTGACCGCTGATGCTGTCGGCTGGACGCTGTCAAAAATTTGACTAGCGACATCTTGCGGAAGTTATTTAATAAAAATATTTATTTGCATATTATATATCCTATCTAAAATATTATGAATAATATAGAATAAACACTTATTTATTTAGTTTAAAGGCTATAAATGCCTGTAATGTAATATATTTAATGTAAATTCAATGGAAAAATTTACAAATTCAAACTCAGTCAAAGTTATCGAAGCGAACTCTAGTGAACATGTGTGAACATTAGGCAACTTTTGACACACCAAATTCTGACACATTTTTTATCACATCTTTAGGTTATGACCGTTATATGCGCAAATTCAAGCTAAAACTTACTTAAATCTAGTGCAAAAATGTTTTCCGCCTCAGGTATTCGAATGCTAGCAAAAACCACACGTAAAAATGCGGTAGGTACATCTATATCCAACACAAAGACACTGTTTGATTGACATATATTTCAGACTTTGAATTTGATCAGCCAACTTCGACATAGATCATCAACACCCATAAACACAGTGGTCATGTTTGTTCCTCAACAAGAGGTTTGTAAACTTAATTATATTCTACTGCATATTTTAAATATCTAAACATTTTTAGTCTTGGATTGTGGAAAGAATGGGTAAATTCCACAGAATACTAGATCCTGGATTGAACCTGCTAATTCCAATCATCGATAGAGTAAAATATGTGCAAAGTTTAAAGGAAATAGCCATTGATGTGCCCAAACAAAGTGCCATCACATCAGACAATGTCACCCTAAATATTGATGGTGTGCTCTACTTAAGAATTATTGATCCATACTTGGCAAGTTATGGTGTTGAGGATCCAGAATTTGCAATTACACAACTTGCGCAAACCACAATGCGTTCCGAACTCGGCAAAATCTCACTGGACAAAGTATTCAGAGAAAGAGAGAATTTAAACGTGAATATTGTTGATTCCATCAACAAAGCAAGCGAAGCCTGGGGCATCACCTGTCTGCGTTATGAAATCCGCGATATTAAACTCCCCAGCCGCGTGCAGGAAGCAATGCAGATGCAGGTCGAAGCCGAGCGCAAAAAACGCGCGGCCATCTTAGAATCCGAAGGTGTACGAGAAGCAGACATCAACGTAGCCGAAGGTAAAAGGCAAGCAAGAATCTTAGCGTCTGAAGCAGAGAAACAGGAACAAATCAATAAAGCATGCGGTGAAGCGGCCGCCATTTTGTCCGTGGCCGAAGCACGCTCAGGAGGACTTAAATTAGTTGCGAAAGCTTTGGAGGAGAACCTCGGCTCGAATGCGGCTTCACTCAGCATAGCCGAGCAGTATGTGCATGCGTTTAATAAACTCGCGAAATCAACAAACACGCTCATTCTTCCGTCGAACGCCGGTGATATTTCCAGCATGGTTGCACAGGCGCTTGCGATTTACAGCAAAGTATCACCATCACCGCAGAATACTCTAGCCACGCTCCCGCAGAAAAAAGACTTGAATATGTCCGCGATTAAGACCGAAATCATGCCACCGAAGAGCAACGATGATTTAGATGAATATTTCAGCGACGAGGATGAGAAGAAAAAGTTTCTGAACCAACAGAACGTTCCAACATTGACTAACAAGTAGAGAGGTTGTAAAAATATAAATATTATAACGCATTTATAGATTTTTTCAATGTTTTATTATCAAGATTGAAGAATTCCGGCGTCGTAGAAATATTTTATGACTATTCGCATTCTCTGCTGATATAATGCTTCGTTTCGGGAGATGAAATCAAACTGCATTGGCATTTCAATGTGTTTCCGGGCTTCCAATTCGTCTTTATCAGCTGTCATCATTTTTAAAATAATACCAGCCATGATTAAACCTTTCAGCGAATAATTTCTCCATTCATATTGTAGTGTATCCCAGGTATAAACATCCGGACAATTTAATTGTGATAAATGTGTTTGTAAACTTTCATGATACACTTTTAGGTAAACATCAATGTCATTGAAAAATTCAGGTGTGCATGCGCATGTTGATATAAAATAAGATAAATCAATGACTGGTGATGTTTTGCGGAATATTTGAAAATCCAAAATACAAACATCTTTCGGTTTAGGTTCATCTACATCATAACGAAACATGTAATTATGTGTCCAGCTATCACCATGCACAAAAACATCACTTTCTGATAACAGTGCTAATTTCTCAAGGTATGCAACCTGTCCATGACTTAAAAAGTTTGCTATTGCTTCGATATATTCAAACTCTGTTTCCTGATCGAAGCAATCCGCTAATTTTTCAGTTAAACCTTTATAAAAACCATTGTTTATTAATCGTTCGTAATTTGTTTGAAACCATTCGAATTTATAGCCGATTGATGCGAATTTCTCGGGGTATTTATGTTTGAATGCAAAGGAAAATGCGTGGAACTTTCCGTAAGCTGATAGGACTGCTTTCACATGATTTTTATCCAGTGGTTCGTTTAATGGCGACCATATTTTGTAGCCTGTTTCTAGGAGATCTTCAAGTATGACTATTTCATCGTTTGCAAAGTAACATTTTGGCATCAGTGGTAGAGTAAGTTTATTTCCATGATTTTGAAGTATTTCTTTAAATGCTGCGACTACTTTGTTATAAAACTCTGCTTCGTTTTTGTAGAAAAATTCCCATTCACCTTTTATCTCTTTAGGTTTACTTTTTGCGAATAAATGTAGTGTTGCATCGGTTTCTGAGTCTTTTAATGTTATTCTGTTGACGTTTGCGATGTATCCATGATTAGGTGATTCGTCGATGGCTATTTTTGGTGCTGTAAAGTTTTGATCTTTAGCGATTTGAAGCAGAGCGTTTTGTAGTGATGTTTCTGCCATTGTTGAGAGTACTGAGTATACTGATCTACTGATGTTATTCTAGGTGTACGGGTGAGTTAGTTGGTTGCATTGAATAGAAATAGTTGATTGCGTAACCTTTGCTCACTAATTATGTGTAATTGTTAGTTAATTCGCAAGTCGCAGACTTAATTTATGACTGCATGCGCGGTAGAAACAGTAGTTTAATTTAATTTGAAGCTGCGTAAGTGTTTTGATCATTTAAACATTAGATTAGACCTTGAGTATAATAAATTATTTTTTAGCTTAGCTTATCATGATTGCATGATCAACATATAAATATTTACAATCTACACCTAGACAGAGTTTTTTCTTAGGGTATTTGTGAATAGGTACATGTTTTGAAACTATCAATAATTGCCTAAGAATGAAACATTATATAAATTAAATAATTATTTAATACTACAATTAAAGTAACAAGCATTTATGTTTAATATTTCAAGTAAATCAAAATAAACATTCAATTTCATTTATTTGTCTGTTTTCAGGCGTTCTATCACACTGATACTACTTGATCGTCTTATGCGCACTTCGGGCTGCGGGGTGAGACGTCGGTAGTTACACAATCTCTTAACATTCCAAGTGATCTTCGAATGCAATCATGTCATGCAATATGCGATCTTAAAGTAATATAGAATTCGTGCGTTGTTTGCATGTTATTGTTTTCGGGTTTATCAACATCACCTCAACACCGAACTTTTTGTGCGCAAGTCCGGCGCAGGAAGCGGCGCAGGGAAACAAGTTAACGTTCTTCCGCAACGCACGCTCAGCATCATCATTCAGTGCGCGACATTGTCTGCAGTTACACCTCCGCTAATAAAATTGTCAATAATTTATTAAATCAGTAAAAAAGTGTTGCTACCAAGTGAAAAACATTCCTCGAGGCACTCACAAGTAAGTTTCTTGCATTATTTTCATTTGCGCCTTTTTATTAAATCTGTAATTTGTAACATTTGCACGCGACATTGTTTTATGCGGCGTTAGACGCGTGTTTGCAATATGGCCGCGATTCAAACGTCGTTTTCACGTTCGCAACCACCAAGTTGCGTCATCACATAAATCAAATCATGTACTTGCAATGCGTCTAATTGGAATATTCGGATGTAATTTTATTGTGCAATCGACATGTGGTATGGGGTGATCGCAGTTTCACCTTCTCGAAGTGTACGCGGCGAAGTTATCAGCTGTTTGTTTGCTTTTCACATGTTTCAAACGGTAACTTTGCGGCAGTAGAGTGCCAATTGTGCAGCACTGCTAACACAAAGAGACGCCATGTTGTTGTTTTGAATTTAACATTCCAACACCATTCGGCACTGCTGATAACGCACTCTTATTTTTATTTTCTAGCGTTACATTTATCATTTACTTATTCTTTAGTATTTTGTTACATTTTAATTCTGTTTTATTTTCTGTTTATTGCGTGCGACGTTGTTGATGGTGCATTACGATCGGTTTCTCAATCCACTTCTTGAAAACGTTCCTGTTTTCCATCGCAGGCATGTATATTAAAAAAATAACTGTACTTGCTATTATTTCTCTTTTTACTTAAAATTTTCTGCTGTTTCTAGATGACATTTCAAGGTCACCCACAAGATGTCCAGAATTAGTCTTACTTTCCCAAGAATGGAAAAAGGTTCGAACATTGCTGTAACGTTTATCCAATGTCTCTAATAATTTTTAAAATTTCTGTTACTAATTGTTCTTTCTGCTTGTCTTTCAGGTACATATTCGATATATTGGGGCATTTTTGTAATTCGGGCGCGTTCGTTTTCGGTTTATGTACTTTTTGTGTCTACTAATATTTCACACCTTCATGTTTTAACTAACTACCTCTTAATATCATTATTACTTTATTATTTTTTAATTCTTTTAATATTCTTATTTTTCATAATTTAAAAAAATCCTTGCCAATTTAGATTAATTTATCATTTATTTATTTTATTCTTTAAAAAAAATTTAGTTCCGAATATCTACCAAATCATCCTTACCCAGTATTTTTAATCTTTGTTTCGATTCACAGGTATAAGTGATAAACGATATTCGCGAGAGACCTGGAGAGGTGTAACGAAATACTCATCGAGTGCGGGTCGCGACGCGTTTGATTTAACCATTTTATTGAATCGTGTTCAATTAGCTACCGAAGGAGGGTCGTGCCTTGTCCCCTTTCACCTGTTAGGGAAAGTACGCAGTGTTTACAAAAATGTATCCGAATATTCGACAAATCGAGTGCGGGACGCGATTAAAAATCCGAAAGTATCGCGTAATCCGTATTGCACTATTAAAGTGCGCGTTAAAAATAATTCCAATTCCATGAGGGTTTGTACGGGGCCTCAACGGACTGCAAGCATCCTACCAGCGGTTTGGACTCAAGATTGTATTATAATATCAACGCCATAAGTAGTGAGTACACCTGACACCAAACTGGCTGTCTTGTATCTTTATGCGCCAACATATGCACGTGTAATCGTCGGTATAGCGTCGTATTTTACCCCATTAAATTGAATTATTTTAATCTTATAGAGAATAGTCCGTAGAATAGTTTCTGCGATTTGTACCTATTTATCTCATTTAGTTTACGAGATATTCGCGATTGAATAAAATGGGCAAAAATTGCAAAATGTCACTTTTTAGCACTTTTAGTCGCGTTTTTCGACCTTTTACTGTAGGAAATATAATTATTTTATATTTTTATCTGATAGAGAATTTTCCAATCTTTCATAATCAACAATTCGTTGGTAGCTATCTCTTTTAGTTTAAGAGATATGAATTTTTGAAAATCGTCGAAAAAAAGTATCAAGCACCCCCCCTTGGCAATTTTTTCTTAAGACTTAAAATTTCATCTCTCAGATTTCCGTTTTAACTATCCTATCTGATAGAGATTGGTCCGTAGATTAAGACGCTGCGATCAGATCTTATTTATCTCTTTTAGTTTACGAGATATTCGCGATTGAATAAAATGGGCAAAAATTGCAAAATGTCACTTTTTAGCACTTTTAGTCGCGTTTTTCGACCTTTTACTGTAGGAAATATAATTATTTTATATTTTTATCTGATAGAGAATTTTCCAATCTTTCATAATCAACAATTCGTTGGTAGCTATCTCTTTTAGTTTAAGAGATATGAATTTTTGAAAATCGTCGAAAAAAAGTATCAAGCACCCCCCCTTGGCAATTTTTTCTTAAGACTTAAAATTTCATCTCTCAGATTTCGGTTTTAACTATCCTATCTGATAGAGATTGGTCCGTAGATTAAGACGCTGCGATCAGATCTTATTTATCTCTTTTAGTTTACGAGATATTCGCGATTGAATAAAATGGGCAAAAATTGCAAAATGTCACTTTTTAGCACTTTTAGTCGCGTTTTTCGACCTTTTACTGTAGGAAATATAATTATTTTATATTTTTATCTGATAGAGAATTTTCCAATCTTTCATAATCAACAATTCGTTGGTAGCTATCTCTTTTAGTTTAAGAGATATGAATTTTTGAAAATCGTCGAAAAAAAGTATCAAGCACCCCCTTGGCAATTTTTTCTTAAGACTTAAAATTTCATCTCTCAGATTTCCGTTTTAACTATCCTATCTGATAGAGATTGGTCCGTAGATTAAGACGCTGCGATCAGATCTTATTTATCTCTTTTAGTTTACGAGATATTCGCGATTGAATAAAATGGGCAAAAATTGCAAAATGTCACTTTTTAGCACTTTTAGTCGCGTTTTTCGACCTTTTACTGTAGGAAATATAATTATTTTATATTTTTATCTGATAGAGAATTTTCCAATCTTTCATAATCAACAATTCGTTGGTAGCTATCTCTTTTAGTTTAAGAGATATGAATTTTTGAAAATCGTCGAAAAAAAGTATCAAGCACCCCCCCTTGGCAATTTTTTCTTAAGACTTAAAATTTCATCTCTCAGATTTCCGTTTTAACTATCCTATCTGATAGAGATTGGTCCGTAGATTAAGACGCTGCGATCAGATCTTATTTATCTCTTTTAGTTTACGAGATATTCGCGATTGAATAAAATGGGCAAAAATTGCAAAATGTCACTTTTTAGCACTTTTAGTCGCGTTTTTCGACCTTTTACTGTAGGAAATATAATTATTTTATATTTTTATCTGATAGAGAATTTTCCAATCTTTCATAATCAACAATTCGTTGGTAGCTATCTCTTTTAGTTTAAGAGATATGAATTTTTGAAAATCGTCGAAAAAAAGTATCAAGCACCCCCCCTTGGCAATTTTTTCTTAAGACTTAAAATTTCATCTCTCAGATTTCGGTTTTAACTATCCTATCTGATAGAGATTGGTCCGTAGATTAAGACGCTGCGATCAGATCTTATTTATCTCTTTTAGTTTACGAGATATTCGCGATTGAATAAAATGGGCAAAAATTGCAAAATGTCACTTTTTAGCACTTTTAGTCGCGTTTTTCGACCTTTTACTGTAGGAAATATAATTATTTTATATTTTTATCTGATAGAGAATTTTCCAATCTTTCATAATCAACAATTCGTTGGTAGCTATCTCTTTTAGTTTAAGAGATATGAATTTTTGAAAATCGTCGAAAAAAAGTATCAAGCACCCCCCCTTGGCAATTTTTTCTTAAGACTTAAAATTTCATCTCTCAGATTTCCGTTTTAACTATCCTATCTGATAGAGATTGGTCCGTAGATTAAGACGCTGCGATCAGATCTTATTTATCTCTTTTAGTTTACGAGATATTCGCGATTGAATAAAATGGGCAAAAATTGCAAAATGTCACTTTTTAGCACTTTTAGTCGCGTTTTTCGACCTTTTACTGTAGGAAATATAATTATTTTATATTTTTATCTGATAGAGAATTTTCCAATCTTTCATAATCAACAATTCGTTGGTAGCTATCTCTTTTAGTTTAAGAGATATGAATTTTTGAAAATCGTCGAAAAAAAGTATCAAGCACCCCCCCTTGGCAATTTTTTCTTAAGACTTAAAATTTCATCTCTCAGATTTTGGTTTTAACTATCCTATCTGATAGAGATTGGTCCGTAGATTAAGACGCTGCGATCAGATCTTATTTATCTCTTTTAGTTTACGAGATATTCGCGATTGAATAAAATGGGCAAAAATTGCAAAATGTCACTTTTTAGCACTTTTAGTCGCGTTTTTCGACCTTTTACTGTAGGAAATATAATTATTTTATATTTTTATCTGATAGAGAATTTTCCAATCTTTCATAATCAACAATTCGTTGGTAGCTATCTCTTTTAGTTTAAGAGATATGAATTTTTGAAAATCGTCGAAAAAAAGTATCAAGCACCCCCCCTTGGCAATTTTTTCTTAAGACTTAAAATTTCATCTCTCAGATTTTGGTTTTAACTATCCTATCTGATAGAGATTGGTCCGTAGATTAAGACGCTGCGATCAGATCTTATTTATCTCTTTTAGTTTACGAGATATTCGCGATTGAATAAAATGGGCAAAAATTGCAAAATGTCACTTTTTAGCACTTTTAGTCGCGTTTTTCGACCTTTTACTGTAGGAAATATAATTATTTTATATTTTTATCTGATAGAGAATCTTCCAATCTTTCATAATCAACAATTCGTTGGTTGCTATCGCTTTTAGTTTAAGAGATATTAATTATCAAAAATCGTCGAAAAAAAGTATCAAAAAGTAAGTTGTGTGGGTGCACCGTTGTACTCGTTGCGCATTTTGCGGCCAGTTTCGTGCCGGTCTCTGGTTGATTCAGAAGTATTTTGTGCGACTCGTATCGTTTATCCGGACTTCTACTTTCCAATTCGTATTATATTCCATCATCAATTGATCATTTAATTTTAGGTTGACTTTAGTAACTTTAGTACAGTTATTTATTATATGCGCGTAAGTGTATCGCGGCCATGTTGATTTATTCATTATTTGGATGACCCATCGTGCTGCTGTAAGTAACTTCTAAACAGCACAGATTGTTTGTTTTTCTCTGCTGTGTGAATACATTATTACTTATGTTTTCATTTTTTATTTACAGTATTTGCCGTGCCTTGGAATCGGATGCGTTCTGCATTGGTAAGTTTATAATTCAATTATATATTTCGTTTTATTTTCTGCGTTCATCATTACTTTGTATTTACGTGTTTTTTTTTCGCGGTCCACCGCCTTCTACTAAAGTGTTAGCATCAAATAATTTAATTATTTTTTGTTATTGGGAGCAACGTCTTACAAATTTGGGCGCGGGGTCCAAGTATGCACAATTAAATTCTCTATCCGGTTGTATTTAATTGTTGCAAGGAAAGCACTTATACGATACGATTTATGAGTTTATATTGGAAACAAACGTGTAAAACGCAGCTATAAATTTGAACATCACGCCTCATATAGGTTAGATTTATAGATTTATTTTATTTATAAATGTCACTTTTTAGTACTTTTAGCCGCATTTTTCGACCTTTTACTGTAGAAAATTTAAATATTTTATACTTCTATTTAATAGAGAATATTCCAATATTTCATAATCAGCAATTCGTGGGTTGCTATCTCTTTTAGTTTAGGAGATATTAATTATTAAAAATCGTCGATAAAAGTCATCAAGCACCCCTTGGCAATTTTTTCTTAAGAATTAAAATTTCATCTCTCAGATTTCCGTTTTAACTATCCTATCCTTTAGAGAATAGTCCGTAGATTAAGACGCTGTGATCGGATCTTAATTATCTCTTTTAGTTTACGGGATATTAGCAATTGAATGGGCGAATGAGAATCAGTTATACATTCATCCACGTACGGTACCCTGAACACGAGTCACTTTTACCGCTAACCTCGTAAGGTGCCCCGAATTGAGTCACTTCTACCGCTAGCCTCGTATGGTGCCTCGAATCGAGTCTCTTCTACCCCTAGCCTCGTAAGGTGCCCCGAATCGAGTCTCTTCTACGGCTAGCATTTCACATACAAATATTTCACGCAAAAAGGGTGAAAAAGTCACCCGACATCGTAGGAGAACCATTCTTTCATCAGATTGTAGGTATTGAATTTCTTTATTATTTTCACAAATAAGTTTAGTAATTTGCTTCTTAATTAGCAGCAAAAAATACATTTTTATTTTTCGAAGATCTAATTTTTGTCTGTTTTAGGGATTTTACGCCTGAGCCCATCATCGTAGAAAGACCGTTCTTTCATCAAATTGTAAGTATTGAATTTCTCTGTCATTTTCATGAATAACTTTAGTAATTTGCTTAGTAATTAGCAACAAAAAATGCATTTATGTGTTTTGAAGATCTAATTTTTGCCTGTTTTAGAGGTTTTACACCTGAGCCCGACTTCGTTAGAGCACCATTATTGAATCAGATTGTAAGTATTGATTTTCTTTATCATTTTCAATAATAACCTTAGTGATTTGTTAATTAATTAGCAACAAAAATTGCGTTTTCATGTTTTCAAGGGCCAATTTTTGCTTGTTTTTGGGGTAAACAGCTGAATGGGGCTGCCCCTTGATATCAGAGGGGTCCCTAAAGATGTAGAATTTAATTCTTGGTCGTAAAAAAGGGTAAAAGGTCTAAAAACGCGACTGAAACTGCTAAAAATTTGCAATTTTTTAATTTTTAACGATTTACTTCAATTGTGAATATCTCGTAAACTAAAAGAGATAGTTGCTCCTTTCTATCGCAGAGTCTTAATCTACGCCAATTCTCTATAAAATAATACATATTTTGTTGCAATATTGTAAAGTATTCTTAGGTTTGTTAGAATACACGCATAACAAGTTTTTTTATTGTTTTCAGCGTGCGTATCTCAACAGTGATAGTGACCTCGTGTAGTTGCTGTCGGCTGTGCAACTCAAGGCATGCGCAGTTCCATTTTGGTTGTCGAGTGAATCGCGCGTTTTCATTGCGACTACTTTTTGTTCTTCCAATCATAATTAGGTAAATTGCGGAATGTTCAATTAACAATTGACGAAATTTACTGAAATCGGATGTGAATGTTGTTTTTGCTAGTGAGATAGCATGCGATGAATGTTCATCAATCGCAGAGTTATCGGTGGTTCATATATGCGCGTTTGATGTTCCGTCGGCCGTCGGTGATTGTTTTTCGCTTGTGGAATTACATTGCACTCGGGTTAAGCCATGTGTAAATAACCTGCGTGTCCACACAAACTTAATAATAACTTGGATTTATGTTTAATTAATATAAATAAACAATGTTGATGCCTGTTGAAGAAGTTTAGGAGCACTTGTGCCAAGGAGTCTACCGCTTCCCTCGCAGAAATATTAGAGATGCGTGTATTACAAGGCAAGTTTTACTTTCAGGAGATTAAAGAGCTGTCTATGATTTTCGATTCTAAAAAATGTATGTAGTTATTAATGTTGCTAATAAAACATTATGTAATATTATATACTTCTTCATATTTCTTCCTGGTTTCCCCATTGCCGTTTGCAGGATTGTTGTCTTGAATCATATTCCATATAAATCTTAAGTGCGTCGAGCGTGTTCAATATATAGCTGTTATTTGTGTTGTGTTGTTGTTTTTAAAAAGTTGAATAAAGTAGAATCATAAATAAGAGAATCAAATAACAACGATAAAATTACTCGGTGGTCGAGTAGGTACGTGCACCTGCTAGCATGCTAGTAGACACGGATCGAATCTCAGGTGTGGAAGGCATTTTTCTCAAATATAAAAATAACGGGTGTAATTTGGGTTGCATATGTATACTCAAATAAAATATAAGAGAAATTGTAATACAAGTGAAAGCAATAAGAGAAGTACGAAAGTAGTAAGTGGTGAAACGAAGAACAGAGAAATGGGAGAAGTAGAAGAAGGAATAGCAGAGAAAGAGTAGAAGGCAGAAGGAAGAGAACAGAGTAGAGAAGAGGAGGAGGAGATAGAAGAAAGAGCAACCAGGAGTGGATCAGATTTTTAAATTTTTTGGCACGTGTCGTTATAAGACAGTCTACGCCCACTGCCTACGCCCTACGCCCACTGCTTCGATGTGTCCATTACTCCCGGCCCAACCTACAGCTACGATGTCTCTGCGCTTCATCCCCGAAATTATCAGGCATATCAACAATTTTTATGGTGGGGGATCACCCCCAGAGAGAGGGAACTCCTTATAAGGACAATCCTTATAAGGTTTTGTAAAAATATTTCTAAGTTTTAAGTCGACTCAAGAGAGGTGACACTTAAAAATATTCTTACAAGTTCTGACCTGTAGCTGAAATGAAAGAAGGAGCACACAAATCACACAGGATACCTTAACAATTTTTATAGAGGGGATCATTCCCTGAGAGAGGGAACTCTCTTAGAGACCTGTTCCTGAAATGATAGAAGGCGAACACACAAATCAAAGAAGTCAATATATTTTACTATTTATTTATTAACAATAGAATACAACTTTAGATTTTACAAGTCAACGGAATACATGTCTCCATATTGAAATAGGAGTTACGACCTGCATAGCCGCGCACATGCCAGCAAGTACTACTTCATAAAGTTCTACCGGAATAATGAAATTAGTAAATAGCCAATTTTCTAGGGGATTGAAAATGGAAACAAATATACAGGGTGTTACAAAAGGTAAATTTAAAGTGCAAACAAAAAACTCTCAGCACTATAAACGCCGCTCGTTTTTACTAGACTATCAGGGAAATTAATATACAAGATGTTCCAGAAAGAAAATTCAAAGTGCAAAGGGGAAAATACTAAAAACATCAGCTAAAGCAAAATTTTCACGGACACAAATGAAAACATATATACAGGGTGATCTAAATAGACAATGAATGCAAATTTTCGCGGGTTGTAGGTGGAATTCCTGCAGCAAATAAACACCACTCAACGTAGAATTTAATTCCGCGTCTTTTGACGCCACGCTGAAATTATTGTGCCGTCTAGATCGCGTGCAAACCGGAAATAATATCAAAATTTCACGGCAAAAGGGGGACAAAATCACTTTTGAATGCAAATTTTCGGGGATTGCAGGTCGAATTCCTGCAGCAAACAAATACCACTCGATGTAGAATTTAATTCCGCGACTTTTGACGCCGCGCTGAAATTATTAGCCCTAGACTCGACGCAAAATCACTTTTGAATGCAAATTTTCGGGGGTTGCAGGTCGAATTCCTGCAGCAAACAAATACCACTCGACGTAGAATTTAATTCCGCGTCTTTTGACGCCGCGCTGAAATTAATGAGCCGCCTAGATCGCGTGCAAAATAGAAATAAAACTAAAATTTCAAAGTAAAAGGTGACAAAATCACTTTTGAATGCAAATTTTCGGGGGTCGCAGGTCGAATTCTTGCAGCAAACAAATAACACTCGACGTAGAATTTAATTCCGCGTCTTTTGACGCCACGCTGAAATTATTGTGCCGTCTAGATCGCGTGCAAACCGGAAATAATACAAAAATTTCACGGCAAAAGTTGAAAAAATCACCTTTGAATGCAAATTTTCGGGGGTTGCAGGTCGAATTCCTGCAACAAAGAAATACCACTCGACGTAGAATTTAATTCCGCGTCTTTTGACGAAACGCTGAAATTATTGTGCCGTCTAGATCGCGTGCAAACCGGAAATAATACAAAAATTTCACGGCAAAAGTTGACAAAATCACCTTTGAATGCAAATTTTCGGGGGTTGCAGGTCGAATTCCTACAGCAAACAAATACCACTCGACGTAGAATTTAATTCCGCGTCTTTTGACGCCGCGCAGATATCACAGAGCCGCCTAGATCGTGTGCAAATCTGAAATAATACCAAAATTTCACGGCAAAAGTTGACAAAATCACCTTCGAATGCAAATTTTCGGGGGTTGCAGGTCGAATTCCTGCAGCAAACAAATACCACTCGACGTAGAATTTAATTCCGCGTTTTTGACGACACGCTGAAATTATTGTGCCGTCCAGATCGCGTGCAAACCGGAAATAATACAAAAATTTCACGGCAAAAGGTGACAAAATCACTTTTGAATGCAAATTTTCGGGGGTTGCAGGTCGAATTCCTGCAACAAACAAATACCTCTCGACGTAGAATTTAATTCCGCGTCTTTTGACGACACGCTGAAATTATTGTGCCATCCAGATCGCGTGCAAACCGGAAATAATACAGAAATTTCACGGCAAAAGGTGACAAAATCACTTTTGAATGCAAATTTTCGGGGGTTGCAGGTCGAATTCCTGCAACAAACAAATACCTCTCGACGTAGAATTTAATTCCGCGTCTTTTGACGACACGCTGAAATTATTGTGCCATCCAGATCGCGTGCAAACCGGAAATAATACAAAAATTTCACGGCAAAAGGTGACAAAATCACTTTTGAATGCAAATTTTCGGGGGTTGCAGGTCGAATTCTTGCAGCAAACAAATACCACTCGACGTAGAATTTAATTCCGCGTCTTTTGACGCCACGATGAAATTATTGTGCCGTCTAGATCGCAAGCAAACCGGAAATAATACAAAAATTTCACGGCAAAAGGTGACAAAATCACTTTTGAATGCAAATTTTCGAAGGTTGCAGGTCGAATTCCTGCAACAAACAAATACCACCCGACGTAGAATTTAATTCCGCGTCTTTTGACGCCACGCTGAAATCACTGAGCCGCCCAGATCGTGTGCAAATCGGAAATAATACCAAAATTTCACGGCAAAAGGTGACAAAATTACCTTTGAATGCAAATTTTCAAGGGTTGCAGGTCGAATTCCTGCAGCAAACAAATACCACTCGACGTAGAATTTAATTTCGCGTCTTCTGACGCCGCGATGAAATCACTGAGCCGCCTAGATCGTGTGCAAATCGGAAATAATACCAAAATTTCAAGGTAAAAGGTGACAAAATCACTTTTAATGCAAATTTTCGGGGGTTGCAGGCCGAATTCCTGCAGCAAACAAATACCACTCGACGTAGAATTTAATTCCGCGTCTTTTGACGCTGCGCTGAAATTAATGAGCCGCCTAAATCACGTGCAAAATAGAAATAAAACTAAAATTTTAAAGTAAAAGGTGACAAAATCACTTTTGACTGCAAATTTTCGGGGGTCGCACGTCGGATTCTTGCAGCAAACAAATACCACTCGACATAGAATTTAATTCCGCGTCTTTTGACGCCGCGCTGAAATTATTGAGCCGCCTAGATCGTGTGCAAACCGGAAATAATACAAAAATTTCACGGCAAAAGGTGACAAAATCACCTTTGAATGCAAATTTTCGAGGGTTGCAGGTCGAATTCCTGCAGCAAACAAATTCAACCCAACGTAGAATTTAATTCCGCGTCTTTTGACGCCACGCTAAAATTATTGTGCCGTCTAGATCGCGTGCAAACCGGAAATAATAAAAAAATTTCACGGCAAAAGGTGACAAAGTCACTTTTGAGTGCAAATTTTCGGGAGTTGAAGGTCGAATTCCTGCAGCAAAGAAATACCACTCGACGTAGAATTTAATTCCGCGTCTTTTGACGCCACGCTGAAATTATTGTGCCGCCTAGATCGCGGGCAAAATAAAAATGAAACTAAAATTTCAAGGTAAAAGGTGACAAAATCACTTTTGACTGCAAATTTTCGGGGGTTGCAGGTGAAATTTCTGCAGCAAACAAACACCACTCGATGTAGAATTTAATTCTGCGGCTTTTGACGATGAGATGTAATTATTTAGCCGCCTAGATCGCGGGCAAAATAGAAATAAAACTAAAATTTCAAGGTAAAAGGTGGCAAAATCACTTTTGAATGCAAATTTTCGAGGGTTGCAGGTCGAATTCCTGCAGCAAACGAATACCACCCAACGTAGAATTTAATTCCGCGTCTTTTGATACCACCTTGAAGTTAATGAGCCGCCTAGATCGCGTGCAAACCAGAAATAAAACTAAAATTTCAAGGTAAAAGGTGACAAAATCACTTTTGAATGCAAATTTTCGCGGGTTGCAGGTCGAATTCCTGCAACAAGTAAAAATCACCCGCCGGAGGATTTAATTCCGCATCTTTTGACGCTACGGCGAAGCTAGTGAGTCGCCTAGATCGCGTGCAAAATATAAATAAATATTATATTGCAATACTTGCATTACAATGAACATGTGGCGACTATTGCTACTTATTTTCAGAGTGTTTACTTATTTCACTGATCGCTTTTTCACATCAGGTTTTAAATCTACATTTGACTGATTAATTTGTCGAATATTAATAGAATATAGTATTTATGTTACCCACTTTCTAACGTTTTCCCAGGTAAAATATTCCACACGGGCCGCGAAAGATCTTGATTTAAATTTTTATGAATACACAAAACCAAACCACTAAGAATTTTTAGCCGACGGAAGATATCCGACAGCCGACGGCAAACACGTGCGTATCTTGTAAAACCATGCAAATCTGCGTTCCACGCGTAATAACTCATTAACTATACGCGACACTTG